GAATGATGAGCAGGGCGAGATGTCATTCTTACCGGTAAATGCGAAAGTGAAAGCATGCTGAAATATTACCGAGAGCTGTTTGTCCAGCCTGATCTCGGTTTATCCGTCAGGAAAATAGACCGAAATTACTATCTGTTAATTTTTCCATATTTTAATAGTATAATAGGCCTATGTTGTATTAGGCTGTGTATTAGGCTGTGTATTCTGCTATGTCTCTCTATAATTTAAGCCTAAAATACAGAATTATAGTCAACGTTTCTTTAATAGATTGATTAATTCAATTGATCGATTTCTACAAAACCTGACAATTGAAATGAGGCTCTGTATATATGAGAAAGTCTGACCTCGATTTGTATTTGGTGACGATGTCTGTGGGTTGTTAAAATTAAAGTGCACATTTTCACTTATAAAATATTCTATACACAATGCACAAAAGTTTGGGGTCAGTGTGATTAAATATGTTAAAACAAGCTTCTTCTGCTCACCAGGGCTGCAATTATTTCATCATAAATACAAATTGTGAAATGTTGCACTATAAAACATCTGTTCAAAAGTAGTTTATCATTTAATTTATTCATTTATTCCAGTGATTTTAAAGATGAAATTTCAGCTTCATTACTCCAGTCACATGATCCTTCAGAAATCACTAATATTAATTTTTATTATATTTATTAATGGTAATAGTTATAAAATCAATAATGTCTGGAGTAATTATTTTATTTGAAACTAAATACAATAACAAAGCAGTTATTTAAAATTTTAATAAATATTTAACAATTACACCTTTTTTACATTTATAAATATAGCCTTGATGAACTGAATAGTTTTCCTTAAACATTTTAAAAATTACCGTAAATATATATACAGATTTATTAGCCCCCTTTTGTTTTTTGTTTTTTCTTTTTAAAATATTTCCTAAATGATGTTTAACAAAGCAAAGAAATGTTGATATTTTGTCTGATAATATTTTTTCCTCTGAACAAAATCTTATTTGTTTTATTTTGGCTAGAATAAAAACATTTTTTTAACCATTTTAAGGTAAAATTTATTAGCCTCTTAAGCTAATTGTTTTTCAGACTGTCTACAGAACAAACCATCATTATACAATAACTAGCCTAATTACCCTAACCTGCCTAGTTAACCTAATTACCCTAGTTAAGCCTTTAAATGTCACTTTAAGCTGTATAGAAGTGTCTTGAAGAATATCTAGTAAAATATTATTTACAGTCATCATGACAAAGATAAAATAAATCAGTTATTAGAAAATAGTTATTAAAACTATTATGTTTAGAAATGTGCTGAGAAAATCTGTTCTCTGTTAAATAGAAATTGGGGAAAAAAATAAACAGGGGTGCTAATAATTTAGGGGGACTAATAATTCTGAAATCAACTGTGTGTGTGTGTGTGTGTGTATATACACACACACACACACGCACATTCAAATAGCGATTAACTTCTTTTTTTTTTTTTGGTGGGGCCAGTGAAAATTTGGGCTGGGCAAGTAAAAATCAGAACCACTGGCCCGATCGGGCCAGTAGAAAAAATCCTTAGCGTTGAACCCTGTGAGCACTGCTTAGTTTAAACCCTCGCTATTGTAACGCATATAAATACATACACTAATATTTGCTGGTAGGAAAAATCTATTTGTTCACTTCTGTTATTTATACTTTAATGTGCATTTCAATTTTTTTCTTCCACTTAACTGCAAATTTGAATAAAAACTGGATAAAGAGCACACAAACATGCTGACAGTAATAGGTACTGTACACTGTTATGGGTCAATGATGCTAATATTCGCACAAATCCATCAGTTTCTTAGGTTATTAGATTATTTTATAATTTCACCTCTCCTGCTGTGCATGAACTATGCTGTTGAATGTTCAGCGTATGAGGTTGCTAGGCTAACCTTGCTTCAATTTTGATAAAATTATTTTCTAATCAGTTGCTATTATGTTGTGAATATACCCCTGTAATGTATACTGCAGTCCTCTTTTGTCTGGCTTTCTCAGATCTCACCTGTTTGCCAAAAATGACTAATTAAATCCTTGGGAATGTCTGACACCAGCGCATACACACTGTAATAGATGTGCCAGGCATGAAAGCTTGACAGGCGTGGCAATAGTAACTTAGGAGGGCGAGGCTTAGCGAAGGGTTATTCCAAGAATGTTGATATGGTTTCTTTCTTGCTTTACTATTTATTAACAATACACAAAAAACTAAAAGGTTAAGGTAAATTCTTTAATAAATTCTAGTGTTTTTGAGTATTATACTTGTTGTATACTTGTATTAGACTTATGTTTTAGGCTAGTATTATTTACGACTTGTTAATTAATGCTTCATAATACAGTAGTATTACCAATAGTGAACAGATAAAATAATACAAAGTGTAGTTTTACTACAGTAAAGTGTAGTGATTTGTAGTATAAAATACCCTATATTGTAAAATAATACAGCACTGGGTAATTTTTTTATATTACACTTGTGTTACCATAGCAACTATAGTATTACCACAACTGATCAATTGAAGTTCTTTACTGTAGTAGGCTACTGTTCAAAACACAGTACATGCCAATATACGTGTTCAGGGGCCCTGTGGCACAGCTTTCCTCAAAATGAAGAGGATGACATGGAAAATGCCTTATCAAGTGTTTCCTTATTTTTATCACAGTTACATTTCTGCTTGCATTAGTTTTTGTTTAAATTCTTTTAAAATAAAATGTATTCTTTACATCCAACATCTATTCCAGAGGTGCCTTATAGTGGTGTAAACCCCTTTACAAGGGGTGTTACCCCTGTGTAAACTCTAGCCACCCCTGTGGCCAACCGATATGATTTTGCTGTTGACATTATTTATTTAAATCTACTTACATAAATGCAATACAATGCAATATTTCAATAAATAAATAGCAGCCACTAAATTATTGTGGATTGATTGGTGCCACTGACGTAGCTGGCCTCTTCTGGCCACCCCTAAGCAAATTTTCAGGGGGGCAACACTGGTCTATTCTCTGTCTTTAAATGTTTGAAACTGAAAATATCTCATCATATAACACAACCAAAAATGTTATGGTTTATTAGATTAAACATTTAATATGTAAGTCTATTTTAGTATTTTGGTTATTGTTATTAAACAGTGCAGCAATATGAATCATATCAAAAAGCATGAAAGGAAGAGGTAACACGACACAAATTGTGAGTTTGCATATAATCTCTGAGAGCGCTCAAGAAAATTTGTGTGTGAGCAGTGCATATTTGAGAGCGAGAGAAAATTTGAGAAGTCGCAATCAGTTTTGTCCACAAACAGAGGAAATCCGTGCACGAGCATCACACAAGGTAGAGAGCAAAGCTCTTCAACGTTATGTGAAGAAAACAACTTTATTGTTTGTATGAAGTAGCCTACTTCATTAACAATATGTGCTACAGTACCATTTTACATTGCTGCTAGACAGATTTGCAACTCCATCTCTTTAGCACACACGAGATTCAATTGACAAAATTCCAATTTCACTCAATTTAACTTTGCAGCATATACAGGAGTTGGTCTACTGCTACCACATTGAGGTTATGTAATTTTGGTTAATCACAAGTTGATCACCGAAGACATAACATAGCACAACTAAACTTAATGAATTAGACAGCAGTAGACCTGCAATTTCTGTGTGATGTGAGGCAAAATGGAGTCTTTTTTTGGTGGAACTCGTTCTTGTGCATTATGCTGTGGAGACGAGACGCAGCACTGTTCAGTACTTTTTCAGAAAATTGCATTTGTATTTTTATATATCTAAGCAATGTTCTTTAATAAAAAAAGGTTTGTTTAATTAATACAGATCTTACAACCATACCTAATCTGTATATATTTTATTTTTCTGTTAAAAAGACTCGAAAAGACTCGAAAATCAAACTGCAGGACTTTGGACTTGACTTGAGACTTGTTGCCTTTGACTCGGGACTTGACTCGGGACTTGCCTGTCTTGACTCGGGACTTGACTCGGGACTTGAGGGCAATGAATTGAGACTTACTTGTGACTTGCCAAACAATGACTTGGTCCCACCTCTGATGGATACAGCAGAATACTGTAGTAAACTAGTAAACCGTAATAAATACTGTAACATTAGGGGTGCATTATGATGGTGTATAATTATAGCTCAGAAAACAAGCATTTTGAACAATTTATTCATAACTACAGTTGTGTTGTACCACAGCAACAATCTAATAACTACGACAGTTAATTCAAGTAATTATCTCTAATATGCTTCCAAATACTGTAGTAACTACTATTCATGTAACCTAATAGCTTATACAGTACCTACTGCCTCGATGACAGGCAAATACAGTTGAAGTCAGAATTATTAGCCCCGTTAAATTATTAGACCGCTTGTTTATTTTTTCCCCAATTTCTGTTTAAGGGAGAGAAGATTTTTTCAACACATTTCTAAACATAATAATTTTAATAACTTATTTCTAACAACTAATTTATTTTATCTTTGCCGTGATGACTGTAAATAATATTTTAAATGATATTTTTAAGACACTTCTATACAGCTTAAAGTGACATTTAAAGGCTTAACTAGGTTAATTAAGTTAACTAGGCAGGTTAGGGGAATTAGGCAAGTTATTGTATAACAGTGGTTTGTTTTGTAGACTATCAAGAAAAAATATAGCTTAAAGAGGCTAATAATTTTGTCCCTAAAATGGTTCATAAAAAATTCAAAACTGCTTTTATTCTAGCCAAAATAAAATAAATAAGACTTTCTCCAGAAGAAAAAATATTATCAGACATACTGTAAAAATGTCCTTGCTCTGTTGAACACCATTTGGAAATTATTTAAAAAAGAAGAAAAAAAAATAGAAGGGGGCTAATAATTCTGACTTCAACTGTATATAGTAGTTCAGTAGAAAACCCATCCCTCTTCATGATATAAAGATCATGCCCAACATATGTGGTTATTTTCTATTTATATCTCCTTTGAAATATGGTATAACTTGCACAAATACAGACTTTCCTCTGTCTCCCATTCAGTTTTTACTTCCTGTTCTCCATCTGAATTACACAAGTCACCAAATCCATGTGATTGAAAACAACTTATACAATGATTTGCCTAATTACCCTAATTAATCTAGTCAAGCCTTTAAATGTAACTTTATCTGAATACTAGTATCCTGAAAAATATCTGGTCCAATATTGTTTACTGTCATCATGATAAAGATAAAATAAATCAGTTATTAGAAATCAGTTATTAAAACTATTATGTTTACAAGTGTGTTGAAGAAATCTGAACAATAATTTGGGGAAAAGATATATACAGGAGGACTAATAATTCAGACTTGACCTGTGCATTAAAATGTAATTTTTGAATAGGAATACGCATTAAACTAAGCACTTCATTTGGACAATATTAAAGGCAAACTCTGAGATTCCAGATTTCCCAACGGCCAAATATGAGTCTATCCTTATAAACTATACATCTATTGAAGGCTTATTTATTCAGCTGACCCTTAAGACTGGCTTTGTGGTCCAGGGTCACGCTTGTGTTCCTCATGGCTGGAGCGGGCCGATGTCCTGAGAGAGCAGTGAGGACTGTGAGCTCTGACTGCTGCTGCTGCTGCTGCTGCCACCGCGCTCCTGCTGGGGGAAACAGAAACTGCTCTCCTCTGAAACCGTCTCTGCATTCGCTGCTTCTGCTGAGAAAAACACACACACATGCATGACACAAGGAAAGAGTCAAATAATTCAGTCATTTAATTCAGGTTTAAAAAAAAAAAAAAAGAGTCATTATAATCCTCAAAGTTTATTGATTATTAAAAAAGGCAATGCATTAGAATTACATTTACATTTACATTTAGTCATTTAGCAGACGCTTTTATCCAAAGCGACTTACAAATGAGGACAAGGGAGCAATTTACACAACTAAGAGCAACAATGAATAAGTACTAAAGGCAAGTTTCAGGTCTGTAAAGTCTAAGAAGGGAAGTGTTAGTAGTTTTTTTTTTTTTTTTGTTTGTTTTTTTTGTACAGTTAGTGTGATATTCAAATAGGCAATTGCAGATTAGGAAGTGAAGTGGAGACTAAATAGTTGAGTTTTTAGAATTAACAAATTACTGTCATCTGACTACGAATAACCCCACTCTTTCCTCTGCAAGATTACTGCAGTTGACTGAGTGAGTTTTAAATAGTATTTAATTGCATCATTATTTATTTATATTAGTTTTTATTTATTATTTCTGGAAAGTAGTTCATATAATTAAGAAGGCGACAACACCAAAGCTTAAAAAAATACCAGTTTATTAAATTAAAATGGCTGGAAAAGAAATATAATGTAATGTGTGTATTTATTTATGCAGTATAGCGCATTTATCTTGTATGATAAAATGGGAGGGTCTCTCCACACCACCACCACCAGTGTGCAGCATCCACTTGGATGATGTGACGGCAGCCACAGGACAACTAAAGTAATTATTAACTTAGCATCTCAAATCAGTCCATTGAGTGACATTTATTTATTTATTTATTTTCATTTATTTATTCATTTATTCATTCATTTATGTATGTATTTATTTATTTATTTATTTTTAAAGGCATTTATTTATTCATTAATAGTTCATTCATTTATTTTTTTCATTTATTCATTTATTTATTAATTCTTTTATGTATTTATTTATTAATGCATTCATTTATTTATCTATTCAATAATTCATTCATTCATTCATTCATTCAATCAATCATTTATCTATTCATTTATTAATTTTCATTCATTTGTCTATTTATTTATTTATTACTTTGTTAATTAGAAGATTTTTATTAAAAATTTGTTTTTTCATCACTCGTTTTTTTTTATGAAAAAATTGGGAATCCAGCTAATAGAGAATTTATTTACATGACTCAAAACTATTTAGATTCCTTAAAAATCTGAGTCGGAAATAAAATAATATAAATAAAACCCTTATAACTCTTTATGAGCATGTAATCAAACATAAGTCAAACACGGCCTTTTTCTTTATTTGAAAAAGAAAATAAATAAATAAAACATTTTAATAACAAACATAGGATCTCGAAGCAATATAATAGCAATATAAAAACCATATATTGTCACTGATTTTTGGATTCTTTACACAGAACTTTTAAAGCTATACACACACACACACACACACACACACGCACACACACACACACACACACACACAGACATATATATATATATATATATGTGTGTTTGTGTGTGTGTGTTTGTGTGTGTGTGTGTGTGTTTTCTACATTACAATTAAATTATACTTTCAAGTAATGCCTTACTATACATTTTTTTTTCGATGTATAAGTGATTTAATTAGAGTAACTAATTGCTGTCCAACCCAATTTCCCCAAACCAGAAGTGCAACCCATGATTTGAAACTCCCCAGAAAAAGCTGCCTATTGTGTATGGATTATTATTTTATTAGTATTATTATTATTTATTTATTTTTTTTACCAGCGAGAGGATTCCTTCTTTCTTTCTGTCCGTCTTTTCTTCTCCTCCACTCCAGCAGGATGAAGGTGGCCACAGGGAAGGAGATGCAGAGAAGCCCAAAGATGATGATTATTATGGTGGAGACCGCTGTGGTGAAGAGAAAGCGTGAGTCAGCCTCGTCATGTGATCTTTGACGATGCCCATTGAAACAACTGTTGAGGTTTATGGGTTTAAGGCCACGTCTATTCAAAGCTGACCTTTTACACACATCAATGGAATGAGTCATGAAGGTTAAATGAATAATTTTAGTTTTCTAATCATACACTTGATGTGGGTAAATTCTTAGTTTCTCTGTATTCATAGTTCAGAATTCGAGGAAAGTAATGTTTATTTGCTTCGTAAACTACTGATCACATCTCTTTTTCTAATTCTAAATTAAAAACATGTCAAAGGTGTTTCCCAGTACTGGGTTGCGGCTGGAAGGGCTGTGTAAAACATATGCAACTTTTTACACACAACAGTACGTCATTAGAATCTATCAAGGACAATGAATCATGAATCACGGTTATAGTGACACGGTGGCTCAGTGGTTAGAACTGTCACCTCACAGCAAGAAGGTCACTGGTTTAAACCCCGGCTGGGTCAGTTGGCATTTCTGTGTGGAAGACATATGCTATAGTGGAATTGAATAAGCTAAAGTGTCTGTAGTGTATGAGAGTTCGATTCTTGGCTCAAAGTCCTTTGCCGATCCATCCCTTATCTCTTTCCTGTCTGTATAATCTCCACTGTCCTGTCCCAATAAAGGTGAAAACCACAAAAAAAATAATATATAAAAAAAAAAACATATGATGGATAAGTTGGCGGTTCATTCTGCTGTGGCGACCCCTGATGAATAAACGGGCTAAGCTGTAAAGAAAATGAATGAATAAATTGCTGGTAGTGTATGAGTGTGTGTGTGAATAAGAGTGTGTATAGATGTTTCCCAATACTGGGTTGTGGCTGGAAGGGCATCCGCTGTGTAACATATGCTGGAATAGTTGTTGGTTCATTCCGCTGTGGCGACCCTTGATAAATAAGGAACTAAGACGAAGGAAAATAAATGAATGAATGAACAATATTCACTCAGCAATGGGTTTAAAAAAAAAAAAAAAGGGCAACGCAGCATGAGGTCTAAGTGATGCAATATTATAAACATATTTATAAACCCAATAGAAACAGGAAAACACCATAAGCACTTGAACATATACCATATAATTCAGGATATCTGGACACAGCCACAAGCGCCTCTTCCGCTATGATCAAAATAAAATAAATCAGCTGTTATGCCAACTTTCTACTATAAACAGAAGCTTAAAACTGTTGCCCCGCCTCCAAGCTCTTCTGATTGGTCTACTGCTGTGGAACTGACAGTGATGAGCTGTGCTGTGTTAGAAAGTTGAAGATCTTTCATCTTGACACAGCGTCTAAATAAACACGGCACTCACATACAAAAAAAACGTCATAACTATTGAAAATCATGTCAAAAAACTGCCTCGTTTCATTTGAGAAATATTGCTGAGTTACGAAGTATGCTATCCATCTCAGATGCAGACTAGTCCATGCTTTTATGACTTCAAGGTTGGATTACTGTAATGCTCTGTACAAAACGCAGCTGCCAGAGTTCTTACCAGGTCTAGAAAATATGATCATATCACCCCAACTTTATCCTCCTTACACTGACTGCCTGTTAAGTTTCGTATTGATTTTAAAATATTGCTTTTTAACTATAAAGCTTTAAATAATCTAGCTCCTGTTTATCTAACCAACCTTCTGTCTTGCTACAATCCAGCTCGCTCTTTAAGATCTCAAAACTCAGGGCTTCTGGTAATACCTAGAACAGCAAAGTCGAGTAAAGGAGGACGAGCCTTCTCATTTATGGCTCCTAAACTCTGGAATAGCCTTCCTGATAACGTCCGAGGCTCAGACACACTCTCGCAGTTCAAAACTAGATTAAAGACCTATCTTTTTGATGCACATGTGTGCTCCATGCATCTTGTTTTTATACATGAACAGCAACTACACTGATTATTCTCTTTATTCTCTATTTTGGACTCTCAGTAGTGATTATTAAACTGTGAACTGAACTGAACTGAACTGAACTGAACTGAACTGAACTGAACTGAAATTAAACTCTGAAAACTGAACTGTCACTGGTTCAATTCACTATAATCTTCTATGTAAAGCTGCTTTGACACATTCTACAGTGTAAAAGCGCTATAGAAATAAAGATGAATTGAATTGAATGCTGAAAAACTACAGAAAAGTAGCGCCTTGGAGAGGAAAAACTCATTTTATGTGAATGACCCCTAAAACTTCATTCATTCATTTTCTAGTCTGCTTAGTCCTTTTATTAATTTAGTCCCTTTATTAATCCGAGGTCGCCACAGAGGAAAGAACCACCAACTTATCCAGCACATTTTTACGCAGCGAATGCCCTAGCAGCCGCAACCCATCTCTGTTAAACATTCACACACACACACACACACGCACGCACGCACGCACGCACGCACGCACACACACACACACACTGACAATTTAGCCTGCCCAATTCACCTGTACCGCATGTCTTTGGACTGTGGGGGAAACCCACGCAAACGCAGGGAGAACATGCAAACTCCACACAGAAAAGCCAAGTGACCCAGCTCGAACATGCGACCCAGTGACCTTCTTGTTGTGAGGCGACAGCACTACTTACTGTGCCACTGCGTCGCCCCCTAAAACTATATATATATATATATATATATATATATATATATATATATATATATATATATATATATATATATATATATATATATATATATATATATATAAATAAAGAAACTGACCTCACTGATGATACTTTAATCTCATCAGAACCTCATTAGTGAGGTCAGATTAAACATGACCACTATCATGACCACAAATGTCTTTTATATTTCTGTCATACATACTTCCAATGTCTGCATCATTTCTTGTCACGTTTTTCCATGGTTTGGTGACAGCTGTCAGGCCGCAGATCACATCTGAAGAAGCAGTTCCAGCAGCGATGATCTGATGATCTGGCTGTGTACATCTGTGGGTTCAGAGATAAAGCATTTATCATGCTGAGATGTATCACAGTTTGAGATGTAAAACTTTTTGTATATATTGATGGACATATAGAGATGTTAAAATCCATCATACTTGGTCCAGTTGACACAGTTGTGATGAGTCTTGTCATTGTATGTCCCTGGAGGACACGGCTCACATTGTCCTGAAATCATTAATTAAAGCTCATTCAGTCAGATGGATAATAGTTACTAATATCAAAAGATTAAAAATGATCTAAGCAGGCTTACTTCCTTTGGGCTGTTCTCCTTTGCCACACACTTTATTGCAGAAAGAGCACCTGTGATCTGAACATTGATATCCTTCTTTACAAGCACAAACAGTGTCGCTGCTGGCGGTGCAGTTCGTTTTTACCCGCATGAGACCTACGAAGAGGACAGGAAAGAAACTTCTTCAAAATAAAAACAACATCTCCAGCAGTATAGTGTGGATTGAATATAGATCCGGCAGCTAGCTCTCTGCAACTCTCACATGGTCGCCCACTGAAGCTAAGCAGGGTTGCGCCCGGTCAGTACCTGGATGGGAGACCACATGGGAAAGCTAGGTTTCTGCCGGAAGTGGTGTTAGTGAGGCCAGCAGGGGGCGCCCAGCCTATTGTCTGTGTGGGTCCTAATGCCCCAGTATAGTGATGGGGACACTATACTGTCAATGAGTGAGCACCGTTTTTCGGATGAGATGTTAAACAGAAGTCCTGACTCTCTGTGGTCACAAAAAATCCCAGGATGTCCTTTGAAAAAGAGTAGGGGTTTCACCCTGGCATCCTGGCCAAATTTGCCCATTGGCCTCAGTCAATCATGGCCTCCTAACTCATATCATAATTAGCTTCATCACACAGTCTCCTCTCCACCAATCAGCTGGTGTGTGTTGTGCGTTCTGGCACAAAATGGCTGCCATCGCGTCATCCAGGTGGATTGTGTAAAGCGCTTTCAGTGCCCAGAAAAGCGTTATATAAATGCAAGGAATTATTATTGTTATTATTATTATTATTATTAATTAGATTTAAATGAAACTGTAATGTTTGGTGTACACAGGTACTGCTGAAGTAGAGATTAAATCTTCAACACTGGAAAGATTATGAAAATAAATATGTATTCTATTAAAACATAGATCAAAGATGAAAGAACAATCAAATATTTTTTTGTCATCAACTACCCTCCATATTTTGATTATGTGTAAATACAACCTCTGATGTTTTTAGACATATATTCCAACAAACCATTGCATTGCATATGCAAATATTGTCTCGAAAAAGCTATTTAATTGGCTGTTGGTGGACTGACAGGGTCAAACTAACTGTGTTCACTGGTAATCTATTTTTACACGTTTCATTTAAAGCGTTTTGGCATCATTGTTTCTCCATAATTGTATGGTGTGCAAATACAACCTCTGATGTTTGTATACATATGTTCCAAGAGAATACTGCATTACATATGAAAATATGGTCTTACATACAGCAATTTAATTGGCTGTTAAGGCACTGACAGAGCCAAACTGTATATTCTGACCATCAAGTTTCATAAGATTAATTTAAAGTCTTTTGGCATCAACTGCCCCCCATATTTATACGGTGTGTAAATACAATCTCTGATGTTTGTATACATGTATTCCAACATACCGTTGCATTACATATGCAAATATTGTCTCAAAGAAAGCCATTTAATTGGCTGTTGTTGGACTGACGTGGTGAAACTGTTCACTGCTAATCTACTTTTACACTTTTCATTTATAGTGTTTTGGCATCATTGTTTCTCCATATTTAGATTGTGAGTAAATACAACCTCTAATGTTTATGTACATGTGTTCTAAAATACCATTGCATTGCATATGCAAATAGAGTCTTAAATACAGCAGTTTCATTGGCTGTTAATGCTTTAAAACAGCCCAACTGTGTGCACCGCTCATCAATTTTCACATGTTTTGTTAAAGGATTTTTGACATCAATTTATCTCCATATTTGGAGGTTGTGTAAATACAACCTCTAATTTTCGTATACATATATTCAAATAGAATATTGTATGACATATGCAAATATGGTCTTAAATACAACATTTTAATTGGCTATTGATGCACTAACTGGGTCAAACTATGTGTGCTGACCACTGTATTCACTAGATTTGTTTAAAGTGTTTTGGCATCAACTGCCTTCTATAGTTGTATGGTGTCCAAATACAATCTCTGATGTTTATATATATATATATTCCAACAGAATACTGCATTACATATCTAAATATGGTCTTACATACAGCAATTTAATAGGCTGTTAAGCCACAGACAGTGCTAAACTGTATAGGCTGACCATAAAATGTCATAACATTAATTTTTAAGTCTTTTGGCACCAACTGCCCCCCATATTTATATGGTGTGTAAATACCAAATATCCCAACAGACCATTGCATTCCATATGCAAGTAAAGTCTCTAATGCAGGAGTGCTATTGGCTGTTGTTGCACGGACATAGTCAAACTTTGAATGGACCATTACATTTCACAAGTTTCATTCAAAGTGTTTTGTCCCAAATTGCCCTCCATATTTGAACAGTGATTAATGACATTAATAGTATAGGATGTTTCGGATAGGAGGATAAGCAAACAAATATTCAGCATGTGCTGTCAATTATTATATTATAACCAGCAATATATATGAGCATGCCAATATAACAATATAATATCATGTAATTAAAAACATAACATCTGAAATTTATATACATAAATCCCAATGATCCATTGCATTACAAATGTAAATATATTACAAATTTAGCACGTTTTGTTTTGGCACTGATTGCGCTCCATATGTGTATGCAGATTTGGACATATGCTGTACCTATACACTGGGAGCATCTCTTACAGGACCGCTCCGTTGGATTGGCGATGAAGGTGTCTTTTTCACATGGAGAGCACAAATCTTTAGGGTCTAAACCACACTTTTTGACTAAACGGTTTCCTGCAACAGAAACACACATGATGGATTGATTAGTCATGCAAATATGAAAATATATATCATACCTTGTTCTTATATTTAGATATTAAGACGGTGAGCAGAATTAAAACCTATTCAGTTACATTCTGACCCAGCTGAAGTACAAAACAAGGGCAGAGATTTAGGTTAGGAAACAAAACTGTAAAAACTTCTAAATACACATATTTTTCAGATTTTTGTACAATTTTTCTTCTAAAAAAATAAAATAAACTATTATTTATAAGATAAAATAGCTATTTGACAACAGTTTATGTTTTATGGTCTGATGTATGTGTAACATATTCAATTCATTCATTCATTTTCTTTTTGAGTTAGTCCCTTTAATAAACCGGGGTCGCCACAGCGGAATGAACCACCAACTTATCCAGCATATGTTTTACGCAGCGGATGCCCTTCCAGCTGCAACCCATCACTGGGAAACACCCATACACTCATTCACACAGATACACTACGGACAATTTTCTAACTTACTGAAATCACCTATATCACATGTCCTTGTACTGTAGGGGGAAACCCATGCGAACACAGGGAGAACATGCAAACTCCACACAGAAATGCCAACTGATTTAGCCGAGGCTTGAATTAGTGACCTTCTTGCTATGAGGCAGCAGTGCGACCCACTGTGTCACCGCATTCATTATTTTAATTCATATTTTGCAAACAAATTTTTTAAATGTTAAAATGTTATTAAATCTACTTGGAAAGATTTTCTATGTACTTTTAATATGTCTGGTGCAAGGTTTAATATGTGTTAGTTGAGAGTTATTTTTGGGCTCTGGCTCCTTTAAGGAGGACACGCCTGAAAAGCAAGAGTGAAAGAAGAAAAAGGAGGTAGTGAAAAAAGTTTGGCTGTTGCAATGCTGTTGTGAAAGCTGTTGTCGATGCTCCAGATTAAAGGCAAAAGAAAATAATTATCACCAGTGTTTATTATATTGAAGACTCTAGTGTGTGAACAGCAAGTAATAAGGGTTACATATGTGTCAAAAAGCATACGCAATTTATTATTTTTTTTAATTACTTAGGGGAGTTGACATGGTGACTCAGTGGTTAGCACTGTCGCCTCACAGCAAGAAGTTTGCTGGTTTGAGTCCCGGCTGGGTCAGTTGGCATTTCTGTGTGGTGTTTCTATGTTTTCCCCGCGTTTCACATATATATATATATATATATATATATATATATATATATATATATATATATATAAATATATATATATATATATATATATATATATATATACATACATTTTCACTTAGGGGTGTACTCACTTTTGTTGCCAGGGGTTCAGCTATTATTGGCTGTATTTGTAGTTATTTTGAGAGGACAATAAATTTACACTACACACTTTACACTGACTTTACTATTCATTGTGTTTAAAGAGTCATTTCTGCAGTGTTGTCCTCACTGCAGGAGTGTACTCACTTTTGTAACATACTGTATATATGTATATGTATACTGTATATATTTTTTTCTCTTTTAAATATTTCCCGAATGATTTTTAACAGAGCAAGGAAATTTTCACGGTAAGTCTGATAGTATTTTTTCTTTTGGAGAAAGTATTATTTGTTTTATTTCAGCAACAATAAAAGCACTTTTTAATTTTTTAAAACCCATTTTTGGGACAAAATTATTAGCCACTTTAAGCAATTTTTATTTTTTTCGATAATCTCCAAAACAAACCATCGTTGTACAATAACTTGCCTAAATACCCTAACCTGCCTAGTTCACCTTATTAACCTAGTTAAGCCTTTGAATGTCACTTTAAGCTGTATAGAAGTGTTTTGAAAAATATCAAGTCAAATGTTATTTACTGTCATCATGGCAATGATAAAATAAATCAGTTATTAGAAATAAGTTTTTAAAGCTATTATGCTTAGAAATGTGTTGAAACAATCTTCCCTCCGTTAAACAAAAATTGGGGAAAAAATAAACAGGGCCGCTAATAATTCAGGGCGGCTAATAATTCTGACTTCAACTGTATATGGTATAAACATGGTAAAGCAAAAACAAATTCATTCACATTCCCTCATTAATGAGAAACTGCGGGTCAGATGTAGTATAGATTTGGTTAAACCTCATTCTTTATCACACATCTACATTTCTTTTCGCTCCACATTATTCATTTCTCAAACCCCCTGACATGTAGGATGAAAGATACTCTCTGTTGTGGTTCGATCACATGATCTCAAGCAGAAACTGTGACGCATTTTACATCAAAGCCTTCATATACTGTATCCTTTACTGTATTCAGATTTATACATGACAGAAATGATTTATGCAGATATTAATGATTTAAAATTATGTAGTCCACTTTGTATTCAGATGTGACTGTAAATTAAAGACAATTACAAAAAGAAGCAACATTGGCAATAAGGTAAACCTATGGCATCTTAATATAAACATTATTTAAATATACAGTTGAAGGCAGAATTAATAGCCCCTCTTTGAATTTTTTTCTGTTTTAATTATTTCCCAAATGATGTTTAACAGAGCAAGGAAATTTTTACAGTATGTCTGATAATATTTTTAATATCTTGTTTGTTTTATTTCAAAATATTTGTTTTATTATAAAATATTTTTTATTAAGCAGTTTTTCATTTTTTTAAAAGCCATTTTAAGGTCAATATTATTAGCCCCTTTAAGTTTTATTTTTTTCTCGATAGTCTACAGAACAAACCATCATTATACAATAACTTGCCTAATTACCCTAACATGCCTAGTTAACCTAGTTAAGCCTTTAAATGTCACTTTAACCACTTAAACTCTTCTGCTATTTGGGGATTTCCGCCTGGATTTTGCCTACCCAAATTTAAAAGCTTCCCAAATCCACATAAAGAGGTGTAAATGCAAAAATTTGGTATCATTTTAAAGAAAACCCTTTGAATTTTCATAAAACACTATTGAAAGTGTTTAAAATAACTGTATATGTTGTCTGTGTTATAATAAACACCTTAAAAAAAAAGAGGCGCTTTTTGTATTTTTTTTTATAAACTCAAATTTGAAAGTGTACTCTTTAGGCTCTGTGTGGTCTAGCGTGCTGTAATTAATTTTGCTGGTTTCTGCACATGTCTGTAATCATAAGGGGAAAAAAAAGGTCTAACATAATCTATGCAAAAGTTATTGTATTCCAACTGATGAGAGGTGCTGTACAAGCCACAGAGACCGATCCTTGTTTACATATTTCACTATTCTTTTGTTTGATCAAACATAATTCACTGTGTTTGGACCACATCAGACATATAAAAGGATTACTTATGCACATCACCTCAAAAACAGAGGAGAATGGCCCTGAAGCGCACAGCATAAGGTGAGAGATGACAGCTGTCTGTGCTATCTGGGGCTGCTTATTGATCATGAATGTATTGTTTACATTTCTGCGCCACGGAAACACTGTGATTCATTCAACAACTGTTTGGCATATGAATATAATTCAGTAAAAAGAATGCTAGAACCGTATGAGCACCGGCAAGAGCTTTCATTTGAGCTATAACTTGTACATGTGTCATATAAAAAAATATGAAAATGAACCAATGTAAAATACCTAGCTCGGGTATCCAAAATACTGTGTATTTAAGTGTAAATAACTTTTATACAGTAGGATAAAAACCAAAGTGATGCATATGTGCATGAAATATAGATTCTACACTTTCAAACGAAACCACTTACGGGGGTCTGGTGCAACGCTAGCCCTTTAAATCTGAAAGCGAAAGTCGATGACGTCAGAGTTTAAGTGGTTCAGCTATATAGAAGTGTCTTGAAAAATATCTAGTCAAATATTATTTACTGTCATCATGGCAAAGATAAAATAAATCAGTTTTAGAGATGAGTTACTAAAACTATTATGATTAGAAATGTGTTGAAGAAATCTGCTCTCCATTAAACAGAAATTGGGGAAAAAATAAACAGTTAATTAATACATTAATAACTTGTACTAACAAGTAAGGTATCTCACATATGAACTCTTGTGACTCATGTTGTAGTTTAAGTTAGTTCATGATTAAGTGTGCACCTTAACTCATCATTAACTCATAATAAAGAAATGTTTAGTGTACATATTAATACATCATTATCCATGTAATGTTCATGTAGTGTTACCTATTTATTTATAAAGCACATTTAAAAACAGCCAAAGTTGACCAAGTGCTGTACATCCTTTATGATTTAACCATCTGAGAAGGAAACACTCACCTGGTTTACAGCTGACACAGCACACTTCGACTTTGTTTACAGTAGAAATATCCCAGTTCTGACATCCAGACTCCAGACTGTGAGCTGCAGCCAGAAGCAGGAGAAGCAGAGCAAACACCATCTCCATCAGCTCCTCACACACGCAGACATACACACACACACTCGTCTCTGATAAAATGAAGATCTACTTCGGTACGCTGCGTCTAAAACTCTTAACCGCTCGCACATAAACCACATCTGAAAGTTCCTAAACGTCACTAGCGCTCCCACACACACACACAGACGCGAGTGAAGATACTGATGATAATGACTCGTCAGATTTCTGTTTTGCTGAGGGTGTTGTGTGCGTATGTGTGCACGTGTGTGAATTTGATGATGATCTGGTTCAAAGTTGCTGGGAGATTCCTTCATTCAATTTTAATATTCAAATGCTGCTGAGAAATAAAGGGGAATCTCAACCGTTGTGCAATCTTTTTGTGCAATCGGTTACTTTTTTTTAAACCTATGTGTGTGTGTGGATATACATATGTGAAAGCGTTAGCTCCGTCACCGATTTATTATTTATTTGCTACTTTAATGTTTTAGATCATCAAACTAATTTAATTATTAGTCAAAGATAACACAAGTAAACACATCATGCAGTTTTTAAATGAAGCTTTTTATTATTAAGGGAAATCAAAATTCAAAACTACATAGCCCTTTGTGAAAAAGTGTTTACCCCCTAAACTTATATTATTGGGGCACCATTAGCAGCAACAACTGCAATCAAGCATTTTCCATAACTTGCAATGAGTCTGTTACAGAAATGTGGAGGAATTGTGGCCCACTCAACTCTGCACAATTGTAGTAATTTATCCATACTGGCGGGTTTCCGAGAAAGAACCATATTTTTAAATTCATGTCACAGCATCTCAATTGCATTCAGGTCAGGATTTGACTAGGCCAATCCAAAGTCTTGACTAATATTTACACTTTACCTCTTAATAAGTCATGCCACTGAATCTCAATTGTATTCAGGTCAGGACTTTGACTAGGCCACTCCAAAGTCTTGACTAATATTTACACTTCGAGTATTAATTAGTCATGCCACTGAATCTCAATTGGATTCAGGTCAGGACTTTGACTAGGCTATTCCAAAGTCTTGACTAATATTTACACTTCGAGTATTAATTAGTCATGCCATTGAATCTCAATTGTATTCAGGTCAGGACTTTGACTAGGCCACTCCAAAGTCTTGACTAATATTTACACTTCGAGTATTAATTAGTCATGCCACTGAATCTCAATTGGATTCAGGTCAGGACTTTGACTAGGCCACTCCAAAATCTTGACTAATATTTACACTTCGACTATTAATTAGTCATGCCACTGAATCTCAATTGAATTCAGGTCAGGACTTTGACTAGGCCATTCCAAAGTCTTGACTAATATTTACACTTCGAGTATTAATTAGTCATGCCATTGAATCTCAATTGGATTCAAGTCAGGACTTTGACTAGGCCATTCCAAAGTCTTGACTAATATTTACACTTCGACTATTAATAAGTCATGCCACTGAATCTCAAATGGATTCAGTTCAATACATTGACGGCCACTCCAAAGTCTTGAAATATAATAACACTCTGACTATTAATAAGTCATGCCACTGAATCTCAGTTGGATTCAGGTCATGACTTTGACTAGGCCTTAGTTCTTCTTCAGCCATTTAATAGTGGATTTGCTGCTGTGTTTTGGATGATTTTCCTGCAGCAGAACCCAAGTTCACTTCAGCTTGAGGTCACAACACTAACAGATGGACGTTCTCCTTCAGGATATTTTCGTACACAGCAGAATTCACAGTTACATTCATAAGAGCAAGTCTTCCAGATCCTGAAACAGCAAAACAGCCCCAGACCATCACACTACCACCACCACATTTTACTGTTGGTATGAAGTTCTTTTTCTGAAATGTGGTGTTACTTTTATGCCAGACATAATAGGACACACACCATCCAAAATGTTTTTGTCTCCTTAGTCCTTAGAGTATATTTCCAAAAGTCTTGAGGACCATCAAGATGTTTTCTGGCAAAACTGAGACAAGCCTTTATCTTATTTTCACTCAGCAGTAGTTTTTGTCTTAAAACTCTGCCATATTTGCCTAGTCTCTTTCTTATGGTGGAGTCATGAACACACCTTATCTGAGGCAAGTGAAGCCTGCAGTTTTTTTGGATGTTGTTGTGGGGCCTTTTGTGACCTCTTGAATGGGTTGTTGCTGTGCTCTTGGGGTAAATTCGGTCAGCCAGCCACTCTTGGAAAGGTTCATTTTTTGCCATTCATAGATAATGGTTCTCATTGGGGCTCATTGCAGTCCCAAAGCTTTAGAAATGGCTTTAGAAACTTTTCCAAACTGACAAATCTCAAAAAATTTCCTTCTCATTTGTTTTTGTTTTTCTTTGGGTCTAGCTTTTTAAGGATCTTTTGGTCTACCTCACTTTGTCAGGCAGGTCCTATTTAAGTGGTTTCTTGATTACAAACAGGCGTGGAAGTAATCAGGCCTGGGTGTGACTAGAGAATTTAAACTCAGGTGTGATAAACAAGAGTTAAGTAATATTTTAGGGGGGGCCTAACACTTTTTCACACAGGGCTATGTAGCTTTATTTAGTTTTCTTATTAATCAAAACCTTCATTTCAAAACTGCATAATGTGTTTACTTTATTATATTTTTAAAATTCCATATTTAATGAAACTTTTGAATGATTCTGAAGTGTGCATCACAGCAAAAGAAAAGAGACAGAAACAAAAAGAGCCCCTCTCTTATATATTTATTTACAATTCAACTTAAAATGAGACAATATTTTAAACAGTAGGCAGTACAAGCAGTTGGCCTTATATTCCATAAATTATGAGTCCATGTAAATGAGGCATATATTAATAGTCTTATTCTTCAAGTGTGACATCAGTGCTAATGAAAATGTATTTTGGGTCAGCAGGAAACTCCCTCTTTCATATTCAGTGTCATATGCATAAGTAAATGCAAAGCGTGGTGATTACTGTAACACTGGTGATGTCATCGATTTGTGTTTTCACTGCTCTTCATCATTTCTTCTGAACGGAGACCTCCACGTCTCCCTCTGCAGGCCAAAACCAGCAGTTCTGAAGCTTGGGGTGAAAACACTGGGCATGCTGCGCAGCAGACCTGTTTTGACCTCATCGTTCCGCTTCTTCATCAGAGCCAGAGCAGGAGTCAGAGCAATATTATCACTGTTCTGGAGGACAAGAGAAAACACTGCACATCAACAATGCACATACATCTTTTGTACCGCAACTTAAAAAAATATTATGTTTGAATATGCAAATGATGCTTAGTTTATTTAAATATGAGCTAATTTTTCGTTTGCATAGATCTGCAGCACAAAAATTTTAACATTGCATGACTCAAAATTATTTATGTCTATAATTTGTTTTACAAGTCTCTTAAAATGTTATGTGAATATGCAAATGATGCTTAGCTTAATTAAATATATGTTAATATGTTAATATTTCATTTGCATAAATTTGTAGCACAAAAATATTAATCTTGCATGATTAAAAATTATTTACATATTTAATTTGTTACAAGTTTCTTAAAATGTTATGTTTGAATATGCAAATTATATATTTTTTATTTAAAAATGTGTTTAGTTTTTATTTGCATAAATTTGCAGCCACAAATCTTAACATTGCACAATTGAAATATATTTATGTATATAATTTGTTTTGCAAGTTTCTTAAAATGGTATGTTTGAATATGCACGTGATGCATTGTTTTTTAAAATATGTTCATTTTTCATTCGCATAAATTTGTAGCCAAAAATATTAACGTTGGATGATTGAACATTATTTTTAATAAATAATTTTTTACAAGTTTTTAAAAAATCTTAAGTTTGAATACGCAAATAATGCATTGTTTATTTAAATACGTGTTCATAATTCATTTGCACAAATTTGTAGCAAAATTATCTTAGCATTGTGATAGAACATTTTAAAATATATAATTGTTTTTACAAGTTTTTAAAAATGTTGTGTTTGAATATGCAAAGGATGCATTGCTTATTTAACTGTGCATATTTTTATTTGCAAAGATTTGTAGCACAAAAATCTTAACTATGCATGATTGAAAATTATTTACGTGTAATTCTTTGCAAGTTTCTTAAAATATTATTTTTGAATATGCAAATGATACATTGTGTATTTAAATGTATTCATTTTTCATTTGCATAAATTTGTAATAGAATTTTTAATGCATGCTTGAAAATGTTTTATATATAAGTTTCTTAAATGTTATGTTTGAATATGCATAGCATGCTTTGTTTATTTTTAATTTTTAATTTGCATAAATTTGTGGACATTGCTTGATTGGAAATTGTTTCTGTTTTAAAAAGAAACCCTAATGAGTATTTTTTAATGCTTTCTTTACATTAATATAATTATTTGATGATCAAGAAGCATTTAATTAATGCTTTACTGATGTTGAACTATAATACATTTACTTTTAAGATACTTTGATGACGATGAACTAAAGATGAAAAGTATTTATTGAAATATTAATATCAATATTTAGGACATAATTATTTAAAACATTATAAATGTCTCCAATCTCACTTTTGATCATTGCTGAATAATTTGATCCTTTCCTTAATAATACAATAAATCATCCTGACCCCAAACCTTTGAATAAAATTTAAAAATGACAAATGTTATAATTCACTATATGCCGCATTTAAATGAAACACTAAATAAGCATGAACCATTAATATCATTTAGGTTAACAGTATATTTGTATATTTTTTCATAACAGCTGCCTTATAAAGAGCAGTCAGCCTTACGATGTTTCGAGGGTTTGATGGCATGTCTGTCCGCTGTAAATTGAGGTCCATTGTGGATTTACTGACTCCTGTCGCTTTGTCTTCTGTCTTCATCTGTCCTGAAGTGGCCCGAGCATTGACCCGCTTAAAAATATCACTCAAAGTGCTGAACGTCTTGCTCCGGGACAGATCTGATGGCTTCTGTCAAATAACACAAAACACAATTTAGCTTAAACGGACAAATAATAAATAATAATACAACAATAAAAACTAAATATAATTAAAATATTACAAATATATAAGATAGGAATTAAAAACACTCAAAATAAAAATATAATGTATAAAATATAACCAATTAAACCATATTTAGTTTCATATAGTGATAATCTAGTATACACACAAACATACACTCGCCGGTCACTTTATTAGGTACACCTATCCATCTGCTCGTTGATGCAAAGTTCTAACCAGCCAATCAAATGGTAGCAACTCAATGCATTTAGGCATGTAGACATGCTTTTATATATATATATATATATATATATATATATATATATATATATATATATATATAAAAGGTGGCAAAAAACCCGAATTAAAGAAAAAAAATTGCAGTACTATTATTTACTTATAGAGAATACATTTAAATTCTATTACACTTGCATTTGTGATAATATCACATGAATATAATACAGAACATTATTATACTATCATGCAGGCATATTTCAGTGCGTGATCTATGTATATGTTGAGATCTACCTTAAGATTGACGTGAGCGTTGGTTTCTGTGTTCAGGGTTTCTCCTAAACCTCTGTCTCTCCTGAGGAACGGCTCTCGTCTCAGTGCAGATCCCAGCTCTTCCTCTGAGCTCAGATCTGTCCTGTGTGTTCGAGATCTGTAAACGGGGAAGCGCTCCTCGTTTTCAGTGTTCAGGAGAGGATACGCCACTCTGTCAGCCATCTGGAGAGACCTTAAAGGGGCAGTTCACAAAAAATGACAATTTTCTTACTATTTATAAACTCTTGTTGAAACAGTTTTAAAAATTCTGTTGAACACAAAAGAATATATTCTGAAGACAGCTAAAACCTGTAACCATTGACTTCAATAGGAAAAACATATAGTATGGAAGTCAATGGTTACAGGTTTCCAGCATTATTCAAAATATTTTCTTTTGTGTTCAACAGAAGCAACTCATAAAGGTTTAAAACAAGTAAAAGGTGAGTAAATAAAGACACAATTTAATTTTTTAGGTGAACTATCCCTTTAATATGTATATGTATATATTAGACATATATCAGATTAGTCAGTGCGGAAGCCAAATCTGGAACTAATTTAACAAAAACACTTAAGGTTATGGTCCAAAAATTAGTAGCCTAAATTTTTATGTTAGGGAAAAATATTAAATAAAAAAAAATTAAAAGAGAGGAAAACAAAAAATAGATAAAATGTTGTTTGTTGTTGCCATATTTCACATTCATTCAAATGTATTATCTTCCTATTTTTAATGATGTTTGGTGACTAAAATATTGTTTTAATAAATATACCCCTTTAATAATTCAATATTTATATATTACTCTAAATACAACATTTATTAAAATGTATAACAATTTGTAATGTATTTTTAAATAAATAAATGCAGCCTTGGTGAGCAGCCTATTTTAAAAAAATTAAAACCCCAAAACTATATATATATATATATATATATGTGTGTGTGTGTGTGTGTGTGTGTGTGTGTAGTTTTGGGTTTTTAAATGTTTTAAAATAAGCTTCTCCTGCTCACCAAGGCTGCATGTATTTAATCAAAAATACAGTACAAATTGTTATGAATTTGAATAAATATTGTATTTAGAGTAATATACACACAAACACACACACACACACACACACACACACACACAAACAAACACACACACACGTATATATATATATATATATATATATATATATATATATATATATATATATATATATATATATATATATATATATATAATTATTAAAGGGCTATATTTATTATAACAATATGTTAGTCACAGTTGAAGTCAGAATTATAAGCCCACCTGTTTATTTTTCCCCCCAATTTTTTGTTTAGCAAAGAGATTTTTTTCAGCACATTTCTAATCATAATAGTTTTAATAACTCATCTCTAATAACTGATTTATTCAATCTTTGTCATGATGACAGTAAATAATATTTGACTAGATATTTTTCAAGACACTTCTATACAGCTTAAAGTGACATTTAAAGGCTTAACTAGGTTAATTATGTTAACTAGGCAAGTTAGGGTAATTAGGCAAGTTATTGTATAATGATGGTTTGTTCTGTAGACTATCGAAAGAAAATAGTTTAAAGGGGCTAATAATTTTGACCTTAAAATGGTGTTAAAAAAAGTGAAAACTGCTTTTATTCTAGCCGAAATTAAAAAAATAAGACTAATAAATCTAACAAAAACACTTTACAGTAATGGTCCAAAGAATAGTAGCCTAAATTTATGTTAAGGAAAAATATTAAATAAATAAAAGTTAAAAAGAGGGGAAAAAAGGTTTATAAAAGTTTGTTGAAGCTTTGAAGTTTGTAATTTTTGCCATACTTTCCATAAATCAATATCTATTATCTTTATATTTCTAAAGATGTCTGTTGACTAAAAAAGTATTTAAACAATTAAATCCCTTCCTTTAATAAATAAATAAATTCATTCATTAGTTTTATTTACGGCTCTTCCAGCTGCAACCCAGTACTGGGAAACACCCATACACTTTCATTCACACACATACACTTTGGACAATTTAGCTCACCATTTAGCTCACCCAATTCACCTATAGCATATGTTTTTGGACTGTGGGGGAAACCAGAGCATGGGATCATGGGGAGAACATGCAAACTAAACACAAAAATGCAAACCCAGCCGAGGCTCGAATCAGCGACGTTCTTGCTGTGAGGCGATCGTGCTACCCACTGTGCCACTGTGACGCCCATTTTTCCTAACCCACCCATGCGTTGAAGAATGAATACATTTTTAAAAAGTACAAATATTAATATGCAAAGGTATTATTATTATTACGAGCTATTTAGACCTCACATTATATTAACATTATTGAGACCCAGAGGACATCACACTCATTAACATCTATCAATATATTTGGATTGCTGTTCATCCATCTTTCGCTTTTTTTAAAGATATATTTACCTGTTCATCGGCTCGTTGCACTGCATTTCTCCAGGTGAGTAATGGTACCTGACAGTGAAAAAGCACAGGTATGTTAACAGCAAACACAAGTCTAACAATACATCTATACAGAACAGAAACACTGACCTCGGCCTTTGATATTCTGGGTGCCGCAAGTCTGCCAGAAACATTGAATTTAACCTGAAACACAGATAAGACCATGTTTATACTGCAAAAGGGCAAATATTGAATCTCACTATAAAATAGAAGAGCCATAAGAGTTATCAGTTTGCAGAATATGATATATTATAATACTTTATATTGATCTTCAACGTCAGGGCTGTCCAAACATGGTCCTGGAGGATCGGTGTCCTACAAAATTTAGTTCCAACCCTAGTTAGACACACCTGAACCAGCTAATCAAGCTCTTTCTAGGTATACTAGAAATTTCAGATACTGTCGAAGGAAGTTGGAACTAAACTATGCAGGACACTGGCCCTCCAGGACTAAGCTTGGGCATGCCTGCTCTACATGTGGTCATGCTTTTCAGTTTTGGTGTTTAGTGGTATTGTTTTCCATTGCAAATCAAAATTTTTACATTAAATTCTTACATTTAAGCTTCACAAACCACTCACTATGCTTAAAAATGAAATTAATTGGATGCACTAAATCTGTCATTATTTTATTCATTTATGTTATGAGGGATTTTAATTGCTTTTTGCTATCCTATACACTTCTGCTCATTAAAGCCAGATTTGCAAACACGTAAACAATGTAGTAATAGTCACAGTATTTACTATTATATGTTTATATCTTTTCCCAGAGATGGGTTACGGCTGGAAGGGCATCCGCTGTGTAAAAACTTGCTGGATAAGTTGGCGGTTCATTCTGCTGTGGCGACCCCGGATTAATGAAGGGACTAAGCCGACAAGAAAATTAATGAATGTTTATATCTGTGTATCAGTTTTGCTATTTTAGCTGTGCCTTTACTGAATGAGCACTGTGCTACGTCCGACAGATCGCACTATTATGTTTTTCTTTTTCATTACCTTATAATCTATTTCAACACATTTTTAATCTGTTTTATCAATTTTTTATTCTTATTTTTATAATTCTTATTATTTGTTTTTTTTTCTTACACTTGTCTCTTTTATTCCTGTTTATGTAAAGCACTTTGAATTGCCTCTGTGAATGATATCTGCTATATAAATAAACTTGCCTTGCCTTGCCTATCAGTGTGCGAATTATACATTGACGATTGCGGGGGTCAACTTTTTCGGTAGTAGTTTGATAATCCATGCTTCAATGAATATTTCTGATAATGATTTTGGGGCCCTACCTTGCTCTAAATAGTGGAGTATTGCCATTGAAAAACAGCCCACAATGATTTTGATGCTTATTAATTACAATCAATGAAACAGAAACGTAAAGCCTAATTTCTTCCACTTAATAACTCTCTGAATGACTCGGACATTTTAAAACTGCACTGTTTTTGTCATCTTGTAGCTTCAAAATGAACAATTAAACCATTTTTAATAAAGGGACCAGTGATTCCTCCTTTGCATCCTTCAGGAGTGTTTAAAACATATTTTATTAATTTGGCAAAAAGAAGATTATATAAAATATTCCGGAGTGAGTTTTTTATTTGTTTTAATAAATTCCAAAAATGGCGACGCAGTGGTGCAGTAGGTAGTGCTGTCACCTCACAGCAAGAAGGTTGTTGGTTCGAGCCTCTGCATTTCTGTGTGGAGTTTATTACAATTTTTAGTACTATTTTTGATACATTTGTTGTTTTATCAAATATTAAATATCAATATTTTGTTGGTATTGAATTTAGAAATCCCAGTATCTCGACACTACACTTTAGTTAATCACTATCCTAATGAACATGTTTGTAGCTTTGTATCACATTGGATAACAACTCGTACTATAAAATAAATCACACTTCTTCGGGGCTAAGCCCCTTATCCCTTTTGACCCTAGCAATGCCCCTGGTATATGCTGTGTCCGTGCCAAAGACTGTAAAAGACAGCTCGCACCACTAGTAGGTTGTGGGGGCCTTGCCACACCACACCAGTTACACCAGCCACGCCCCGTAGGGTCAAAGATTTCCATGGTTACAGAATATAGTGTACACCTGCTATGGATACAATATGGGTTAGTTACTCGTTGTTTTTTGGTTGTTTTTTTAGGCAAGAAATAAACTACAGTTACAGATAAATCATTTTATTTTACACTTTGTTACCAAAAGTTTGCATATAGTCTTAGACTGCCCCCCCAAAATAAAAAAAAAGCTAAAAAATTGTTTAATATAAATCAATCAGGTTATTTGCTGTTTTTATGCAGAAGTTTGATGTAGTTTCACTGTATTTGTGAATATATACTTAAAAAAATGTGTATTTCTTATACTCACCAACATATGCTTATTTATGCAATGAAGAATAAATAATGTTTTTTTTAAAGTACAAATGGTAATATGGAAAGGTATTAATGTTAATTTTGGGTTGTTTTTAACCTAATAAACAAGTTACAGAAGTTGTGAGACCAAACTTACTTGCCCTCCTCTGGATATCCCGTCAGGAATCTGGAGTTGTAGTCATTATGGGGAATCTCCCATCCTCCTCCAACCGGGAGTCTGTCCAGCAGGTGTCGGTGGGGGAACTGGAGCTCTGGAGCCGCTTCTGGAGGACTCAAACTGCCGTCCGGGAACCTGCGGATGACCCCCATCGCCTCCCAGTCCAGCACGCAGTCGGTCGGAGGAGGCGGAGGGCTGGACACAAACTCGCTGATTTCCACTTTGTTTATATTCAGCGGCAGGAGTTTCTTATATATTTTGGGCTCGCTAGTTTGTTTTCCAGTTTTCCAGGCGTCCGGAATTGGAAGTGAAGCGGCGTAAAGAGTCCGAAACTCGCGGTCGAAAGACTCCACAACTGGGCCGCTCATGACGGTGACGAGCTGACGGTGCAGATAGGTGTCACTCCAGGTAAAACTGACCAACACACAGAAAAATAATTAAATATATTTAAACATGAAAATGTTATAAGGGATTTATTCTGTTATGTTCGTTACTTCTATAGTTGTTCTACATAGATATATACATTAGATGTCGCCTACCCTGATGTTGTCTATTAGAGGGAATGCGTCAATAGAGCCGCCATTTTGCAACAGGGTAGCGCTCCTTTGAAATGAATGCGGGACCAAGGTACAGTGGAGGACTGTGGCCATCCAAAGCCAGAGATATACACATATACACATATATATGTATGATTGGGAGTTTTCCTGGATGTTAGTATGCATTTTTTAAATTACGAAAATTATAATTTGACATCACTTTTCTAAATTGATCAGTGATCACACTCGTTCACTAGCAGACAACAATACAAGTTTCTGGCAGCGCAGCATCTCGTTGTCATATTTCTTTTCCATCGTTTGCTGATTTTAATAAACAAAACTAGCTTAGGCCGAGTGTTAAGTGCGAGTTGGAGCTGCTTTGCCGTATAGTGAATGCAGTAAGTGACTGTATTATCATCAATAACGTGACCTGATTAGCACAAAAGTTCAGAACATACAAAAACAGAAAAAAGCTTAATCTTACCTATGAAATGTTCTGCCTTTGTGCTTTGCTTTCTTTGTTTGCTCGTTACTACACCCGTAGACAGCGCTAAAGTCCCGCATCTTCATGTAGCAACACTGTCTTCTAGTGCGGCTGAATGTCATTTGTCCTGGGAGCACTGTACCAATGTGGCGGCGCTATTGACGAATGCTCAGGGTCCCTATGCGATATCTGGTGTATATATATCTATGGTTGTTCTATAGTTTGGCGCCCTCTAGTGGCAATTAAGCCTGTTACCTCCACTGAAAAAAAAAATAGGCCTACAGTGTACAAAAAAAATAACTAAAAAGTTATAAAGTCGCAATTCTGAGTTATAAAGTCCCAATTCTGATTTATTAAGTCATTTATAATTGCGAGATATTAACGAGTTCCTGTTATGGCGACTCATAGATACACTAGATATCGCATAGGGACCATGAGCATGCGTCAATAGCGCCGCCATATTTGTACAGTGCTCCCAGGACAAATAGTCAAGACAGTGTTTAGCGATGTCTACGGGTGTAGTAGCGAGCAAACAAAGAAAACAAAAATTTTATCTCGTTATAATGACATAATATTTCGTTATAACGACACAATATCTCGTTATAACGACATATATTTTCGTTATAATGACATAATATCTCGTTATAACGAGATTATATATCGACATAAGTTTTCTTTTCTTTTTTCCTCACCACCAAGATTGCTTTTTTTTTTTTTTTTTTACACCTTGCGGTTCAGGACTTCCATACAAACCGAATCGGTGGGTTTAAAAGTTACATTTTTATTTAATTGAAAAAAACTGTAGCCAATTTTTGGGCCATATTTGAGCCAACATTGGATTAGAAGAACCCAACATTTAGAGTTTAGCGCTATAGAAAATAGTATTGGGTCATTTACTGAAGTTGTTGTGTTCCCATAGCAAATATAGATTCACCACAACGGAATAATTCAAGTACTTCACTATAGTATGTTTGAAAATCACTGTATTATTTACTGTAATATTTTTCATTCTGGTTTTACTGTACATATTAAAGTATTGGCAACATGTTATTAATGAATGCCACAGCATACTGCAGAAACTACAGTGAGCTGATACAAAAAAATCGAATATACATAAGTTTTTACATGAGTAAACAGTGATATATTGTAATATATATTACAATTTAAATGATTTCAATGGTTGTTATATTAACATAGCATATATAATTACCACAACAGATCAATTCAAGTACTTTACTATAGTATGGTCCACTAAAGTATTGACTATAAACTACTGTAAAACTTAAAACATTTCACTGAGTGTTTACTTAGTTTCTCCTTTAGTTCTCTCAGAGTTTAGATTTGATTTTTACTCTTTATATGACAATAAACATGTACGATTTTCAAACAATTTAATCTCAAATCAACATTGCTTGAGTCTCGTGGTGAAAAGCGTTAAACGCTGACTATAATGTGCTGCTTAAATATCTGTCTAGTCTGAACTTGCCTCTATGCAGACGCTTTGTGTTCAGTGAAATGAGAAAATGCTTTGACTTAAATTAATATTTCGGTCGTAATTATATGTGAAGTAGCTGTTTTATAAGGGGGAAAGTGCAGTGCATATCCAGCCAGGTGGTATTGCAAAATAAAAGCCTTCAGGGTGATTGCATTAGACTAGATGTACTGTAACAAACGCCATACATCTACATATATAAAAATATAAGATGTGTACAATATTACAGGACTTCCCAAAGCCACTAAAACAACTTTGATCACTTTATATGAGAAACAGCACGGAAAGCTGTCATTGATATAATAATCTCATTTAAACCCATTTGTGCATATATTTTAGCTTAATGCATATAGTTTTTTGCATATAATAGATTTTTTTTGATGCAGTATACACTCACCGGCCACTTTATTAGGTACACCTTACTAGTTCCAGGTTGCGCCCCCTTTTTGCCTTCAGAACTGCTTTAATCCTTCCTGGCATGGATTCAACAAGGTACTGGAAATATTCCTCAGAGATTTTTGTCCATATTGACATGTTAGCATCACGCAGTTGCTGCAGATTTGTGGGCTGCATATCCATGATGCGAATCTCCCATTCCACTACATCCCAAAGGTGCTCTATTGGATTGAGTTCTTATGACTGTGGAGGCCATTTGAGTACATTAAATCATTGTCATGCTTAAAAAAACAGATTGAGATAATTTGTGCTTTATGACATGGCGCGTTATCCTGCTGGAAGTAGCCATCAGAAGATGAGTACACTGTGGTCATAGTGGCAGGGACATGGTCAGCAACAATACTCAGGTAGGCTGTGGTGCTGACATCATGCTCAGTTGGTACTAATGTGCCCAAAATTGGCAAAGAAAATATCCCCCACACCATTACACCACCACTAGCAGCCTGAACCATTGATACAAGGCAGGATGGATCAATGCTTTCTTGGTGTTGACGCCAAATTCTGGCCCTACCATCTGAATGTGGCAGCAAAAACTAAGACTCATCAGACCAGGCAACGTTTCCCCAATCTTCTATTGTCCTATTTTGGTGAGCCTGTGTGAATTGTAGCCTCAGTTTCCTGTTCTTAGCTGACAGGAGTGGCACCCGGTGTGGTCTTCTGCTGCTGTAGCCCATCTGCTTCAAGGTTGGACGTGTTGTGCATTCAGAGATGCTCTTCTGCAGACCTCGGTTGTGACGAGTGCTTATTTGAGTTACTGTTGCCTTTCTATAAGCTTGATCCAGTCTGGCCATTCTCCTCTAGCATCATCAAGGCATTTGCGCCCACAGAACTGCCACTCACTGGATATTTCCTCTTTTTCAGACTATTCACTGTAAACCCTAGAAATGGTTGTGCGTGAAAATCCCAGTAGATCAGCAGTTTCTGAAAAACTCAGACCAGCCCGTCTGGCACCAACAACCATGCCACGTTCAAAGTCACTTCAATCCCTTTTCTTCCCCATTCTGATGCTCAGTTTGAACTGCAGCAGATTGATTGAGCATGTCTACATGCCTAAATGCATTGAGCTGCTGCCATGTGATTGGCTGATTAGAAATTTGCGTTAACAGGCAGTTGGACAGGTGTACCTAATAAAGTGGCCGGTGGGTGGATATAATATCAATATAAAATGTGTATAGATAAAACGGCTTCAGAGGACATTTATTAAGGAGTATTGTGCATGAGTTATATATTATATAGACTATTATAATTACAGCTTTACGGTGGGACTTTGTCTTGTGGAGCTTGACTGTGGATCCATTGTTTTTGTGAGAACTGATATTGATTTGGAAAAACACAGGGAGAGAGTCATTGATTTCTACTGTAGGTGAACTACTCCCTTTATGTTTTCAACTACTTAAATGTTTTTTTTGAGTCAGTTATATTTAGTTTAAAGAATCTAATTCTTATACTCATGCATTAAAGTGATATTAAAGGAATTTATGGTGCAAACAAAGGACTTTTATTTTGAAATAAATGCTGTTCATTTGTAGATTAACCAAACAAAATCCTAAAAAACATGCATGATGGTGTCCACAAAAGTGTTTTCAATATCACTGATATTAATTATAAAATTGCTTTAGTCAATCCGCATGTTAGAGAGATCTCTAAATGATCATGTGAAAATGAAGACTTGAATAATGACTGTTTAAAATCAGCTTCACCATGAGGAATAAATTAGGATTTGTCTGAAAGGGATAGTTCACTCCGAAAGTAGGTTTTATTTTTATTTTTTGCAATGTTGGACACAAAAGAAGATATTTTGAAGAATGTTGGAAACCGGTAACCATTGACATTAATAGTGGGAAAACAAATAATATGGAAGTCAATGGTTACATGTTTCCAACATTTTTAAAAACATGTTCTTTTATGTTTAACTGAAGAAAGAAATGCATAAATCTTTAAAACCACATGAGTGTAAGTAAAAGTTAATTTTTTAGGGTAAACTTTCCCTTTAAACTATAATAAATTTTAGTATCTCACTATAAATGTAAAAAACTTCCAAATAAAATCTTACTAACCCCAAATTTTAAGCTGTAGTGTGAAAGAGACAAACAAATCGTTCCCACAAAGTGTTGATTTGTCTAATTGCCGTTCTAATGCAGGGCTGGTGTGGATTATAATCTTTAAAGCTATGAGCTGGCAACCCAAACCTTGGTACAGATCCCAGAAGGTTCCCACCCTTGTTCCCTGGAGCAAGTGTTTAATCTGCAGGTAATGACTTTCTTGCTGATTTATGAGATCTGTTATGAAAGTGTGCTTTACCTGTAGCTCCCCAACATCACCGTCTCCAGATCCACCAGCACAAAGTTGTCCTTCAGTTCTCCAATCACCATCCTTGAGTCGCGCGTCAGGAATGTTTTACCTCCGAGAATACGGATCATGATATTCTGGAAGATGAAGAGTCAGATTTCCTTGAACTAGATTTCCTTGAATTACATGAAGGTTTTCAGCACATAGTTTAAGGCAAGACTGGACAGGTGAATAGGGAGTTTTTTTACTACTAGTTATTACCAGTTATTACCATATTTGCTCAGTTGATTGATTACATTAGAAATTAGAAAAAAAAATTGTAGCATAAAATGTCATAATTTATTTTAATACTCACTAGTTTGCATACTAAGTCACATTTGAATTTTATTCATATGCATTTTATCACTTTAAATAATAAATAAATATGTATATTTACAGCTGCACAGGAGTGGAATTCTGTCCCTGGCAGTATCAGAGATATAACCTCATTTAATATATTCAAAAAACATTTAAAAACCTGGTTTATAGAAAATCAGGCGTGTCATCATTCTGATTGAATTGAAACTAGCATGTTTCCAATTGTGCCTACCATCTTAAAGATCTGTTGTTTAAATGTGTTTCAACTATTTTTATCTCTATTATAAAATGTTGGTGTTTTAGCTTAATTTGTAAATATTCTCTTTTAACATCTATATGACCATGTCTGTTTTAGTACTTTTTAAATGTTTGATAGATTTTATAATTTTTGTATTGTTTTTTCTAGGTTGTTAAGGGACAATGCAGTTAAGGGAAATGCTAATGCACTGTCCCTGCCAAATAAACAAATAAATAAATATATATATATATATATATATATATATATATATATATATATATATTTTTTTTTTTTTTTTTTATATAATTTTTTTTTTTTTTTGGTTACCGGTTTCCAACATTCTTCAAAATATCTTCGTTCATGTCCAACATTGCAAAAACATTAAAATAAATTTACAATTTTTGGAGTGAACTATCCCTTTCAGACACATCCTAATTTATTCTTCATGGTGAAGCTGATTTTAAACAATCATTATTCAAGTCTTTATTTTCACATGATCATTCTAAAGATCTCTTTAAAGATCTCTTTAACATGCAGATTGACTGAAGCAATTTTATAATTATTATCAGTGATATTGAAAACACTTTTGTGGACACCAAGCGGAATGGACCGCTTACTTATCAAGCATATGTTTTACACAGCTGATGCCCTTCCAGCTGCAACCCATCACTGGTAAACATCCATACACACTCATTCACACTCATACACTAAGGACAATTTAGCCTACCCAATTCACCTGTACCGCATGTTTTTGGACTGTGGGGGAAACCGGAGCAAAATAGCAAATAGCAAAAAAACGTCCGCAGATTCCGTCTGGCCCTGCTTATCAGTCATCATAAAACAATAAAATAATCCTTTATAAAATATAATAATAATAATAATGTAATATTTTTTATGAGAATAGAAAAGATATTGTCTGGTAAAAAAAATGTCATATTAACACATTAAAAATCATTCTTAAATTTTACTATTCAGTCAAATTTACAATAATCTAATTTGAACTGCTTTTAGCCGTCCGCTTTATTTTTTTTAGTTTGGAAATCAGCTCCTCTGCTCTTACTTCTACGTGCCTGGCAATTGTTCTACGCGATAAGCTAATTTTCTCAAACTTACTTTTAGAGCAAGGACAAAGTATGTCAGCAGTCTACTCTCCACCATACAGTCTTTCACAAATTCACCTTCTGAAAAAGGCTTGCTGTGCTTTGCAATTTTACATGCCACCACATAGCTTTCGTTACAGACTTTTTAAAATAGCACTGTCTCATAAATGTCTTTTACTGGGCTTTTAAGTTTGTAGCAAGTTTTGTAGCCTAGTTTGCCTTTTCTGACAGCATAATTCGAATGTTTGCTTGAAAAATGAAAAATGTCAACTTAGGTTGTAGTCTTTTAAAAACAGCAATAATTTCTTGACATATTAGACATACTGATTTCTGTCCGATGTTGGTGTAGTACTTTGTTGTCCATTCTTCCTTAAACACATGACATTTAGAGTCAATTTTTTTTATTTTGCCTGACTCATTTTCAGTCATTAACGGTCGAGTGCATTTTAATATCCTAAAGTGTGTTCTAAATCTATTGGTTGTGTGCAATACTGCCACCACATGGCGTTCACTTGTATTGCATCATTAACTTGCTAATTCTGTAACCAAATTGTTATTCAGAAGCAGTATTTTAAAAACTTTAAAATTTAAAAGTTCAGAGAAGAAAGTGTTCAGCGGGCCGCATATAGCCCGCGGGCCATAGTTTGCCCACCTCTGCTCTATACAGTAGGTGAATTGAGTATACAGAATTGGCCGTAGTGTATGTGTGTGAATGAGTGTGTGGGTGTTTCCCAGTACTGGGTGGCAGATGAAAGGGCATCCGCTGTGTAAAGCATATGCTGGATAAGTTGGTGGTTCATTCCGCTGTGACAACCCAAGATAATAAAGGGATTAAGCCGAAAAGAAAATGAATGAATGAATGTTGTTATTTAATTGAAATAAATTAAAATATTATAATTTAATATTACAATCTTAAAATATTACAATTATAATTTATTTAAAAATAAAAAAATAATATTTTAAATGTATATGATTTCAAATATTTATTTTCCATTAGAAAGAAAAGAAACACACACTTTCTGAGAAGTGAAAAAGCCGAAAATCTCAAAGCGTGATATCGTCATATCTATATGCAGAGTTGATTTCCAGCTTATTCATAATTGTGAAGGCCAGTTCCTGTTAACTTTTACAGAGATGTACAGTGATAATTCTGACCAAAAACATTCCACAGACACACTCCAGATGAATGCAGCTCGACCTGTTCACTGTGGCTTTGTGAGTTCCTCTCATTCATGCTTACAGGACAGAAAGAGAAATATACTCTGCGATGAAAAGTACATTTTGCTAACAAGCTTAGAGTTATCCTCTAAGGTGTGTCTGCATCTATTGTTCAGGGGAACGGCCTAAAGTTCAGTCTTTTAACATGTGAGGTTTTGTGGCTTAAAGCGTTGCACAACTGAAATAACTTTCGAGCGATGAAATACTCATAACAGAATCAGTAGGCTTCTAGAGACTCACCGGATGCTGAAGGCGATGTATAGAGCATTTTTCCTCCACTGATCTTTTATTGAGGATGATGTACACTGGAACCCCTCGAGATGCTGCGTTTTGCAGGTCATTGATAACAGCGTTGTCTGATAATTTATCGGTGACCACAGCGATCAACTACATGGCACAAACACAAAACAAATAAGTAAATAAAAAGCAGGACATTTATAGTGGACTTCCCCTGAGAAACTTAGGAAAAGTCCTGGTTTTAAAATGCTACGGAAGCTACATGCGCTGTCACTGGGGTGGTGCCTTTTCAAAAGGTACAAATTTGTACCTTAAAGGTCCATGTTAATATCTCAAAAGAATCTCACGCATATTCTTTTGTACATCCGAATGAACGTGAAACTGAGCGCAACATGCACGAGCACAAAACCCCTCCCTGCCTCCTCCCCCGTATGAATATGCTAATGACTATGCTAATGGCAAAACCCAACGAAAAAGCAATGGCAAAAGCAAGCAAAAAGAGAAACTTTGAACAGAATGTGAATTGGAGATGCTGCTTTCGGAGGTAGACCGGAGAAAAGCGGTGTTATTTGCAAGTTTGTTCTCCGGAATTAACAACAAAAGAAAAAAATAGAGTGGGAGAGTTTAGCTGATGCGGTTAACACAGTTGGGTCTGAACATCGCACTGAGTGCATTAAAAATAGAAATAGTGTGGTTTATATCTGTAAACTGTTGCAGCACCCTTAATAGTCTCAGTGGCGCAGCTCGTAAGACGCATGTTATCATGTATTGACACGTTCGAGCATGAACTCGGTTCGAATCCACAGTCTGATGAACTCTTTCTTCTTTTTTCCCCGGCTACATATCAGATTTTGCCTACTATTTATCACGAGAAAGACAAGTAGGAATCATTAATAAGTTTGTGCATCATATTTTATTTGCACATTTATTGAATGGAAATGTTTCTGATTCACGCATGCAAGTTCATCTTCAGATAGTGTCTTTATAGCAATGTGCGTGCAGTAGATTGCTCAGATTACATTGGGAAAACAGGCGACTGCTGCAAATTGTGCTTTAATGTTTAGCTGGTCAACTGTATGGTATGGAAACATTATATACCTGCTAGATGAACCCATCTCATACAGCTGCCATTGCAAGGCTCAGACACTTTGTAGAGAGGAATTTAACACAACTGCCTCTAGGAGTCGCCAATGGAAATAAAACACGCACAAAAAAATGTGCGTACGCCAGCCATAAAGCTGCTGTGAAGCTGCGCACATTCCCACGTTCAGTTCATTGTTAGTAAATCCAAAAGTGAGCGATTCTGAGCGTGAAACCTGGCGTACGCAAAGTTTTTGTGCGTACGCAGCGTTGATACATGAGGCCCCAGGTGTGTGGACTTTGGGGGTTTTATAATGTGGTCACATGCTGATTGGTCAGTTTGAATGTCTCAGCATTGGTGGTCACATGGTCAAGAAAGATACAAGATAGGTGGTAAACTCGAGCTCGTCTCTTTTCCTGGCCTGTTTCTCTCCTGCTCTGCTCCTCTCCTCCTCTGGAGTTTATCTTCTCTGACTCTACTGCAATCAGGCTTTTGGTCCTGCTCTCTTCGTCTCTCTCCCTCCCCCTGTGTCTCTCCTTCTACCTCTGGTAACTTTAATTTTACATTTAAGCTGGGTACAATTTATACCATATGTTTTATCATCATTTCATATTTTATCATTTTATACAGTATTTTGTAATTAATTCAGTTGTAATCATAGAGAATTATTGTCATTAAATCATCTCATTTTCAAGTATTTGTGAATAACTTTTGATTCAACGTTAACATTTAATTGTTTCATATTGCAATACAATACAATCACATAATATCAACGCTCTCCCACATTTATAGCTATTAATACTGCCCTTATTTCCGGTTTTGGTATGAGATTGCTGAAGAATGGTTTGACTAGAAATGTACAGTTTTTTACAATCATGCTGATCACTTTTTAGTCACTCGGCAGAACTGCAGTTCGAACCGCTGTGGTTTAAAGACCGTTCTTACAGTACCGCCCCAGTGACAGCTCGCGTACCATTATTTCTGAGAGTGTACTGTTGGAAAAATTAAGAGATCACTTAATTCAAATCAATATTTGTGACTCTCTACCACAAAACCAGTCATGACTGTCAATAGTAAATTAGCTTTTCATTTATGTATGGGGCAGCACGGTAGCTCAGTAGTTAGCTCTGTTGCCTCACAGCAAGCAGGTCGCTGGTTCGAGTCCCGGCTGGGTCAGGTGTCATTTCTGTTTGGAGTTTGCATGTTCTCCCTGTGTCGGTGTGGGTTTCCACCAGGTGCTCCGGCTTCCCTCACAATCCAAACACCTGCCTATAGGTGAATTAAATTAACTAAATTGGCCGTAGTGTATGTGTGTGAATGAGTGTGTATGGGTGATTCTCAGTACTGTGTTGCGACTGGAAGGGCATCCGCTGTGTAAAACATATGCTAGAATAGTTGGCGGTTCATTCCATTGTGGCAACGCCTGATAATCAGGGACTAAGCCGAAGGAAAATTAATAAATTTATGTATGTTTTTTTTAGGATAGGACAATATTTAGCTAAGATACAACTATTTAAAAATCTGAAATCTGAGGGTGAAAATTAAATCAGAATCAATCATATTTTTCTAGAGTTCACACTTAGCTGATGATTGTTTATAAAGCTTGTTTGGCATGCTGTCCCAGGAGAGAGCCCTGAGCTCATAAGATCCTCAAGCTCGGAGCTCCCTCCCGTTTGTAGGGCGAGAGGGGAGTTTGAGCTCAGGTAGCTCTCAAGAACTCCCCTGCTGTGTCAGCTAATGAACAGATAGGGATTGCTCTTAGGAGATAACTACTTACTAGGAGCATGTCTGTGGTGCTGATTTGGATTAGTCAATTAACTTAAGTTGTATGTTTTTGGATGGTAGGAGGAAACCGGGGAACCCAAGGGAAACCCATGTGAGCACGGGGAGAACATATAAGCTCCGCACAGAAATGTCGGCTGGCTTGACAAGGACTAGAAGCAGTGAAGTTCTTGCTGTGAGGCAACAGGGCTAACCAATGGGCCACCGTGCCACCATCTAGGAAAAGAGGAGTAGGGGTGGAAGGGGGACTCTTCAATATGAAGAAGGCTGTTATATGGAACTTAGGGTATTTATAGTGGCTTAGGAATTGTCTGATTGGTGAATCATAAATTGGATAATGAGCAAGCTATCATAAGCACGTGATTCTCTCGAAATTAGTTTATAAATGAACTTCACTAAGTTAGCAATGCACATTACGAATCAAAAACTGAGTTTTGATTTATTTACAGTAATGACATTTACAAAATGTCTACATGAAATATGATCTTTGCCTAATATTCTAATGATTTTTGGCATAAAATAAAATTGTATTATTTAAATCATACAATGTATGATCCAATAGGCGAGGCAGTGGCGCAGTAGGTAGTGCTGTCGCCTCACAGCAAGAAGGTCGCTGGTTCGAACCTCGGCTCAGTTGGCGTTTCTGTGTGGAGTTTGCATGTTCTCCCTGCCTTCGCGTGGGTTTCCTCCGGGTGCTCCGTTTTCCCCCACAGTCCAAAGACATGAGGTACAGGTGAAATGAATAGGTAAAAATTGTCCGTAGTGTATGAGTGTGTGTGTGAATGTGTGTGTGGATGTTTCCCAGAGATGGGTTGCGGCTAGAAGGGCATCTGCTGCGTAAAAACTTGCTGGATAAGTAGGCGGTTCATTCCGCTGTGGCGACCCCGGATTAATAAAGGGACTAAGCCGACAAGAAAATGAATGAATGAATGTATGATCCATACATCTTCAGTCCATACAATGTCCTGCAATCTCTCAGCCTGGTTTCTCTCGAGTTTTTTTTTCTTTCACTTTCATTAATTGGTGAAATTTGCTCCTCACCAATGTTTGCTTGGTTTGGGACTTGTGGAGCTGCGCTTCGATGGATTTGCTCTTCAGTGTTAGAACTTTTAGCAGTAAATATTAAACCACACTGAACTGAACTTCAACACTGAAAACTGGACTGACACAGTTTCCATACCATGATCTTCTATGTGAAGCTGCTTTGACACAATCTACATTATAAAAGCTCTTGAGAAATAAAGATGAATTGAACTGAATTATTTTGGCTGTTGGCAAAAATATACTACTGCAACTTAAGACTGTTTTTTAGTCCAGGGTCACATTTAGCCTTTTAACTTTCACTGATAAGATTTATTATTTTTTTGGTTAAACTGTGTTATTTACACATCAACAAGTAAATTTGTAGTTTAATGCTATAACCTATGGACAAAAGGCCAACCAAACAGTTACTATGCGAGTTAAAGGCTTAAAACAAAATTCTTAATTTTGCTGGATTAGGTAGACTATATGGTTGAGTAAAATGTTAAAGGAACTCTTCACCTATTTGTTGAAAACAGACTCTTTTACAACTCTAGGACTAAACAATGGAGTTTTATCACCTTTGAATACATTCAGTCAATCTCTGGGTCTGGCAGGAACACTTTAGCTTAGCTTAGCATAGATCATTGAATCGGATTAGACCACTAGCAACTCGCTCAAAAATGACCAAAGAGTTTCGATAATTTTACAGCTGGCTCTCATGCTTTCAAGTTTTTTAAACACTGATTGGTTACTTGAACAGAAGTTACTCCTATAACTCACACAAAGCATCATGGGTTGTTGCTGAAAAATGTATTTGAAAACCCAGTTTAGCTAAATTAATAAATTTTTGGAAAAATGAACATATACTTATGCTTCACTTGTTCCAAACCTGAGTTTCTTCTGTTGAACACAAATGAAGATATACAGAGGAATGCTGGAAAAAAAACAGCCATTGAATTGTTCTTACTATAAATATCAGTGGCAGTTTTTCCCAACATTCTTCAGTTTGTCTCATTTCGTGTTTAACAGAAGAAAAGACTTGAAAACAATTTAAGAAAAAAAGTTGGAAATTTTACATTTTGGGTGAACTATCCCTCACAGTAAACAATGTTGGATTCCGCACAATCAATTTGTGTTGGGAAAACATGAAGGAATTAGGTTATCTTATTAGTTTGCACAAATTTAAGTGTATTGAACTAAATTCTTGACTTTTTGACACTACAGTCAATCTTCATTCATGCATTTATTCATTTTCTTGACGGCTTAGTCCCTTTATTAATCCGGGGTCACCACAGCGGAATGAACTGCCAACTTAACCAGCAAGTTTTTACGCAGCGGATGCCCTTCCAGCCGCAACCCATCTCTGGGAAACATTCACACACAAACACTCATTCACTACGGACAATTTGTACCGCATGTTTTTGGACTGTGGGGGAAACCGGAGCACCCGGAGGAAACGCAGGGAGAACATGCAAACTCCACACAGAAACGCCAACTGAGCCGAGGCTCGAACCAGCGACCTTCTTGCTGTGAGGCTAACGTGCTACCCACTGCGCCACTTACAGTCAATTTTAGCATTAGCATTTTAGCATTTAACATTTAGCATTTAGTGTACCACATGTACATTGGAAACTGTAGCACCCGGAGGAAACAAACGCGAACATGAGAAGAAGATGCAAACTCCACACAGAAACGCCAACTGAGCCAAGGCTCGAACCAGCGACCTTCTTGCTGTGAGGCGAACGTGGTACCCACTGCGCCACTTACAGTCAATTTTAGCATTAGCATTTTAGCATTTAGTGTACCACATGTACATTGGAAACCGTAGCACCCGGAGGAAACAAACGCGAACATGAGAAGAATATGCAAACTCCACACAGAAATGCAAACTGACTTAGCCAAGGCTCAAACCAGCGACCTTCTTGCTGTGAGTTGAACGTGCTACCCAATGCGCCACCGCATCGCCTGTGTTATTTCAAGTCGTTTGAGCAATTTTTCAGGAAGTTGCTGACATTATTTCATTATGCTGATGTACTAAAACGGAATATTGAGTAGGTGGGCGGGGCTTTCTTCTTGCACATCATTCCCTCATAGCAAACTAATAGTGAAAGGGGGGTGGTTGAGAATACCTAACTGAAGCTATCAAAATTACACCAATGGAAGAACCACCACTCGAAACACAGAAACAAATGTTCAAACATTGATTAAAGATAACCAAAACAAACTTTTTTTTTTTTTGATTAACTGATCACTAAAAAAAATTACAAAAAAAAAAACACTGTAAATTTGGTTTCCACACAGACATCTAATAAATAGTTGTAAATCAGATATAGTGAATAGAAAAATAAACATACCCTGGTGGCTGCTTGTATTAGTCTCCTCAGCACCTCCCGTATGGATGGCGATTGCTCTGTTGGAGGATTGGTGTACACATTAACCCGACCCGTGTCCATCCACATTGCCCTTTCAGGCCATCCTAATTCCAAACATGGAGCCGGAGTGTCTGATTCAGTCGGAAAATAATGTCCAGAGAAATCCTCCCCCTCAGATCCCACCTCCACCTCTCCATTGCCTTCCTCCTGAAGCCCATCGCTCTGATGAAAGTCCTCAGCCCAGCTGGAGATCTGCTTCACCTCTCCGGACGACAGAAACGACCCGATTTGTTCCTGATGGAGTTGGGTGTAAAAGGCCTGAGGGCCGGAGCTGATGAGGCTTTCCACACAGTAGCGCTCCTCCTCGCAGTGCAGAAACTCCGGACTGGACTCTGATAGCGGAGCGAAGACGATGTTCTCGTTGAGGCTCTGCTCCTGAGTGTTTGACATGATGGAGAAATCCTTCTTCTATCAGGAAAGAAGTGACTAAGGAAAATTACATGTTGATTCGTAAACAGAAACTGGCAGCTGCTGCAAGTTACTTGGAGGGGGAGGAGGAGGTGGATAATTCAAATAGTTGAGGTTCTTCTTCACGCACTGAAGATATTTAACTCTTTTTAGGCATCAAGAGTGGATGGGAAAGGAGGAAACTTCAATGTAGTTTGGAAATGTCCTGGGAAAAGGAGGGAAACAATATTGTTTAAGAACTGTCTCACACTCAAAAAAATACTAGCGCTGCTTGTTCAAACTTCTCATTAAATATGATAAATATGATAACTTAATTGTTTTATGTTCAATCCACTTAAATTTGTAAAAACAATTAAGCAGCATGAAAGAATTGTGTGGAATCGTGAAATCCAGGAGTTTTTACGGTGCAGTTGTGAATTTATATTTACCCCCATAAAGGCAAATTATCATTGAAATATCATAATTTTACAAATTTTGATGTATGCATTAAAGGAAATAAGCAATAATAATGGTAAAAATAGTAATATTTATATAATATTAATTAAATGAAACAAAAAAGTGTGCTTTTTCAAAAGTTTAATATATAGTTTAATGTATAATAGTTTTAATAATCTTGTTGTGTTTTTAAAAAGTACATTTATTTATTTTAATGTGATGCAAAAGGACTTATAAAGTCATTAAAAGCATTTAATTTGTACTGAAATGTAACCACCAAAAATACTTATTTAAAAAGTTACTTAGTTTACTTATTAAAGTTTTATAAATTACTCATGAAAAAAAAAAAAAATATATATATATATATATATATATATATATATATATATATATATATATATATATATATATATATATATATATATATATATATATAAATAAGAGGTGTACTTAAGATGTACTTAAGTGGCTCAAAAATCACTCTGGGGTTCAATTCAATTGCTTTTTTTTAGATTCAAGCTATTATAAAAAAAAATTACTTTAGTACAACAAACATGCAATTAAGTGCCAGAGAATATTACTTTCAGTTTGCACTACATAGGAATAGGTCATGTCCAGGCCCACACGGAATCTTCGTGTGCAGAAATCTACAGATTTTTAGCCCATCATTGAGTCTATGTATTTACTTGTGGAAAAGTGTGTAAACATATATATATATATATATATATATATATATATATATATTCAGTTTTTAAATTCATTTCACTAATATTATTGTGATATAATAATAGTAATATTAAAATGTTCATTTAATTTATTTACAATACCGTTTGTAAAGTCATATTTCTGTCTTTTAGTAGATATATTATATGGGAAACTTGCTTGTTGATCTGATTGGATTTGCATTGTAAACATTAAATAAAAGTTTAAAATGTATTATTTTTATTAGTTAATAAAGAATATTTAGTCATGATAATCCTAAAATATATATATATATATATTTATATATATAAAGGTGGGTTGTTTCAACCCAATTTTGGGTCAAATAGTATCATCTGGGTTCAATTTGACATTTAAATCTTTAACCATCTTTAAACATTTAAGCTTGTCCACATTTGACCCAAAATTGGGTTAAAGCAACCAGCATGTTTTATTAAAGAGTTTATGCATAAATTATGCAGATATAAATCTTTTCACGAGAGCATATATCAACATACAGTAGTCAACAGTTGAACAACCATTCATGACAATTTTGGAAAACTTTTTTGATCCACTTCATATGTTGACTACTGTATACATGCATTAATATATATCCATTGAAAGTTAATATTTCATAAGATCAAACTAAAGTGCAGACTCACCCGTCCGTGCCTGTGTGTCTTTCTGTCTCTCTCACACACACACACCCTCACTGACTCGGTCCTCAAGTTCTGACATATCTCTGCTATCTCCTCCCATTGGCAATGCTGGTGTTAAATTACTCGTCATCGTCATCATCACTCTGATCTGCTCATTTCCAGCCGTCGCCCGAATACACTTCTTGACTCAGCAAAGCATCCACCAGTCTCAAAACATGTTCTGAAAACTCTGCAGTCCTTCAGCCCACGTCCTCCTCTCATTACAGTGCTGATCTCAGATCTGTGCATGCATTGTGTCTTTAGTAAACACGTCTCAGCGACTGACTGGTCGGACCAGCTGAGCCAGTCGTCCTCAGGGAGCAGAGATTGAGACCTTCCTTCCCTCCCAGCGACTCAAAAGCAGGCGAGGCTGGAACTCAACACCTGTCTATAGTGGTCTAGCGTTCCTTTACAAGCCTCTGAGCTGCGCATCAGTTGAACTGCTCTTCAGTGCGTCGGCCTTTAGCAGTGACATCTCACTCGAAAAATGATGTTTGTTGTCTGTTCGAAGTACTTATTTAAAATGAGCGGAGACAACACAATTCTTGAGGTTGTTTGATGTGACAGCTTAATTTTTTTCAGATCAACCCACTTAAATTTGTAAAAACTAATAAACAAGCTCAGCATTTTCACAGGGTTGCATTACACTGATCTGAACTAAACTGAACTGAACTTCAACAGTGACATTTATTCACAAAAAATGCTGGGTTCCACACAACTGATCTGTGTTGGGGCAACATTAAGGGATCAAGTTACCCTATTAAGTTTTTAAATCAATTGAACATGAAACAAAGTTGCCGCGAAAAAGCCGATTTTAAATAAATAGTTTAAACAAACAGTGTGTGTATATACTGTAAACATTATACAACAGTGTGTATATACTGCCGGCAGCTAGTTTTCTGCAACTTTAACATAGTCGCCCACTGAAGCTAAGCAGAGCTGTGCCTGGTCAGTACCTGGATGGGAAACCACAGGGTTGCTGCCTGAAGTGGTGTTAGTGAGGCCAGCAGGTGGCGCTCAACCTAGAGTCCTAACACCCCAGTATAGTGCTGGGGAATCTATTCTGCTTAGCGAGCACAGTCTTTCAGATGAGACATTAAACCGAGATTCTGACTGTCAGTGGTCGTTAAAAATCACAGGATGGTTTAACCCCAGCATCCTGGCCACATTTGCCCACTGGCCATCCAGGTGGATGCTGCAAATTAGTTTAAACAAACAGCAAATCTCTTCTTTTTTTTATCTGTATATACTGTAAAAATAGAGAAATCCATAAAATGTATGGTAAACAAAGCAGCAGCTGTGATTGTCAGTATTTTACTTGTAAAAGTACAGTGCAAACTGTAAAATAACTTTCTTTTTTTTTTATAAACTATCATATTTCATTAATTTAAAGTGCTAATAGACCAATGTTTTGAAGTAGTACACTGTAAAAAACGGTTAACTGCAAATTGTTGCAAACTATTTATTTAAGCTGAATTTAAACAAACAAATGAAATTTAAATAGTTTGTTTAAATGTAGGCCAAATAAATAGTTTACAACCACTTACCTTTAAAAGATGCAGTAAATCCAAAGAATCATGTTCAGTGTTACGCCCCATTCACACGGGGGTTCAGCGTCAACGCTTGTCTGAAGTTGGGGCTAAATCGATCGTCATAGCAGCGCCAGCCAATGGAATTCAGTCAGCAATAGGCCACTGTCTAGCTGGTGTATTTGCATGCAGTGATCTGATTGGCTGATGCCTCCGTCGGTGCTTGAAAAGTTGAGCTAGTTCCAACTTCTGCAGCGAGTAACACATCTGAAGCGGCGCCGACGATCCACAATGCAGTTCGGCAACGCCTGACGTTACCCTTTTAAAGTGAATGGGAAGTGTTGACACTGTCGCCCTGTGTGAATGGGACGTAACATCTACACATCATAAAATTTGTTAAACAGACTAAAACACAACCATAAGCATCCGGTGATGAGAAAGTCATATCATGAGTTGATGCTCATGTCACAACTTTTCCCACAAGCAGAGAAACGGCATGTATTGAAGATGCTCAGTTTCATTCACACAATTAAGAAACACCACTATAGTCACACACATGAAACTGGAAATTTGAATAAACGCCATAAAAAATCAAATGAACCATCATAATGTCAACAAAAAGCATTTAAGGTGAAGTGTGCTGGGAGCCAATTTGCAGTAATTCACTGTATATTTTAAGGAAACTTAGTGTTAACAAAGACAACACACAAGACGTGTCACTCGTATCTTTTAGAATGAGGAAAAGTGTAACTGTAAGGATGGTGAATGAAGCCCCGCCTACTAGTACAGGAGCCAGTCATCGATCGCTTAATAGCAAATAAGTCAGAAAAATGGTTGCAGGTTTCCAGCTTTCTTCAAAACATCTTTTTTGTGTGTTCAACAGAAGGAACAAACTAGTAAACAAGTAAAGAGTATGACACCATTTTCAATTTTGGGTGAACTATCCCTTTAAGATTACATTGTAGAGCGCTGAAGTTAAGATTGAACTTGAGATTGCAACAAATCCCGAGCAGCTACATGTGTTTTAATCTGAGCTCATCTTTGCTCACCTGCGGGTTCTGCATGAACAGGTACCTGGAATTCCCTGCGACTCATTAATGCACACATTCCTGTTTAATCACCTCGTCTGTCTGTAGGTGTCGTGTCATGCCGAATGCCAATGTTGACTTTGTCCCTCGAGAGAACCAGCAGTGCTTTATGAAAGCAGAGAATGTGTGGTTATGATGGTAGCTGCCGTGCTGATAAAGTCACAACAATCAATACCTGAGTATTTAAATAGGCCTACACACTGAGTAATAAAGGCACAAGAGCGGCTGACTGCTCTACTCTACTAATATTTGCTGTGTAATATAAAGCGTATTGACAACTGTTGAGATTTTTTCCAAAATATTTTATTTATAAAGACGGCATACAATTAAAACAAAATAACACACAGATACGCGAGTACATTTTTAACATGAAAAGGGCTTCTTTTGAGGTTTCCAGTTTGATTTTTTTTCGGCATGGACACAAGTCAATCTAAAAGAAACTTTGACTTTGCTCCTTTTTGCAAGATGTAAAAAGTTTCAGCTCAAAATATCGACAAATACGGATTTATAACTCTGAAACTGACCCTTTTAGGCTCTGATTCTATGTGCTGCAGCGAGCACCACTTGTTTTGGTGACTGTCACTTTAAATTCAAATGAGATTGTGCTTTTTTTCAAAAGAGGGCGGAGCTACAAATGCCTGTGCATCAGCATAGTGGCAGATTCAAAATAGAGGATGACATTTTCAGGAATCGTATGGGTCAAGGGATTCCCATGGGATTCCCGCTGATGGGAGTCATCTTTGCTTTTAATTATGGGTATGTGATGGTACTGGATAAAATATTAACGGAAGCAGACGGGAGCGGGAATCAACCAATAGGAAGATGCAAAAAAATGCATTACCATTTGTAGTTTCTTTTAATACGATTACAGTGTAATGCAATCAAAAACGAACTACACGACCCAGAAGCTATCAGTGCTGGAGGGAGCAAACACCCGCGGTACAGAGAAATTGATGTGGTAAAAAAATTATTTGCTGCGCAAAGTCAGAGGTAATGACATGTGCATTAAATTAAGAGAACTAGTCAAGAAGTCGGAAATATTAAAGAAGTTCATGAGAGTAAACTGCGACGGTGATATCACGCTGTATACTGCTTGTAAAACATGCTTAATCTTAGTCAAGTACACCAGTGATTCAGGGACGAGCGCTCTGAAAAGACACACTTTAAGTCTCATCTGACTGAATTGAAAATTGAAACTAGAAGAATTATTGTATGTATGTATGTGTGTGTGTATATATATATATATATATATATATATATATATATATATATATATATATATATTTATTTATTTATTTATTTATTTATACAAACACACACACACACATACAACTTTTGTTTCTGCTTCTTTGAATAAAAAAAAACATGTTAACGTTTAATGCATTTCTCATTATGCACGAGCATATTAGATAAATATTGTTAACTTGTTAATTTAAAAAAAACTTAATAAATGAGTAAAATGCAGCTCGTGTGAACTATGTACTGTTTTTCTTTTATTTACTGTAACTAATCTCCAGGAAATCTAGAAACAGGGACTCAGCAGCTGGTCTAAAACAGCAAATAAAACCACATTCTATATATTATTTAAAGACTAAAAATAGAAAAATATATATATATATATATATATATATATGGGAGCGGTACAGGAGCGGGAGTCATTTTTAACAGGAGCTAAATGGGAGCAGGAGTCATTTTACCAGGAGCATTTTAATTTAACCAATTCACCTATAGCACATGTGTTTGGACTGTGGGGGAAACTGGAGCACCCAGAGGAAACCTACGCCAACACGGGAAGAACATGCAACTGACACAGCTGGAGCTCGAACCAGCGACCTTCATGCTGTGAGGCGATCGTGCTACCCACTGCGCTACCCCATATATAGGTATCAATATTATGTATATTTTATTGTCTGACCTAAGATAAAGCTAATAATGAAAAAAGGACTTTGGCACTAATCATCTTGCATGTACAGTTGAAACCAGAAGTTTACATACACTCTAAAAAAAAACATAACCATTTTTTTAAAAATGTTTGATGGTAAATCACTAAACGTTTACTATTTTAGGTCTGTTAGGATTAACTAAATGATTTACTAAATGCCAGAATAATGAGAGAATCTTTTATTAATCTCTAGACAGTCAATAGTTTACACACATTTCCTTGGTACTTTTTTAGCTTATCTTTTAAACTAGATAACTTTGGTCAAATGTTTTGGGTATCCTTCCACAAGCTTCTTCACAATAGTTTGCAGGAATTTTGGCCCATTCCTCCTGACAGAATTGGTGTAACTGAGTCAGATTTGTCTTGCTCGCACAAGCTTTTTCAACTCTGCCCACAAATTTTCTATAGGATTGAGTTCAGGGTTTTGTGATGGCCACTCCAAAACATTCACTCTGTTGTCCTTAAAGCACATTTGAACTAATTTGGCAGTATGCTTAGGGTCATGGTCTGTTTAGAAGACCCATTTGTGGTCAAGTATTAATTTCCTGGCTGTTGTCTTGAGATGTTGCTTAAGTATTTCTACGTAATGTTCTGTCTTCATGATGCCATCTATGCTGTGAAGTGGACCAGTCCCTCCTGCAGCAAAACAGCCCCACAACATGATGCTGCCGCCCCCATACTTCACAGTTGGGATGGTGTTCTTAGGCTTGTAAGCTTTCCCTTTTGTCCTCCAAATGTAACACTGGTCATTATGGCCAAACAGTTCAATCTTAGCTACATCAGACCACAGGACATGTCTCCAAAATTAGCCTTTTCCCAGTGTAATTTAGCAAATTGTAAACTGGCTTTTGTGTTGATTCTGGCTTGTTGATTTTCCCATGTTGTCACACAAGGAAGCAGTGTGTTTGAGGTTTTCCTTAAATACTATTCTACAGCTGTGCCTCCAATTAACTCAAATGTGGTCAATTAGCCAATCAGAAACTTCCAAACCCTTGACATCATCATCTGAGCTTTTTCAGAGGCAGAATAATCTTATTGTATGTAAACTTGACTTTCTCAAAGAACATCTCTCTCATTATTCTGCTATTAAGCAGAACAGAAACAAATTTGATAATCCCAATTTACCTAAAAGAGAAAAAGTTTAGTCACATTAACAGTTGACTTTTTTTTAAATGGTTATGTGCCTTTTTATACAGTGTATGTAAACTTCTGCTTTTAACTGTATTTACACACACAGTTGATTTAACACATAGGAAATGTCTGAAATCATGTGCTTTGAGTTGCTTTTGCACTGTTTAGTTTAGCGCTGCTTTAAGCTCATAGCATATTTACACTTTTAGATGTACACGAGGGTCTGACACACAAAAATGAACTGCTTTTCAATCCTCTGGTGTCAACACTGAACCGGCCTGTTATTTCAGTTTTTGGAAAGAAACTAAGACTGAACAAAAGCAACACAAGACAACACTGAAAATGGCAAAAATAGCCATTGACAAGTGCATATGTGAGGGATCTTAAATATGTTTTTAAAGCATTTGTCGAAAGAGTGCAAATACATTTCATTGTTCATACCTTTAAGGAGAGTAAAAGAGTGCAGAAGACACTGGATCTTTCTAACATAAATATGTTAAACAGATTTGTTCAGGATACTAAGAAAAAATCTACACATTCGACTACAAAAAAAGGTTGTTTAGTCCTTTACACTCCAGTTTTCTTACAGAAATATAAAAAAACTGCATTCAGCATTTAAATCCCACTTGATTATCAGCAGCGCTTTCTCTACTGTTGGACAAAAGAAAACAGCAAAGTTGCAACTTCCCAAAAGCAGCAAAGCAGATATTAAGAGTTTGTTTATTAAAATAACACTAATAAGATAATAATAAAGCACTTTAAAAAATAACATATCACCTGAAACCGCTGTAAGCATATATAATCTCACAGCAGATGAAACTACTGATGTGTGGTGTTGAAAATCAGGCCCGTTTGCGCAGATGCACATAAAGTGCACCACTGACTAGTAAAAGTGGCACACACACCCAGGCCAGGATATAACAGTAGCCGAAACGGCCCTTTTCCAGTTCAGTGTCATTTTGAAGAATCTCCCTCTTCTGAAAGGTGTAGATGAGGACAGCCGCAAATGCTGCAAAACCTGCGAGTGTGAGGAATTAACAAAGTAAGAACAGACAGTGGCCACAAGAGGGCAGCACATATAGGCTTATATAGGGAGAGAGAGCTTGACGCTAACTTTACCTTTACCAACCTATAAAGCTATATAAATATGTAATATAAATAATATATAATAATAATACATTTTAATAGTTGTATATATCAAATATTATTTTTATATTACTACAATATATATGTTTATATATTTTACATAATATTTATATAATACAAATATTTATATATATATTACAAAGCTTAATATAATAATAATAAATGTAAATGTTTTTATTCATTTATTTATTTATTTATTTACTCAATTGTTTATTCATTTATTTACTTAATTGTTTATTTATCTTTTATTTACTTACTTGTTTAATTTTATTTACTTTATTATTTGTTTAATTATGTACTTATTTAAGTACTTTATTTATTAACTTATTTATTGATCTGCATATTCATCTACTTATCTATTTATTTAATTATTATTTATTTATTTACATATTTATTTATTTTACTTATTCATGTATTTATCTACATAATCATTTTCTTAATTATTTATTTACTTATATATCTATTTTACTTATTTATTTATCTACTTATTTATTTTTTTATTTATTATTTACTTATTTTACTTATTTTTATCTACATATTTATTAACTTAATTATTTATCTACTTATCTATTTATTTATTTACTTATTATTTATTTATCTACTTTACTCATTTATTTATCTACATTTTATATACTTTATTTACTTACTTATTTAGTTATTTGTCTATGTTAAATATTTATTTATTTATCTACTTATTTATTTACTTATTATTTATTTATCTATTTTACTTATGTATTTATTTATCTACATATTTATTTACTTATTTATGTATTTAATTATTTAAGTAATTTATTTATTAACTTATTTATTTAATTATTCATTTATTTATTTATTTCTCTACATATTTATTTATTTGCCTAATTATTAATTAATAATTTAATTTATTTACTTAATTGTTTAATATTTACTTATTTATTTAACTATTTACTAATTTATTTATTTACTTATATACTTATTTGTTTACCTACTGACTTATTTACTTAATTGCTTATTTATTTACTCATGCAACTCCTTCATTGCATCTTAGCTTACTCACTTACTGTATGTGACACTTTATTTGAAATGCATGTGACAGTATTTGATGAAAGAGTGACCTGCAAAAAGCTGACAGAGGCCTGTGAAGTAGAAGAGTCCTCCTTTAGACATGGTGAAGAGCTGACCCAGAAACACCATGAAGGAGATGGAGGACAGGATCACAGACAAGATCATCAGCGCCTGCACCGACTGCAGCCATTCTGATACACACAAACACACACACACACACACATAGTCAGATCAACAGCTCAGTATGCACATTTACTGTATGAGAGTGAGTGTGTGTGTGTGTACATGTTTTTGTGACATATCAGGACACAAATCTGTATAATGACATAGGTATGACAAAGGTATTACAAAAAGCAGGTGAAATATGAGGACTTTGGTGACGTCCTCATTTCTCAAAATGCTTCTAAATCACACAGGATGAGTTAAATCAGATAATAAAGCTGCACACAGTCTCCTGTGATGGTTGGGTTTAGGGGTAGGGTGGGGTGAGGGCAATACAATATACGGTTTTTGCTGCATAAAATGAATAGAAACCTATGTAATGTCCCCACTTTTCACTAAAACAAACGTGTGTGTTTGTGTGTGTCAATTATCATCAGCTCAGTGTGCACATTGTAGTGTGTGTGATCTACCCACCGCTCTCATTGACAGACGCACATAACCAGGTTCCTGAAGAGTTATCATACGAACATTTATACCACAGATCTGTGTTCTGGATGTCTCCCAAAGTCCACCATGACTACAAAAATGAATATTAAGAATATTAATATTAAAATGTCTCATTAATAATCAAGCTTAACAATAGTAATATAAAGTAACAGCGTTTATTACATTGTAGAACCATAGCAATGTCAACAACAAAGCAAAAAAAATGTGTCATGCAGGGAATTGTCAGAAAGTCATTAGCCACTGTATATATTAAGGAAACGTATTGTTAAACAGGTTACAGATTTTTATCGTAGCATTGTTACCATTGCCACAGAGATTTTTCAACATTGAAATCGGGGACAGTTAGCATTTCATAAGACATATGCTTCACAATCCATGTTTGTCAAAATGAATTACGACTGACCTTCTCCATGGTGGCGATGAAGAGCATGGCTAGAGTGATCAGATGCAGAACCGTCACAGACATCAACAGAAACGCCATTCTGGAGGATCCTGGAGCAAAACCAAGAAGCTTGAGTGCAAAACTTACATCTCAGAGTCATTTAGTCACAGAAGAAGAAATGAGGAATCATCTGGGAATCAGTCAGTCAGTTTGAAAGCCTCTGATGTGTGCAAACATCCAGATCTCCAGCTTTCAATGACTGCTTTTATCCCAGTATCTGATGTGAATGTGAATCCCGTAGAAAAGAGGGTTGAGATCTGCTTGATTTTATTAAATGCTTGAGAATATAATCTCTTATGCTCACCAAAGCTGCATTTGAAGATTTCAAATGCAACACTCAAAAAAAAAAAGATGTTTGCTGTTCAAACTACTTGCTTAAATTGAGTTGAAACAGCTCAATTCTTAAGGTATTTTTTGTGACAACTCAGTTGTTTTGTTCATCCACTTAATTTTGTAAAAACTAATAAGTTAACCTAATTCCTTTATGTCGTCCCAACACAAACTGATTGTGTGGAACCCAGCATTTTTTACAGTAAAGAGCTCAAAGTACATCTTTTTTTTTGTTAACTTTATTTTTTTCCAATTTAAAAATGAACATGTTTATCAAATGTTTAGGCTCAGTAATCAAATTATATTGTCTTTAACAGTATTCAGATAGGGTATTTTAATAACTAATAGAACACAGAAATGCTATATATATATATATATATATATATATATATATATATATATATATATATATATGACTGTTTATCAATTAAAAGGTCCATTGTAAAAGCATTTAAGATGTCATTTATTCCTGTGATGCAAATCTGAATTTTCAGTCTTTAATGTCACATGACCTTTCATCAAATATATATTAGAATACATATAAATATAATATATACACATACACATCTAAGCTTTTCACTCATCATAGCACACGTGATTTGATTTGGCATGTATATTACAATAAAGTTGAAGTCGGATTAGTTTTCCTGAATTATTTGCCCCCTTTATTTATATTTTTTCACCAATTTCAGTTTAACAGAAAGAAGATTTTTGTCAACACATTAAACATACTTTAGAACATACAGTTGTTTGTTCTGTAGACAATTAATAGTAAATATTGCTTAAGGTATAGAGCTTAAAATGTGCCAAAACAATCTGAATTTGCATTGTGTAGATTTGAATGATTAACAATTGTGATTTAATGAAACTGAATGATATATGCCATTACATTTTTTTTTTATTTCTTAATTTGAATTTCTTAACTTGAATACTGAATAACTAAAAGTTGTCAGGTTTTTATAGACGTACACTACTAGTCAAATTTTTTTGGGGTTAGTAGGATTTATAAATGTTTTAAAATGCTTCTTCTGCCTACCAAGGCTGCATTTACATTTTACATTTAGTCATTTAGCAGACGCTTTTATCCAAAGCGACTTACAAATGAGGACAAGGAAGCAACTTACACAACTAAGAGCAACAATGAATAAGTACTATAGGCAAGTTTCAGGTCTGTAAAGTCTAAGAAGGAAAATATTAGTAGTATTAGTGTTTTTTTTGTTTTTGTTTTTTTTTTGGGTACAGTTAGTGTGATATTCAGAGAGGCAATTGCAGATTAGGAAGTGAAGTGGAGACTAAATAGTTGAGTTTTTAGTCGCTTCTTGAAAACAGCGAGTGACTCTGCTGTTCTGATGCAGTTAGGGAGTTCATTCCACCAACTGGGCAGATTGAGCGTGAGCGAAAGTGATTTCTTCCCTCTTTGGGATGGAACCACGAGGCGACGTTCATTCACAGAACGCAAGTTTCTGGAGGGCACATAAGTCGGCAGAAGTGAGAGCAGATAAGAAGGAAAAGCCAAAAGTCACTTTGTAGGCAAACATCAGAGCTTTGAATTTGATGCGAGCAGCAACTGGCAGCCAGTGCAAACGGACTAGCAGCGGAGTGACATGTGCTCGTTTAGGTTCATTGAAGACCACTTGTGCTGCTGCGTTCTGGAGCAGTTGAATAGGCTTGATAGAGTTAGCTGGAAGCCCGGCTAGTAGAGAGTTGCAGTAATCCAGTTTGGAGAGAACAAGAGCTTGAACAAGGAGTTGAGCTGCATGTTCAGATAAGAAGGGTCGGATCTTTCTGATGTTATAGAGTGCGAATCTGCACGATCGAGCAGTTCTAGAAATGTGGTCAGAGAAGTTTAGTTGGTCATCAATCGTTACTCCAAGGCTTTTCACCATTTTGGATGCAGTGATGGTTGCCCCGTCCATCTGGATTGAAAAGTTATGGTGTAGAGTCGAGTTGGCAGAAACTACAAGCATTTCCGTTTTTGCGAGGTTCAGCTGAAGATGATGATCTTTCATCCAGTGTGAAATATCCAACAGGCAGGCTGAGATGCAAGCTGGAACCGAGGGATCATCAGGATGAAAAGAGAGGTATAGCTGGGTATCATCAGCATAGCAGTGGTAGGAGAATCCATGTCTCTGGATGACTGGTCCTAGAGATGATGTGTAGATGGAGAAGAGAAGTGGCCCAAGAACAGAGCCTTGAGGTACCCCAGTGTTTCTTCATAAAAAAAAATCATTTATTCATTTTCCTTTGGCTTAGTCCCTTATTTATCAGGGATCACCACAGCAGAAAGAACCGCCAACTTATCCAGCATATGTATTACACAGTAGATGCCTTTCCAGTTGCAACCCGGTACTGGGACACACCCATACACTCTCTCATTCATACACTATGGCCAATTTAGTTCATCCAATTCACCTATAGCGCATGTGAAAAACAAAGCACCCGAAGGGAAGCCAAACCAACACGGAGAACATGCAAACTTCACACAGAAATGCCAACTGACCCAGCTGGAACTTAAACCAGCAGCCTTCTTGCAGAATGGTGACATTGCTAACCGCTAAGCCACCGTGCAACCCTTCATAAACAAATAAAACCTCAAAACATAATAACCAAAACAACTAAAATAATCAGCAGCTATAGTGTATGATGGCTCATTTAATCAAGAATCTCTAGAAAAAATTTTGATTCACTGCTATGAAAACCGAATGACTGCATTAGCTGACTGCATCTTTTCCTGGGAAAAATGTAAGACGCCCGTGTGAACTTTGATTCAGCTGCTGTGTAATATTATTACTCCACTGCATCATACTTATAAATGAATCTTCACCTCACTGCTAGATGCTTTTCCAGCCTTACCAGACACAAAACATGACTTTCCCACAAACACTCCATGACTTTACATCCATTAGTGAAGTGGAGACTTCAGACAGAATTCAACAAGCGTCCATTCATAACTAAAGCGTGTGTGACAGATCAGGCAGGACTGGGATGGAAGAATGAAAATGATATAAACAGATCGGTCTTGGGTTTTCCTTTTAGAAAGGAGTATTGAAAAGCCAACGTTTTACAGGGGCTCTATTATTATGCAAAAGACACTTTTATAAGGGGTTTCAACATAGTTGTGTGGCAATAGTGTGCGAATATAATCAGTCTCTAAAGGTAAAAATGTATTTATTTATTTTTTATAATCACACTAGTAACAGTTAAATGTTACTATTATTATTTTCTGATTTATTTATTTAGATTTTTTGCATTGTGTATTGTTTGGCATATTAAAATCAGCATGTTGTAATATTGCTTCCAACCTCCGGGGGAGCGCTAGGTTGATTTGCGCTTTTATTAAAACCAACTAACCATAGAGTAAGAGTGAGTGTTTGGTAGAGTGTACACTGCATGTATGTAACGCAGTAGGTTGTGCTGTCACCTCACAGCAAGAAGGTTGCTGGTTCAAGCCTTGGCTGGGTCAGTTGGCGTTTCTGTGTGGAGTTTGCATGTTCTTCCTGCGTTCGCGTGGATTTCCTCCGGGTGCTCCGGTTTCCCCCACAGTCCAAAGACATGCGGTACAGGTAAATTGGGTAGGTTAAATTGTCCGTTGTGTATGAGTGTGATTGAATGTGTGTGGATGTTTCCCAGGAATGGGTTGCGGCTGGAAGGGCCTCCGCTACGTAAAAACATGCTGGATAAGTTGATGGTTCATTCCGCTGTGGCGACCTTGGATTAATGAAGGGGCTAAGCTGAAAAGAAAATGAATGACACAGCATGCATCACTTTTGATGGTGGGCTAAATAAAAGGTATCAATGGGCCAACTTTGGCTCGCAGGCCCTACTTTGGGCATCTCCGCTTCAGAGACATCATAGACTTATTTTACATGTTGTAAAAAGGGACATAATAGGTCCGCTTTAAAATTTAAAAACAAAGTGCTTTTCTTTCGGATAAGCAAATTGTAAAGGTTTGAGTTTCATTTTTAATTTGGAATAACAAAACATAAAATCAACACTGGCTATGCAGTAACTAGAAATTCACAATAGGGCATGTGCAGAAAGACTTTTAATTTTCAGTAATCCAGTTAAATCGCTTCCAATGAACTGTATGCAGTTACAAAATTGCCGTGTTTAATGTCTGTTTTCTTTAAAAATCAACAATCCTCACTGCCTGATAGATATGATATAAAGTGGGTCTCAGAATGTGCAAGGAGCATTGCATTTAATTCAAATGTTCCACACAATTGCTGCGTCCCAATTCGTATGCTATTCGTCCTATAGTATTTGAAAATAGGGTAACACTTTACAATAACAGTACATGAATAATGATGTATTAATATGTAAACTAAACATTACTTTATTATGAATTAATGATGAGTTAATGTATGCACTAATCATGAATTAACTTTAAGTACAACATGACTCACATGAGTTCATGTGTAAATAACGACTACCTTAATTACTTGTTTGTACATGTTGTTAATTAATGTATTAATTAACATTTACGTTTAGGCTAAATGTAACCAACATGAACTCATAAGCTGTTAATGTATAGTTATGTCATGACTTTACTTGGAGGGGCACATCACTATTAACACTTTTCTATTGTTATTCAGTGTAAACTCACTAGTTAGACGTGCATAAGGAGTTCATGAGTAGTTAAGAATCGGTTGACGATGTGCCCCTCCAAGTAAAGTCACAACATAATTATACATTAACATATGAGTTTATCATGGTTAAATTAAGCATAAACTAATGTGGTAATTAATACATTAATTAACAAACAATCATGAACTAACAAGTAATTAAGGTAGCCATTATTCACACATGAACTCATGTGAATCATGTTGTACTTAAAGTTAATTCATGATTAGTGCACACATTAACTCATCATTAATTCATAATAAAGTAATGTTTAGTTTACATATTAATACATCATTATTCATGTACTGTTATTGTAAAGTGTTACCGAAAATAGAATTAGCTTTTGCCAAATCATAGTATGTTGAAAAGAAAATGCCAAAGTTTCCCGGATGATTTCCAGTATAAATTTTAAGTGTAAAAGTGTCCATACTTTAATCGCTGATATTGCCAGAATACATTGTGTGTTGGACGTGAATTTCATTAGAACTACAAACGCGGGTTAAAAATATAAATAAACTACAAACATGGTGAACGCGTGAGACCAAACGTCAAGTATAGAGGCTTTGGTAAAGTTGTTTCTATGACTGTTAATTAATATCTAGGTAACTGGATCATGTGTTAACTGTGTTTTCTGTGTTATATTTCATCTGCAACAACGTGAACTTCTATAAAGATGTGTTTGGACATTAACGCATGAATGCATAATTATTGTGAATACTTGTGAATGGCAGATTATCCTGCTGCTGCTGCATCTCAAATAGGTAGGCGTTAGATACTGTTACAGAAACGTGGATGATTGACAGGGCTCATTATCAGTGGTGTAAAGTAACTAATTACAAATACTCAAATGACTGTAATTGAGTAGTTTTTTTCAGGAATTGTAACTTACTAAGAAGTTTTATCAATGTGCACTTTTACTTTCCGTTGAGTACATTTTTAGTGCTGTATCGGTAATTTTACTCCACTACTTTTCTTTCATCTGCAGTCACTATTTTATCATTTCTTGTCTATGGGGATTGGCTAAAGTAGAGAAAAATCGGTCTTGGGATTCCTGTCCAATCAAATCACACATAGAAAAGTAAACAGCCTCAAGACAGGTGCGCTTCATAAATGCAGCAATCATTTAGAAGCTTTAAAAAAATGTCCAAAATGTTTACATGAAATGACCCAGAGACTGTTTAGACTACATATCGCTGATGAGAAAATGAAGGATGTCGACTCTATGAAGACTAAAATTGCCAAACAGCCTTGATCACTAAATGGAACAAATGAGAAATGTAACGAAGGGCCTAATGAAGGAAGAGCCGAACAAGGAATGGAAGCAAGGACTGAAGGAAGGAAGAATTCAAGAAAGGACTGAAACTAAGGAAGGAAGGAATGAATGAATGATTGAACAAAGGATCAAATGAAGGAAGGAACAAAAGAATAAATGAACGAATTATTGAATAAATGAATGAATGAAGGGAGGAATGAAGGAATTTACAAATTAATGAAGTAACGAAGGAACAAAGGAATGAAGGAAAGACAGAACAAACAAACAATGGAATATAGGAAGGTCACTAGATGCACTAAAGAATGTTACGTTTACAAATCCCTGCACAAACTGCATGTAAATGCATCAACTTTTCACAGTGCAGTGTAACACTCACTATATCTATCACAACTCACTAGTACTTTTGAAAGGTCTACTTTTTACTCATACTTTGAGTAATATTTACAACAGATAATTTGACTCTACTTGCACTTCATCTTTGGGGAAGTAATGTTACTTTTACTTGAGTATGATTTATCAGTACTCTTTTCACCACTGCTCAAAACCAAGCAACATAATGATCTGTTAATGAGGTAGTATGTCCCAAAGCTTGCATACTCTTGTTACACAATCATAAGTATATATACTTATTATTATTTATTTACATATTATTATTATTATTATTATTAATTTACATTTTTATAGTTTATATTTTTCCTTGACAAAAAAGTACATAATTTTAGGGTGTAGTATAAATATGCGAATTGGAACGCAGCATGAAAATATATTTTACCCTAGTATTTCCAAAAGAGTTTCGGCGCTAGCCTGCTCCTCCTGATGGTGCATGCGTTTAAACCCCGGTGTAACCCCGGTGTCCTGGCTAAAGTCCCTCTATCGGCCCTTACGATCATAGCCTCCCAATCATACCTTTCCATCGAATCGGCTCTATCACTGTCTCTCCACTCCACCAATAGCTGGTGTGTGGTGAGCGTACTGGCGCCGTTGTCCTGTGGCTGCCGTCGCATCATCCAAGTGGATGCTGCACACTAGTGGTGGTGTGGAGAGACCCCCCTCACGATTGTAAAGCGCTTTGGGTGTATGGCCATACACAATAAATGCGCTATATAAATACACATTACATTACATAAACTGCTTTTCATCTTGTTTTATACTTGAACGACTAAATGAATGCTTAAGTCTATTTAACAGATTATATTTTATTTACTTTACTACATCGATGCTGTAAAAGGAACTGTATGAAATTAAAAATAGTCACCTTCACCGGAAGTTTATCAGTAGGGGAAAAACTACAAGCTGTGCATATACCCTATTCACATAATACTGTGCATTGACTGGTCATCATCTCTTTCCAAACTTGAGAGTAAGAGACTCTTTGTGCAGTGTGTGTGTGAAATGACGTCTTCAGTCAACATTCAGTCTGAGTCTGCTTTTCATTAACAGTCTCCAGCTCTCCATGTTTACATGCAGGAGCTGCTCGTAATGTTTTCCTGGCACACATGTGGACACTTCCTTCTCTTTAGTCACTCTGTGTGCAAGGCACTGTTTTTACTATGACCCTCTGTAAACAGAAGAAGCAAATGAAGGTACAGATCTAATAGAAACGTCCCACACAGACCAAAACATCACATGAAGTTCATTAAGAAAGTTTGGAGGTTTTTCTACGAACGGTTATATAATCTTGGAGTCACATCGTTGATCTGAGGTTTTGAAATATTGCATTTGGTGTAGAAACTATTTTACATTTTATAATTAGGCTAATTTTATTCATTATGAAAGGCACATCAGTAAAAAGTGCTTCATTTAAAGCAGCAAAAACAGTAATATTGTGAAATATAATTCCAAGATTCACTATATGTAAATGCTTTTTAAAATATTAGTCATTTCTGTGATTCAAAGTTGAGTTTTCAGCATTATTACATCAGTCTTTGTTACATGATCATTTTAATATGCTTATTTGATGTTCATTATTTAGAACTTAGCAGCCATTATTATTAATAATCATTAACTAAGCATCAAATCAGCATATTTTAAAACAAATTCACACAGAAATTATTATTTTGAAATATGTGACTATATTACTGTTTTTATTTTAGACCAAGTGATTAACCAATCTTAATGTTTTCAAACTTTTAGTATATACAGGAATCAGAGAGTGAAATTCTACCTTTTTTTAAGACTTTCCATACATTTTGAGACCTTATAATCACTTTTCAATCGGAAACACCCCCAAGATTTTAACTTACAATATATTTACTAAATACTAATGCAAGAAATCAATCCGAAACTAAAAGATTATCCATATGCTGAATAAAAATCTATTAAATCTAGCTAATTCAGCAGGTAGGCGTCTATAGATTAGCAGAAGTAATGGTGTTGCCTTGGATACTGCAGTAAACAAAGCAGCATGATGATAAATCTAGAAGGTTTGAATTAATTTTTATGAACTACACAGCATCCTGATATTTGCAGCTTTAATTCAGGCAAACTGCAACCATACATTATAAAAATATAATTCAAAAATAATATCATTTAATACTTTGCAAAATAGCATTTAAGACTTTTTAATATTTTAAGGGCCTTTATTTTCTCAACATTGATTTATCAACTTTTAACACCCCGCAAAAACCCTGGTTGGAAAAATTCTGTAATTGCACCAAAATGTAAAGTACATTTAAAATGAAAATCAGTTAAAAACATGACTTATTGTTGTAAAACATACACTCCAACAACCAATAAATAAATAAAACCCAAAATTGGCTTCAAAATGTTCTCCCAGAAATAGCTACATTTCTGAAAAGTTACATTAAATTGAACAGAAACACTAAAATTGAACATTTAAAATAATATTTATGCGAAATAATGTATGCAAATAATATTTAATCTTTCTCCTCAATTTTTGGTGCAGTTTTTTTTAGGTGAGAACGTCTCGTGCATTAACTGAGTAAAATTCAAGACCTTCTGGCTTCTTTCTGTTCCAGCACATCCTTAGTTTTCAGAATAAACTTGGCAAGAAGCTGCCACCATTATTTTACAAGTGAAAACACTTTCTCTTGCTATAATAAACAGGGAAAAAATGCAGCTTACCGTATGTGCTCGTACCAACAAATTTTTTTTTTCTTTAGAAAACTTTCGTCTGAAGTCTTGTGTTGCTCTTCTGAGTCTTAAGCTTGTCTACTCCCTTCTCCTCCTCTACACACACCCAAACACACACACACACTCTCTCTCTCTCTCTCCACAGTCTCCCACATTTCTAGAAAAAATGGGTCCGGGGAGGAATGCAGGCTCGGTTAGAGGAGGAGTTTCCTTCTTCCAGCTTCTACAAACTAAAAACAGACCAGAGTTTGTGTCCAGCCAGTCTCAGAAAAAGCCTCTTACATAATTGCACAAAATGATAATCTGACAGATCTGACAGTAAACCAATTAGGAATTTTAATGTGATATATGTATAGATATAAACTATATATATATATATATATATATATATATATATATATATATATATATATATATATATATATATATATATGTATATATATATATAAAACAACAAGATCATAAGTCCAACCCACTCGAAAAGTAGGTGGAAAAATTAAAAAGCCTTTAATAGCCACGTTTAATTCTCTTTCACTTACTTTATGAATGCCTTGGACTTATGAATTTGTTGTTTATCTTTATGAATATCTTCTCCAAAGAGCACAAACACATAAATTTTTGATTTTGGATTTATTTACATATCTTACACACACACACACACACACACACACACACACACACACACACACACACACATATATATATATATATATATATATATATAACGCTAATTTGATTTATGGTTCACATTGTGCAATAGGTAATTCACGCCTTCTTCAGTTCATTAATGGTCACGTGTTTGTAAGAAAAGTACTACTGTACATCAGCAATCTGTTCAATCATTTCCTGCTCGAGGAAATACAGACCACACAGAGAAACATCAGTTCTCACCCATAATTCCCCTGTGAAGGAGTTTAATTTTTCAGTTGACCCAGATTGACTATTTTTAGTTATTTATTGCTAAATTAGTTTTGAAAAATAAGACAAAAATAATTAAATACATTGCACTGGGTAACGTCTTAAAATAAAGTGTTAATGTATTTGGCAACATTTATTGCTTTTTGCTAATGCTAGTTAATGAAAATACACAGTCATATGTTTTTAGTCCGTTAACTCAGCGCATTACTAGTTCAAGCCTACTTCTTTTTAGAAGTGAATTAGTAATGCTGACCTATAAATGATGTACAAGATTTAACTTCATGTTAGTAACTACATGAATTAGGCTAACTAATATTTACTAATAGATACTGTAAAAAGATTTTATTTTTTTACTTCATACGTCTATGTATAATAATAACTGTATGACGTATTTTATTAAATAATTATTGTATTAAAATAAAAAAAAAATCGTGAATCACACAAGAACATTAACTCCTTAATTAAAATACATAATCAATGTGGAAAACACAATGTTTTCTGAGCGAACCCTTCTTGTAATGGAGTCGCGTTTCTTTTAGTTTGAGGGGTCCTTTTTGCAGGACGTCCCACACACAGAGAGAGAGACACAAACAGGCTGCACGCAGATGAACGCTTTCCCAGTAGGCTACATTCAGAAAAACGATGGAGACAGATTTTAAAAGCCGTTTATCGCGAACAAAGTTTTGAAAAGTTCCATTAGAACGCGACAGTTCCTTCCTTTGAAAAACAGTTCAGTCGTGTACTGAGCCGAGGCGATTGGAAAAGGTGACGTGTGATAGTGTTTCGCGGAATATTTCTGCTCTAAAGCAATAATAGCCAACAACAACTAAAAAGTAACTTCAATGCTTTTGAATAAGAGGAGAAGATGTGCACGGCACAGGTAAGACCGGTTTAATCAAATTCTCCGTTATTTTACTGATTTCTTTAAATCACCATCCATGCGGTAAATATCAAAGTGAAGATGGGCTATATTGATGTATATCGTACTATGCGATGCGTTAATAGCTGTAGGCATTTTACTATTTTCATAAAAGCAAATGTAACAAAGTAGAAAAGTTTCATGCTAGAAAACCGCAGTGTTTTTAAAAGGGAAAAAATTATGTGCGCATGCGCGCCACCTTCTCCATCTGCAACAACAGCTGTCAAAAATGTTTTAACAACGTTAGCGGTACATCACGTGTTTGATAGAGACAATACATAAACCCACCAAAACTGATCTAGGGTCAGTTTATACAAAAGTTAGACAAGACGAGTAGATAGATAGATAGATAGATAGATAGATAGATAGATAGATAGATAGATAGATAGATAGATAGATACTTCTCTAACATCTGTATCTGCAGGACATGGATCAGCGGCTGCAGGAGGAAGGATTGGATCCTTTGGCCTCCAGTGACGAACGTTTGTCTCTGTTGTGGCAGCTTTACATGAGCAGTGAAAATACAGTCAAATCCCTCAACCAGCAGATCCAGGACCTGCAGAAGGAACGTGTCGCTGAGATTGAAAAAGTGAGTTTGAGGGGAAAAATGTATTTACTCACCTGCACTGTTTCAGATCTATTTAAGTTTCATTTTGTCTGTGGAACACAAAAGAGGGAAAATATACATATAGCATACATACATAAACAGATGAGAGACAAAATCGGTTTTTATTTTTTATGTTAATTTTAACATTATGATTTTAGGCTTTTTGTTGTAATGAAGTGTTTTTTTTCAGTACAAAATGCACTTTTAAATATTTTCCTTTTTAAATAGTTTTTTATTGCAAGTACCAAAAGTAACCTTACACATCACCGATGCCAGGGGTAATTACAAAAAATCCCGAAGCACATAGCTACAGGATAAACACGATCTGACAAAAGTCTTGTTGTTTTTCCAAGTTTTAGAAACAACAAATAACTTGACTTCTGGTTGATCATTTAGTATCAGAAGTGGCTTATATAAAAGGCAAAGACCACTAGATTACGCTTATTTTACCAAAATAAAATATGATCATGCCTTGATTTTTAATTATTTAATTAGGGCTGTAAGGTCTGACTGTGCTTAGACAAAAGTCTTGTCACTGAACAGAAATAATGTCCAGTATAGAATATAAAGTCATGCTGCAGTTGAAACAGAAGGCATATTGTGTATGACTCCCATGAGCTTTAAGGACTGCATACATACATCTCTGTAATGACTCAATCAATTATTAATAAAGCCATCTGGAATGGCAAAAGAAGCGTTCTTAGAGGAATCCCAGTGTTCACTGGATTTGTCTTCAATGCCTTTTCCATCCTACCCCAGACATGCTCAATAATGTTTATGTCTGGTGACTGGGTTGGCCAATCCTGGAGCACCTTGACCTTCTTTGCTTTCAGGAGCTTTGATGTGGAGGCTGTATTTTCTGAATTATGAAGTGATAAAAAGTTATACAAAATCAGATGACTGTCAATAATCTAATAACAAAATGAAACTACAGAATTCTGAACCTTACTTCATGCAATGGTCTGAGTATTTTGATATTAATATATGCAAATAAGTGCATATTTAAACAACACCTTTTAAACTCTGTAATTCTGAATCAACTGTGGAAGTATACAGATGAATATTAGCTAACGTTTTTACTCTGCAGTGTCTTGCCTAATGCAAACAGCAGTCATGTGATTTCTATGTCGTCAGGTCCAGCAACAAATCAGTCAAATCAAGAGTCTCACAAAGACCCGAGATTCAGTGGCTTTACGTCTGGAGCAGGAGAACCAAACGCTACATGCAACTCTGGATGACATCAACCAGCAGCAAGGTGCATTTCTATCCGTTTAATCTCAATCAGGCTCTTTTGTCAACTCCTGACTCTTTTGAATCATTGTGCACAGAGACTCAGAGGAGCGAGATTGCAGAGATGTTGCTTCAGGAGGGTCTGGCTGAGATGATTCCCATCAGCCTCAGTGAACAGGTCGCTTACCTCCTCGCAGACCGAGCCTCGCTGCTGGAGAAAATGCAGAGCCGGGAGGATGTAGAGGAGATGAAGATGATGCAGGATCATGAAGCTCTTAAGCAGAAAACCTCACCGAGTCATGTTGAGAATGTGCTGCATGTAAGTCGATCAAATCATCGGGATGTTTAGTCCTGCTGTATGCAAACACAAGTCAGTGCAAATAATAACACTTCAAAATAATGGTTCATTCATTCATTTTCCTCCAGCTTAATCCCTTATTTATCAGAGGTCGCCACAGGGGAATGAACCACCAACTATTCTAGCATATGTTTTATGCAGCGGATGCCCAACCAGTACTGGGAAACACCCATACACACTCACATTGACACACACTCATACACTATAGCCAATTTTGTTTACCCAATTCACCAATAGTGCATGTGTTTGGACTGTGGGGGAAACCAGACCGCCTGGAGGAAACCCACGCCAACACGGGGAGAACATGCTAACTGGCCCAGCCAGGACTCGAACCAGCTACTTTCTTGCTGTAAGGCAACAGTGCTAACCATTGAGCCAGCGTGCAGCCCTTTCATAAGTGCAGTAGGTGATCTGCCAGATTGCTAGCATAAGAAATTTTATATCCCTCCCCTACCATCCAAAGCCACGCCTCCTTAAGTCATGAACGTGCACTGATTAGATTGAACACTAGATCATGTCATCACCAGTTAGAAAATTCTATGGCAGGGGTGTCCAAACTAGGTCCTGGAGGGCCGGTGTCCTGCAGATTTTAGCTCCAACTTGCCTCAACACACCTGCAAGAATGTTTCTAGAAAGCCTAGTAAGAGCTTGATTAGCTAACCCAGGTGTGTCTGATTGGGGCTGGAACTAAACTTTGCAGGACACCGGCCCTCCAGGACCAAGTTTGGACATGCCTGCATATTGTGTTTTTGTAAGTGTCAAAATAAAAGCCACTTTCCAACACTATCATACAGCATGGAAAAGCCAAGATCAAATATAAAGCTACTCCGACTGTGTTTGTCTGAAATAAAGAAAATAACAGAATAAATTATGGGTTAATTAATTTACATTTTTGGGTGAACTATCCCTTTAATAAACATTCTTGTCCATATTTCCACAAGGTGGCGCCACTACACGTTCAGAGCCCTTGGAAGCGGCTCCTGAGTCTCAGAAAAGCAGCTCAGAGTAAACAGAAATTAACTCCTGTATGTTTCTCACAGTTAACCCGATGCATGCACTGAAACGCACAACAAAAAGCATGAGGAGATGTTTCAGATGGATTAGGAAAATATCTATACTGTGTTTAATTTACATGCATATCACTTTTACTGTACTAACCTTGGATTTCTTCTGAATGTTCTTTTCCATGCATGCACGTCGAGGATTTCATGAAGCATGTTTACGCTCGGTGCCTAAAAGGCATGCATTGGTTAATGAAATATGGAAACTGTGAATGCTTAAATATGATAACCTGTGTGTCAAGGTCCTTTATTTTTGCATTTTTAGAAGAGGATATTTTTAAAAACATGCTTTAAATTTCAGTTTTAGTTTGTTTCTTGAATTAGTTTTTGTTTAGTTTTTATTCTGTGCACCCATTTCTTTTCAGATTTGATGGATTTACTTTCAGTTGTAGTTTTAGAAAATAGTTTAACAGTTCAAAGAGTAAAATAAATGTTTGAACAGACACTGAACCACAAATGCAACTTAAAAACTAATAAAAAAAATAAATATTGTGGAGAATTAAGACGTTGGCAGGAATAAACATTCCTAGTTTACATTCATTCATTTTCCTTCAGCTTAGTCCCTACATCTGAGATCACCACAGCTGAATGAACCGCTAGCTATTTCAGCATGTTTTATGCAGCGGATGCCCTTCCAGCTGCAACCCAGTACTGGGAAACAACCACACACTCAATCACACACACTATGGCCAATTTAGTTTGTTCAATTCACCTACATCGCATGTCTTTGGACTGTGGGGGAAACTGGAGCATCCGGAGGAAACCCATGCCAACACGGAGAGAACATGCAAACTCCACAAAGAAATGCCAAATGACCCCGCTGGGACTCAAACCAGCGACCTTCTCTCTGAGGCAACAGTGCCACCATGCTGCCATCTTAGTTTACATTTTTTGGCAAAGAAACAGAAAAGTTTGAACATGTTTTATGTATATACAGAAGGCCGTTTCTGTATATAATATTGCTCCTGACTGATGTTGCTTGGCTTTAAAAGTGCATCTACACAGTCTAGGCACAGGTCAGATTTTCTACCACAAAATGAACATATTAATTAATAAAACAATTATTTTATTACGGTTAGTTTCTAATGTTTTCAGTTTTGATTTTTCATTTATTGTGTGTTTTTTCTGTTTACTTAAATCTCTTTGCTGTGTTTATAGCAGGCGGCTGAAATGCAGTATAGTGTGGATAAACTGAAGGAGCGGACACTGCAGGCACTGGAGAGAGATGTAGAAGAAGCTTCTGCTCGACTCGCTATGGCTCATAAGGAGATCCGCAGACTCACAGATGAGCTTGAATCTGCTCACCTCACACAAAAGGCTTATGGTAAATCACTAGACATCACAGAATGGAAGACACTGGCTACACTGTAAAAACTGCTGCAAATTTTTACAGTATTGCTGGTAATTTTGGTTGTAAAATTTACCAGTGCACTGTAAATTAACAATTATTATTGTGCTGTAATTTTACAGCGCAGTTCTAAATAATAATTTAAAATACGCTTAAATTTTATAGTATTGTTGACAATTATTACACTGTAAATTAATAATTATGACTGCAGTGCTACAGTTTTACAGTATAACGTTGGTTTGTTCTGTAGACAATCGAAACAAATGTTGCTTAAGGGGGCTAATAATATTGACCTTAAAATGGTTAAAAAAAATAAATAAAACTGCTTTTATTCTAGCCGAAATAAAACAAATATGACGTTCTCCAGAATAAAAAATATTATAGGAAATACTATGAAAAAAATCTTTGCTCTGTTGGTTATCGTTTGGGAAATATTTGAAAAAATAAATAACTAAAAAAATTACAGGATGGCTATTAATTGTGACTTCAACTGTACATTGTTATTGCTTTGTTGTTATTGCAATAGAAAAAATCTTTAAAGGCTTTTCCATTAAGCATAAGAATAATGCAGTAATCCAGAATGCTCATAAATGGATGTAAACCGAGCTACTGACAAACATCATAACCACATCTTGTCTTATTAGAGCCCGAGTTGCAAGAAGCTCAGCTGGAAGTCGAGCACCTTCGACATGAAGTGGAGAAACTGAAACGCTGTGGTATATTTGTGGATTTCTTTTTCTTGTGCATTGTAGTACTTTATAATATTGTACATTTCTGTATATGACTTATTTTGTATCATTAGAAGTTGCTGAACTGCGCAAAACAAAAGAGATAAACCAGAAACAGGAGGACGAGTTGTGCCACCTGAGGCAGAATGTGAAGAGACTGCAGACAGAGCGCGTGCAATTACTTCAAATAGTAAGATTATCATGGAAAAAGTCTTATACATATATTATTTTACTAGAATGAACATGCTCAGTGGTTAGCACTTTTGCCTCACAATAAGTTGCTGGTTCGAGTCCCGGCTCGGCCAGTTGGCATTTCTGTGTGGAGTTTGCATGTTCTACCCATGTTGGCTTCCCCCGGGTGCTCCTGTTTCCCCCACAGTCCAAACACGTGCACTATTGGTGTATTCGGGTAAACTAAATTGGGCTTAAGCAGGTCACACACCGGATGTGCCGCTCGGCGCCACGACACATGACAGTTGGAAGTATTCGCATGAAATTTAAAATGAAACCGTTCATATGGCGCTCTGTGGTGCGGCAGAAATATAAACAGTGAACTAAGTCATGGCAGGGCGCCTCGGACCGGTGTGTGTACCCTGATAGAAACCTATGCTTAGAATTCTAAAATGCATGGCGCTGCGCCTCCCCAAGTGGCACTTGTGGTGTGCGACCTGCTTTAGTTAGTGTGTTTGAATGTAAGCGTGTATGGGTGTTTCGCGGTACTGGGTTGCATCTGGAAGGGCATTCGCTACTAAAAACATATGCTGTAATAGTTGGCGGTTCATTCTGCTGTGGTGATCCCTGATAAGACAAACTAAAAAATTCCAGCAACATTTTACCATTTTTTTTTTCTTTGTGAGCACTTTGACTGTTAGACCATGTACTGTACATATTAAATATAATACTGCATTCCTCCTGCTCATTGTAACTATATAATATATAATGTAACTATATTTTATTAAATACACAATTAAATAGTTTTTGAAGGCTATATTAATAATAATACATTTATTATAAGTACATTCTGAATGAGTCATACCAATATAATGTCTAAAGCACTATTATTGTTTTTCGACAGGCAGAAGCAACTGTCACTCCATCCACAGCCATGAAAATGCAGGAAGATGAAGCCCATAAACGGTTTGTTTAATGAAAATGTGTAAAATTCAATGAAACCAAGAAGATTTGTTAATTCTATTTACTTTTTATTTAATTGAAAAGAACACAAAGAACAAATTACTTGGTCAGTGGAAACAATGGAAATTGAATTCTGTAAATATAAATGGGTAAAAGGTTGGAACAGAGGCCTGTTTAGCACAGTTTAACAGCAACTTTTTCTTTTAATTACAGCATTTAATTATTTGAGAAATGAGGATGCTGATAGCTAAAGTTTTACCAGGAATTTTTTTTTTTACTTTTTGTATTTTGTTGTACTCATGGAAATCAAAATTGGTTTATATTTACTGAAATTAAACTGAAATTATTTGGCCAGAGACGTTGGAAAACTTTTCAAAAATGAAACACACGGACTCAACTTGTTACAAAACAAGTTTTTTTTTAACACAATATTTTAATAATAATAATAATAATAATAATTCCTGACATTTATATAGCGCTTTTCTGGGCACTTAAAGTGCTTTACACATAGGAGGGAATCTTCTCATCCACCACCAGTGCAGCATCCACCTGGATGACGCGGATGAAGCCATTTTGCGCCAGACCGCACACCACACACCAGCTGATTGGTGGAAAGGAGACAGAATGATGAAGCCAATTATGATTGAGATGCTGTGGCATGACCTTTTTAAGACAGTTCATGCTCGAAAAACCCTGAATTACAACACTGAATTACAACAATTCAGCAGAGATGAGTGGGCCACAATTCCTCCACAGCACTGAACAGACTCAGTGCAAGTTATGAAAAATGCTTGATTGTAGTTGTTGCTGCTAAAAGGAGACCAACCAGTTATTAGGTTTATGGGCAAACACTTTTTAACAAAGTGCTATGTAGTTTCTTCCCTTAATAATAAAAACTTTCATTTTAAACTGCATGATGCGTTTACTTGTGTTATCTTTGACTAATATTTAACAGGCATGCAAATAAGATGAGGGGACTAACACTGTTGGTGAGGGGACTAACACTTTAACACAACTAACTATCTGCCTGTCTGTACTCAAAGATTTACATTACTGATGGCTCCAGATCATTTTCCAGAATCAGCTATATGTGTGTGTTCTTACAGGTGTGTTGATGAGATGCAGGAGCGTCTGCAGGATCTGACGCAGGTCACACTAAAGCTGCGGATGGACTTTGAGATGGAGACGGAGCTGCGGAGGAGAGCAGTGGACGAGTGTGAAGAGCAGAAGAAGAAGAGAACTGAGGCAGAACAGCTGGTCAGAAACTTCCAGACGCTCTGCGAGAAACAGACGGATGATTACAGGAGGAGCGTCGGCACCCTTCAGGTGGAGGTGAGAAAACAGATGCACTGTAAAAGATGTAATGATAAAAAGTCAAAAGTTTAAGGTCAGTTTTTTTTTTTTTTTTAATTGTTCTGTTCATCAAGGCAGCATTTATTAAATGTAAAAAAATAAATATGAATTAATTTTAAATAACTGCTTTCTTATTGTATGTAGCTTCAAATGAGAGAGAATTGAGTTAATTGCCAAATTCAGCTTGTCTGGCTATGTCATAGCAAAAACCACATTTTATAAACACAACTTTTCCATAATTATAAAAATATTCTAACAATTAAAAGTCATCAAGAGCAATAAATAATACACAAGGTAAAATACATAAGTAATATGAACAATAAATCAGACTAAAATCAGTTTAGGTATTACTTTTGATAATTTTATTTTATTTTTTTACAATTTTGGAAGGATTCACATTTAAAAATTTCATTTAAAGTCTCTTCAGATAAAAATTGTTGTCTGATAACATTAAAAATGGGGCATTCCACAAAAATATGTTTTTCATAAAAATATGTTGCAAACAGTTTGGTTTGTTGCAATATTGGCATTATGGGGGTTCTTCTTCTTTGAGTAAATGTTCATGTGGAAGTATTGTGTGTCCGACACGCCATCTTCTGTAAACAATTTCATCATGTCTTCATTTAAAAAATAAATTGGATTTTCTTCCTATTTCTGGCTGAATTTCAAAAAGTTTATTTTCTGAGCACTGATCCCATTCTGTTTGCCATTTGTTAAAAATGTGGCCTTTTATTAGTGGCTTTAAATCCGAAGGTGGGGTTTTGCACTCCTTTAGCTTTCCTGTTAGGGCTGTCTTGGCGGCAGAAAACTATATTATAAAACTTTCTCTGTTGTTCATTCACTTTGATAAAAATGTCAATAATAATATAGGATGCTTCAGTTTAAAAGAATTCAATGTTTGTAGACAAGATTTTAAGTCTGAAAAATAATAAAATTATGTTCTTCAGCATTTTCAATGTGTTCCAGAGCTAAAAATCGAGCCTTTGCTTCCGCTGTAAAAATTGAGCTTTGATCTGGAATGTGAATGCCGTAGTGTGATTGAAAGTTTCAAGTTAAATTATTACTCCAGTCATTATAGCTTTTATTACTATGACCATTAATAATAATAATAATAATAATAATAATTAGAGTGATTTCTGTAAGAACCATGTGACTCTGAAGACTGGAGTAATGAAGCTGAAAATTCATCTTTAAAATCACAGGAATAAATTATTAAATTAAACAATAAACTACTTTTGAACAGTTATTTTTATAGTGCAATAACATTTCACAATTTTACCCTGTGTACTGTATTTTTGATTAAATAAATGCAGGCTTGGTGAGCAGGAGAAGCTTTTTTTAAACATTTAAAAACCTGTTAAGCTTTATTTAAATGGTCCCTATTGCAGATTTTGTTGACTAAAAGTTGCATTGCAACTACATGCCATTTAGTTCTCATTTAAGTATTAGTAGTCTGTCTTTATATGTTAGGTAATGCTCCTTCAACAGACATTTAACAGACTATAAGAAACTTTGCAAGTACATGTCAACTTACACTAACCCCAACCCCAACCTAACAGTCTACTTATAATTTAATGAGAATTAGCTGACCTGTAGATGCAATGCAACTTAAATTCAACAAAATGCATTAAAGGATCATCAAAAATACAGTAATACCAAAAATATTACTAACCCCAAACTTGACCGGTAGTGCATATCAAATCAAAAACAATATTATTTTGCTTGTTTTAAGGAAAAACTCAATTACTTTTGCCATATTGTTTCTGAAAACAAGACAGTATCTTGTGCTCGTCTTGAATGCTTTTTTAGATATTTAGACTAGAAACAGGACAAAAACTCTTAGAAAAGCATTTTTTTTTTCGTGTTGAGACTGTCATATTTAATAAAATAAAGCATATTTATAGATAACATTTAAGAAAGCCTGTAATACAAATACATTTTTCAATTACCAAAGTATTGATTCAACTGGGGAAGTATGGAGATCTGTTGAACTTTTCCTAGTCTTCCCAGGTTAAAATATTAGTCAGAGGCTTTAAATAAGTTTAATCAATTTAATTAATTAGAGGAATAAAGCATTATAGAGCTCCGAGTGTCAGAGAACAGCAACACAGGCAGTTTGTGTTAGCTGGGCGCACACGCACACACACACACACTTCCTCTCCCCCCCATATTTATCATCGCCTCTCTTCAGCCTGCCCAGCGGCGCTTCAGTAAGAAAAAACCTCCATCCAGATCAGTTCAATCATCAGTTGTTAGGCAGAACAAGCTAATCTGCACAGAAAACGTTACGCATACATATAACAGAGCCCACAAGAGTGAGCCTTTGCCCCTCTTGTCCGTTATTGTTCCTGTAAACGAGCACACTCTGAAACTAAAACAAGTACCGAGGAGTTCACTTCTCGGTTATCAGTCACACAAAGCCACAGCTGTTATGGAGCAAGGTTATTTGAGGTTAAGCACACACGGTTATGAGGATAAACACATCAGCTTGAGTTTTAAATAATAAAAAACAGAATTAAACTGTTAATGCAAGGATTAGTCTATTAATGCATAGGACAAAGTTAAAATCGTCAAAAATTCTTTCAGATCCTGAATAATTAACCTTACTGTATACATTTTCCCTGATTTCTGTTTGACAGAGAGCAGATTTTTTTTAACACATTTTAAAAACATAATAGTTTCAATAACTCATTTCTAATAACTGATTTATTTTATCTTCATCATGATGACAGACAGTACATAATATCTGTCTAGATATTTTTCAAGATACTAGTATTCTCTCTCATCCTAGCATTGTTTCCGCTGGTGCAGGGTCTGCTCTTCAGCAAGGGTTCTGTTCAGGACCTCCTCCGGCGATGCATTGACGATCTTTAGGTCTTTCTTTAATTATTTGCATCCATTGTTTCTTCGGTCAACCGTGTGGCTGGCGTCCATCTAGAGCAGGGGTCTGTTTTTTTTTTTTTTTTGCGGCCCTCAGTGCAATATTTTGTGGCCCGCGCCGCCTGCTGTACACTGACAGAATCAGCGGAGCGGGGAGAGAGAGCGCTCCCCGCTCCGCTGATTCTATCCGTACACAGCGGTCACTGGCATTCCCCGCCCGCCGTGTAAACAAAGGGGTGGGGATGCCGGTGACGTCACCACGCACCCCCGCCCCTTTGTTAGACGTTGTGACGGGCGGGAAGTGTTAGGAGGGAACTCGCGCCGGCCAGAACCAAGGTAAGCTGTTCCCGCCCCTGCCTGTCACTTAGCTACTTATCTGCAGCCTGCCACCTACCTAGCTACAGCCTGCATCTTATATATATTATAGGTAGATACAGACTGATTTGACTGGAGTGGGGTGGGGGTGTTTTATTTATACATATATACGCCTTTTTTTTAGGTGAGGGAATGGAAGTTGAGTGAGTTCTCCCACTTTTTTCCTAGGACTTCAATAAGTTAAAAGTACAGGTCTAGACTTAATGATGATCATCTTCAAGCCATACTGAGGGTCTCAACTGCTTCCGCTCTAAAGCCAAATGTGGTTCAGATTTGTGAGAAGAAGCGCTGTCAAGTCTCTGGCAGCAAGAAGTAAGCAAAAGATGCCATGTTCAGAAGAACTGTTCATAATCTTCACTCAATGTTCTATTAATGTTCAGGACACTTCATGTTCAGAAGAAATAATTAAAACTGTTAATAATGACATTTGAGGACTTTTTTTTGTGAAATCCCTTATGCGGCCCAGCCTCACCCAGACTTTGCCTCCTGCGGCCCCCAGGTAAATTGAGTTTGAGACCCCTGATCTAGAGCAATCCTCATGGCTGTTCTTGCTAAAGTGTTCTCATCACTTCGGTTCACATCAATACCACGTTGGGTGCAATTTGAGCATCTTCTTGATGGGGACTACTCCCAGTTGCGTCCGTATGTCGTCTTTCATAAAATGGTCCCATCTTGTGATTCCGGGCTCCAGCAGAGGATCCGCATCTCCATGGTGTTTAGGGCCTGTTCATATGTTGTAGAGGCGGGACAACATTCAGAGCCATACAGGGCTACTGGGAAGATCAACTGTTTTGTACATTTTTCCCTTCAATCGGTCCAGCATCCTTTTGTCGCAAAGGATGCCAGTAAGCTGTCGCCAATAAGGGGATTAATAATATTGACTTTAAAATGCTTTAAAAAAAAACAACTTGTCTGGTCGACATAAAACAAAAAACTAATTGACATGAGGGCTAATAATGTACTATTTGCATTTTCTTTAACCTGCAGTGTCTTGTCTTAAGAGTAAAATCAGTGATGTGTGTTTCTTGTACAACCACAGATCAGAGATTTAGTAAGTAAAGTACGAGAGCTGGAGGTGCAGGACGTGGAGAGACAGCAGGAGAGACACCTGAAACAGGTAATCACAGCACACTGACTACAGCTGATCTGGTTTTTAGTCATGACTAACCACTGAATCATGAGTGTGTTTTAGGTGTCGTGTTTGCAGGATGAGGTTTGCCAGCTGAAGTTTGCCCTGCAGGAGGAGCAGGAGAAAAGCAAACAGATGCTCATAAACATGCAGATGGAGATGGACCAGGCCAGAGCGCTGGTGCAGGTGAAGAACCAACATTTTCACACCTAATGGAGTTTTTTCTTTTATTTATATATATATATATATATATATATATATATATATATATATATATATATATATATATATATATATATATATGTATGTGTAAATATAAAGCTAATTGAGTGCTAAAATTCATTTCTTGAAATAATAAAGGGGGCAGGGCGGCACGGTGGCACAGTGGTTAGCACTGTCGCCTCACAGCAAGAAGGTCACTGGTTCGAGTCCCAGCTGGGTCAAGTGGCATTTCAGTGTGAAGTTTGCATGTTCTCCCTGTGCTGGTGTGGGTTTCCTCCGGGTGCTCAGGCTTCCCCCTACAGTCCAAACACATGCGCAACAGGTGAATTGAGTAAAACAAAATTGGCCGTACTGTATGAGTGTGTGTGGGGGGGGATGTGAGAGTGTATGAGTGTTTCCCAGTACTGGGTTATGGCTGGAAGGACATCCGCAGCAAAAAAACATATGCTGGAATAGTTGGCGGTTCATTTAATTTCACCTCTCAGTCAAGGAAAATTTTACACTCAAAAAAATTTGTTGCTTATTCAAAGAACTTATTTAAATTGAGCTGAAACAATATTATTCTTCAGGTTTTTTTGGGACAAAAATTGATTGTTTCATGTTCTATCTACTTCATGTTCTGTGTTCTAAAAAAAACAAAAAAAACAATTAGGTTAACTTAATTGTGTTAGGACAACGAAGCAATTGTGTGGAACTCTGCAGTTTTAAAGTGTGATGTGATTATCAAACCAAAAACACTTTAATAATTAAATTAACTGGTAATTTATCTAACGTACACATTTATTTTTAACATGTCTGTCAGCAGTAAACACGTCCACCAGTATTTTACCAACAAAATTTGAAAAAAATTTAAATAAAGGCTTGAAAATATATAGAATGTTTGAAAGCAAAACATTTATGAAATATGTTGGAAAAAAAATAAGAATATAGATGTATAAATAAATAAATAAATATATATATATATATAAATATATATATATATATATATATATATATATATATATATATATATATATATATATATTCAGAAACTACACTGTGTGCATCTAACACAAAAAGCATTGCAATGAGATAAATTTTGAAATAGAACAAAATAAAAACATTTAATAAATAAAACACCCACCCACACACACACACACACACACACACACACACACACACACACACACACACACACACACATATATATATATATTTAAATGCATTAATTTTTAACACATCTGTGGGCAGAAGTTAACACTTTCAGCAGTAGTCTACTAAAAGATAAACGCTTTTGAAGAAAAAAGAAAGACATTTACAGTTATATATTTTTTTTTTGTCATGTTTGACAGCAAAGAATTTAAGAAATAAATGTTAATATAATGATTACATTAGTATACTTTTAAAGTATATTATAGTCAGGGCCGGTCTGCGAACAAGCTTCCCCGGGCCTCACTCACATCCACGACACAATCCTCCTCCAGCCCTCATTATAGTACATTAATAGTATATTTATAGATATTATAGTACTATAGTAGTGTAAGAACTGTACATTTTAGATTTTACTAGTCATTACTAGTCAAGATACTTATATTCAGCTTAAAGTGACATTTAAAGGATTAACTAGGCTAATTAAGTAAGTGTAATCAGTCTACTGATTGTAGGCTAATAAGGTTAACTAGGCAAGTCATTAGACAACTGTAGATTGTTCTGTAGGCTAGCCAATTAAAAAAAACAATTATTATTATATACTGTAGAGCTAATAATATTTACCTTAAAAATTATTTTTATGAAATATACAAGACTTAGTTTTTATTCTAGTCAAACAAAAAAAACAAGATAAATTTCTTCAGAAGGGTAAATAGAATAGGAAATACTGTGAAAATTTACTTGCAACATCACTTTGAAAATATTTGTATGAAATATTTGGAAATGCAAAATTGCAAAGCCGGGCTAAATATTTCTAAAATATCAGAGTTACCTGAGGTTTCCATGCTTTTCCCTCAGTCTCAGGAGATCCAGCTTCAGAAAGATGCAGACGAGCAGAAGAGTATGATTGAGGAGCTGCAGAGCATCCAGAAGATCCTCAACACCACCAAACAAGAACTGCAGATGCAGAGGAGAAACAACACAAAACTGCAGAACAACATAAGTGATGCGCAGCAGGAGAACCTCAAGGTGAGTCTCGCACTTAAAGTACACATGCAATCAAAATGAACCATACTGATGCTGTTGGCTTGTGTTGCTCGTTTTGTGAGCAGTTTATCAGTATATTTCATTAAGAGATGCTCTGAGATATTTCACAAGTGTGTCCTTGTGATCTGAAATCTGAAAATGCACTATTCCTGTTTGTTTTCTGTTCAATTCTCAGATTAGGTCTGTCTGAGGGTTTGGGCGTGGCTAACATACTTAACCACGCCCCTCCAGCTGTCAGTTTTGACAAACAGAAATGGTGAGGAGGAGGAGACTGATAGGTTGTAATAACTCTCCCCAAACCCTTTTCCAGATTTTTCAGAAACTACTTTACTAGATCCAATTAACTCAAGTAGAAAAAACTAGCCACGCCCACTGTTTTCTCATTTAATATTCTGTTTCTCTCTGAACTGTCACAATACGAAAAAAAAACAGTCACAGCTTTTGGTTCATGTGGACTTTAAAGTCCTCAAAGTCTGTGTGAAAATGAAATTTACGAGGTTTATTTTGCTAAAGTACACTGTTAGACTTTAGTTGAACAATTAATCAGTGCAATTTAATCTACTGAAAGCCCCGCCCCCTACTTAATATTCAGTTTTGGTCTCGAGTACAGTAACATACTGAAACAAAAGACCGCAACTTCTGGTTCACTTTAAATCAGACTTCAAATCAACAGACTGAAGTGGTTTTAGCTGTTTGCATTGTTGATATTAACTCTTGTTCTAATTATGAATCATTATTATTTTTTATAAGCGCAGCTTCAACAGGACTTGAAGAACAGATTAGTCAGCAGTCAACAGGACAGTGAATCTCTGAGGACTGAACTTCAACTAGCTCTAGTGAGCGTGGACGCAGAGAGAAGGTAATCATGGTCATTGAAGTTAACTAAAACCATTAAAAAATGTTACAAAATAAATAAAGAATTCTAATAGTTTTTTTTGTTTTTATAAATGTATATCAACAACATGTATTATGAATAAAACAACAATACTACATTAAGTAATAACATTTTATTTAAGTAGGTGCATTATTTTGCAACACCAAGTATCAAAAGCAAACAAAAAGTAATAAAAATACAACAAACTTATGAACTATTTCACTAGGATTAAATATAAAATAAAAAACTCTTGACATAAAATTGCAGTCAGAAAAATATAGAAATACGTGTAAAAATAAATGCAAAATTCAATAACTGTACACTGAGAACAAAGAGTGAATTAAACTGAATTAAAAAAGTAATAATTATTTTAGCAAGTTGCTAAGAAATTATTTTATTAATTTTCATTTACTTTATATGTACAAAAATAACAGAAGTTTTGATTTACAAAACGAAATTGCTAAAATAAAATAATTAAAATGGAAAATATATTTAAAGACAAACAAAAACTGCAGTAAACTAAATTCATTCACGCATTTTCTTTTCAGCTTAGTTCCTTTATTTATCTGGGTTTCGGCAGCGGAACAAACCGCCAACTTATACAGCATATGTTTTACACAGCGGATGTCCTTCCAGCTGCAACCCATCTCTGGGAAACATCCATACACACTCATTCACACTTATACACTACGGACAATTTAGCCTACCCAATTCACCTGTACTGCATGTGTTTGGACTGTGGGGGAAACCGGAGCACCCAGAGGAAACCCACGCAAACGCGGAGAGAACATGCAAACTCTACACAGAAACGCCAACTGACCAAGCCGAGGCTCAAACCAGCTACCATCTTGCTGTGAGGCGACAGCACCACTTACTGCGCTACCGCTTTGCCCCTAGTAAACTACATATTAAAGAAAGAAAAAAACGGATTTCTGACACAATTTTATTTTAGCTAGCTGCCAAGAACATTTCACAATTTCATTTAATTTACACTATATGTACCAATACATTGTCTCACTAAAACAAAAATAAAAAACAGAAATTCACAACAATATCGCTAAAATAAAATAATAATAATAATTTAAATGAAAAACAGAAATAAATAAAAACAAAAATTGCAGTAAACTAAATGTTAAATATATAAAAAAAACTTTGAATATTATTTTAGCTAGCAGCCAAGAAAACATTTCTCGGTTAACGTACCAACACATTTTGTTTCAATAAAAAAAAAAAACAATTGCTAAAATAAAATACAAATAATTAAAATGGAAAATATAAATAAAGAAAAATTCACAACAAAACTGCAAAATGTCAACAAATTCAAAATTAAAATGGAATACATATATATATATATATATATATATATATATATATATATATATATATATATATATATAATCTAATTAATCAAATAATCAATTAATTAAAATTAAAAAGCTTTGAAGAATACTACATTGTTTCCTCTATTTTATGCCAGTAAATACAACGACAAGCGAATCCACTACAAAAACAAGCTGAGCCGAGCCAGAGGGCTTTACCTGAGAGAGACAAACCGGCGAGACGAACAAATAAAAGACCTGGACAAACAGATCTGCATTCTGAGGAAACAAGAGGAACAGGTAACATGGCAAGTTATACACTATCTGACAAAAGTCGTGTAGCTTATCCAAGTTTTAGAAACAGCAAATAATAACTTGACTTCTAGTTGACCATTAGGCATCAGAAGTGGCTTATATGAAAGGCAAAGGCCTCTAGATTACGCTTATTTTACCCAAATGAAATATGATAATACATAATTAGACATAATGACATAATTAGGACAGTAAGGTCTGACTTTGCTTAGACAAAAGTCTTGTCACTTAACAGAAATAGTCATGGTGCAGTGGAAAAAGAATGAATATTGTGTGTGACTCCCATGAGCTTGGAGGACTGCATCCATACATCTCTGCACTGACTCAAATTAACTTATTAATAAAGTCAGGACTCTGGACATGCAGGACTTCCAGAGTTCATCAAGACTCTTTGGACTCATCTTCAATGCCTTTTAAAAAACAAAAGCTGTTTCTGAAATATTAATAAAATGTGCATTATTTGTCAGTGTTGTTATAAAAGATTTAAATTTAAGATTTTTAATTAAAGATCCTCCCATTTTTCATTCTGTTTTTGCACAATTGAGCACAATTGTTGAAATAAAAATCAAACAAATTATTTAAAATTTATTTCAGGCACTTTCAAAGACCTGTGTTTGTTTTTAACTGTCCAGACCTTGAATCAATTCTAGTACTGAATTCAAATACTTAAAGAAGTGCGGGAACCCTAAAATAAAGTAAACAGTGCATGTGATCATTAAATGCTGATGTCGGTCTCTCATCAGATGTCATACATGATGAAGACGGTCATGTCTGAAAACCAGAGTCTGCTTCAAAACAACACAGATCTGCTTCTACAGCTGCACGACTCTGAAGAGACTCAGAAAAACACGTCACACACCGTCTTCACCATGCAGAGGAGGTACTGTTTAATCTACAGTAGATGTATAGTACTGTCAAAATACTGACAATTCAGCTTTGAATCATAGAAATAGATGACATTTTAAAATACAATTAAAGTGGGTGTGAAATCAAATGTACTGTTTAATTCGCTAGTGCACATTGTTATTCTTTAGGTCAGGGGTCACCAATTTCGTTCCTGGAGGTCCGGTGACCTGCAGGGTTTAGCTTCAACGTGCCTCATTACGATTATCATGCCATCGATTCGAAATTTAGAATTTAGAAATGAAAGCACTGTTCACCGATGAGTTACGTGGGAAGAACAGCCCCGGTTACCGTCTATGGCTCTATTTTGACGGTCAGTGGTTAAGTTTGACACCCAGTGGTTGAATTAGGTATTGCGTTTGTATTAATCCAGGAATGCAAGCGCAGGTTGCCAGATTAAGGACCAACACGAGAGTCTGACTATCGAGCCTAAAGGCTGATATAAACCGTGTTCTATAAAACAGCAAGCGATAGAGGGAATATTTTCATATTAACAGGAGCTTCTGTTCTAACCAACACCTCGAATTGAAATGTAAGAAACGGCTTCTATCTCTTACAGCTGAACAACAGAAAACTGACAATAATCAGCTCAGGTACACCACATGCACTTTATTCAGGGTAGTTGCTAATAATGTGAGATTGAATGCCATTTTACATGACATTTATTGCCATACTACTGAAAACAGCAGGGGATAGTTCATTTGATAAATAAATAAAATTATTTTTTTAATAATAAAATTGTTCGAAGTTGAACTTTAGACCTGTGAAATAATGCAAACCAACAGATATCAGTGATTCAGCATCCACATTTATTAATGTTAAAGAGATTTAATATGTATTAATTCGATTATAAACCTTTCCATTTTGTAAGCAGCCAAAAAGCCAAATTGCTTATGACTGCAAATCACATAGTGTGTTGTTAGGACACAGGGTTACACGGGGGTGAGGGGAAACCTGCTCACGTAATGTTTGTTAATAACATTTATATTATTTGCTAATTAATAACCACCTCATGTGGAACTCTGAATCTGCATCTCATTTCGGAGTCTGCAATTGTCCACCCCCGGTCGCATTTCGGTCACAGGCGCATACTTTGAGAGCCTTCATGACTGATTGAATGAATACGTTGTTTTCCAACAAGGCAACCCAGAGTGCTGAAATATAATTGGCTAAACTGGCATTGGGCGGGTTAAAAGAACTAAAACAAAGACAGCGGTTCCGGCACATAACACACATTTTCAAAGCAGAGCATCTGACTTAAGAATTGTCTTTCCAGATAAACAAGAATGTTCACTTAGCATGTTTCTTAAACATCTGCTAATAAATCTATTTATTATTTCACTAATAAATCTCAGATTTTTAAACAGAATTCTTCGCAATCCATTAAAACAGTGTTTCTTGTTTAACTTCCTCAGGATTAATTTGCTTGAAGAAGAAAACAGTCGACTACAACAGACGACAGCACAGATGTCTGAGCACATCGAATGCCTGACGACACTGGCTGAGACAGACTGTGATGTAAGTACATTCATTTAAATGTAATTTTGCAATGTAACAATTCCGTACGTTTACGATAAGTCTAATAATTTGTGTTCTCTCGTTTTATTTCAGGAAGTTAGTGCTGAGAGTCGTGTTATCGAGGGTGAAGACCAAACCACTCTTCCTACATAAACATCTTCATTTTTCATTGTGAATCGCTTAAATTATTTTTGTAAACTCAAATATTTCTAAATAAATGTCTGTGTCTACAGATCACAACAAAACCTTTTCCTCATGTGACATAATAGGCTAAATTGGAATTGGGCGGTTAAAAGGGACCAAAGCAAAGACAGACGTTCTGACATGGAACGCACATTTCTTAACTTTATTACAAAAACTTTTTTTTTTTTTTTTTAAATGACCAATTCATTTATTTTATTTTCGGCTTAGTCCCTTTATTAATCTGGGGTCGCCACTGCAGAATGAACAGCCAACTTATCCAGCTAATGTTTTACCCAATGGATGCCCTTCCAGCTGCAACCAATTACTGGGGAAACATCTCATTCACACTCATACACTAGGGACAATTTAGCTTAACCCAAACTCCCCAAATGCCAACTGACCCAGCCGAAGCTCGAACCAGCGACTTTCTTGCTGTGAGGCAATCATGCTACCAACTGCGCCAATGTGACGTATTTTAATGACTTTATCAATGTTTTTCAGATAAACAAATATGTTTACTAAGCATGTTTCCTAAATATCTGCAGACACATGATGGTATTTTTAGGATTTAGAAAAGTAAAAAAAACTTGCATACAGCACCTTTAAAATATTTTTCTAGTTCCCTCATGTTTTTTCAATTCATCTTACACACTAGTATTCAACAGTAGTTTTGTTGGATATGTTCATATGTCGAATTTAATCTTACGATTTAGTCCATGCTGGGTGTCCATGCACTTACTTCAGTCATTAAGAATCAGTGCACACATCAATTTTTCAAGGAGGCAGAGCTCTTCTTCCTGAAGGATAATAATGAATGTAACTTATGCAGTCACACCCCTAAATAAAATCTTAACAAACTGTAGTCCCTAACAGCCCACAAGGCGGTTTAAGTCTATGTATATTCTCCTACATAATAAGCTTCAGGCTATCAATCCAGACTCCAAAGGTACTAACAGCAGCCTGAAAAAAATCAAGAGGAGTCTGGAAAAATCTATCAAGGTGACCCACAACATCAGCAGAACATAAATTGGGGGAAAAAAATATTTTCACACAATCGGACTTTCTCCTTAATAATCTAATTTCAGAAAAGTATTGTTTGCAAACTCTAAATAAGGAAATCACATTATCAGCCAATGACTATCAAAGTACATCATTGTTCACGGTCCATTAAATAGTGCTGTTTTGAAGCAACGCTTACATACAGGTTTAGACCCATTATTCAATCTAGCGGTGTCACAAGTTGTCATTGTTCAAAATTGAATAAATGTGTGAATATAAAACCAACTTTACCTCAATATAACATCACTTATACTGCACAACAAACAAACACAGGCTCTGCTTGAATAGAAACCGGGATAACTAGTTTTAAGATTTACGGCAGTGTGGAAAAGTCAAGGTATTAAAACTGTTATGTTTTTCTGTTTTACTGTTCTTAGAGTATTTGATAGAGGTTAAGCTGGTTTAATATTCGTATATTCAGACACTCTCTTTATTAAAATAATTTCAGAAAAGTATTCTTTTCAAACTCTAAATAGGGAAATCACATTAGCAGAAAATGACTATCAAAACATTGTCCCAGTGAATTAGATAGTGTTAATGTTGTTTAGAACTTGCATGCTAATTCTGATCGAATTTTTTAAAGTAACATGATAAAAGATACAGACTGCTAAAGGAAAGACTGAGCGGATATAAAACCAACTTTATCTCTATGGGTATGTTTAAGGTTTTTCTTTTTTTTGTTTTTAACGTGTCATGACTATTTTATTTAGTTTTTTTTAGGGCAATCTCTAGCAGAAAACGCCCCTTTACAGCAAAAGCTGCTAGTTAGTCCACAATTCAGGAAACATCTAAAAAACAAATCACTTATAAACCAACATAAACATGCTATGAACCTGAACTGTGCAGTGGCTTTTTTAAAAAATATCCAAAAACATCTTTTTAAGTTGTTTCTTTAAAGTAATGAAGACAGCAGAAGTCAATGGTTTATTATTTAGCCTGACATGTTTACTGCTCCAAAAGATTTAAAATGTTTTTTTAAATAAAATGTGTTCAATGGTGAAAAAAAAACTTTTTTGCTCAGACATTTAAAACGAAAATTTTAGAGTAGACATGGGATAATAACCAGTATCAAGGTATACCACGGTTTGAAAAGTCAAGGTTGTAAAACCTCCAAAATGTTCTGCTATATCATTGCTAAGGCATGTGTAGAATTTTTTATTTATTATTATTTTAGTTTTTTTAGGACAACAGTATGTCCAGCAGAAATGATATCCAAAGATGTCGTTTTAAATTGTAAAGAATCTGTGTTTTTTAAAACAAATGAAGACAGCAAAAGTCAAAGATGTGTTTTTATCATTAAACCTGACACATTTATTGTTCCAAAATATTATAAATGTTTCTCAAAATATTTGGTGTTTAAAGGGGAAAAAGTTTTTGCTTTTTTTCCCAGACATTTAAAAAGAATTAATTTTAGAGCAGTAATCACAAAACCGTGAAACAGTTAAACCGTGATATTTTTATCCAAGGTTTTCATACCATCAGAATATTATACCGGACCATGTCTAGAAACCCCCAAAAATATCAACACACACGGAATCTAGTTTATTTAAAACACAAAACAGCACATCCCTGTGTGTGTGTGTACTGTATATATATATATATATATATATATATATATATATATATATATATATATATATATATATATATATATATATATATATATATATAAACAAATGTTTATTCAACATTTACTCCACCATCACTGTCTGGATAACAACGATTAAAAACGACTGAATGCATCACAAAAACTCTTTAAAACAGTCTAAATAAGTTGTAGTTTAAGTTTCTCATTTACGCTAAACATTAGACACAACTTAATATAAACACGAAGCTTTAATACAAACAAGGGCTAAACTTTGCTCCATTCAAACTGACCTACAGGTTAGCATCTCCGCTAAGGTAATCAATTACACAATCGAACATACCTTTTGTAAACATCTTTACTGATGGGTTTCAAACTCCTGGTGTGATTTTGTGGATTCAGATGTGTCCAGATTCAGCCCAAAAACTGACTTTGGAGGTAAACGGTGAGAATTCTGTGGGTGTTTGGTGCGTTTGTTTGGTTGTTTGTTGTCATTAACACAACACGCTACAAATTAGAAACTGGCAAACTGAGTGAAGGCTGGTGTGCGTTTTTATACCCCCCTGCGCGCTGACGTCACTCCAGGAACCTTTTGCAATCACGTGGTTCACATGTTGACCCGCGAAATTCAGATGAAGCACAGGAAGTAAGGGGGGTATAGGAAAGTCGTATTTTGCGATTTATACCATATTTCAAAGGAGATGTAAAGATAAAATAACCACATATGTTGGACATGATCCTTATAACATGAAGAGGGCCAAGTTTTCTACTGAACTAAAATTTGTTTGCCTGTCATTGAGGCGGTAGATACCCATGGAGGCCCTTTCCCGCCACTGAATAATAAATAAATATATAATAAATATTATAACATCAGAATTCTGAGTTATGAAGACTCAATTCCGAGTTTTACAGTTAGAATCCTGAGCTATATTCTGAGTTTGCCTGCACATTAGCCCATAATCAAGCCTGTATTCGACTTTTCATTGTTAATCACACTTTTAAAAGGAAATATATAGGCACGAGGCTGTCTATTTGTTCTTATGGATTTGTTTTTAATCATGCCATTTGCACCATTTGGTTTCAATAGTAATTAAAGCATTAAATAGAGTGTTTTATTATAATTATATTTTCAAGCCTGAAACTAGCTGTAGGTTGTGTGATTCCCCAACAGCCTAAAATTAAGATTTCTTTATTATGTATCTATTATATGTGTAAGAATGACATCATTTACATTTTGTTGCAGCTGTTTTTTGTTTCATATTGCAAGAGTGCCATCATGTGTTGTACTTGGGAGCTGCAAAAGGGCTGTATTAGTTATATTTCAGTTCAGTAAAAGTGTCGACCAAGTACTGTGTCCTCCTGGCCTTTTTTGGGGAAAACTGGGCTGCTAATCCATACCAGACCAAAGAGAACCTAAAGAAAAAGTCTTTAACCAATTATAGTTTAACCAATTCCATTTATGATCAGTTGCCATAACAGGAAACACCTTTATAACTCTCAATTCTGACTTTATAACTCGCAATTTTGACTTTACAGTTTATTTATTTATTTATTTTCAGTTGCGGTAATGGCTTCCAAACTAATGTTATTGAAGAAACAAAGATATATGATATTTAGGCTATTATAATTTTTAAAACGTTGTTTATGGACTCAATTAGCGTGTTTTTTAAATTTGATGATTACACTTCCTTTCATTGAATATTTTGATAATACATTGATGTTTTAACTTTCTGTCTCCAAGATTGCAATGCAATTTTTTTAATTATCTAAATTAGACGATAAAAAAATATGCTGTAAAAATGTAGGCTAACAACTAGCTATTTTATTTTTGACTGCAGCCGATTTGAACTGGTGGTTTTGTCTGGCCAGGCATTATGTTTTAAAAGGCAATATGTGTTTATTCCTTTCGCTATTTTGAGTGAGTTAGATTCGATTCTGGAGTCGATTCCACTGAGTCCAAAATTAGGAGTGGAGAATCGGAATCGACTCCAAACAAACCCAGCTAAAGGATTTATTTCTTTATTATACAAATATTATTAAAATGTTTACCAATGTATTATCGTTAAACCACTGAATTAAACAAACATACATAGGCTACATATACATTTATATTTCTAGTTATTCTGACGTAAGCTAAGCCGTTTGCTGACGTGCCTCTGGCAGTTCGCGCTTCGACCATAAAAGGTTGATAACGGTTAACTTCAGAAGCTACACGATATGATGTTTTTGCCTTCAACAAACTAATGTTTTATGGGCTCATTGGAGTTTAATTTTGACGGCATCCATTCACTGCACAACTTCATTGGTTTACAAGCGATGAAATGCCAAATTTCTGCAAAAAAACAAACAAACAAGCAAGCAAGCTCAAACCTACTGGGTAAGTTCATTTTCAAATTTTTTTTTGTGGCGGTTAACTATAACAGGGTGTCCGCGGGGTCTTAAAATGTCTTAAATCTTTGAAGAAAACCTAAATTTTAAGCCTTAAAAGTCTTACACTTACTCAAATATTGTGTTGTGTCCCATTTTCATTTTCTTTTCTTTTTTGTGGCGGTTAACTGGCTATAACAGGGTGTCCGCGGCCCGGTCTTACAAAGTTTTAAATCTTTAAAAGTAAACCTAAATTTTAAGCCTTAAAAGTCTTACACTTACTCAAATATTGTGTTTTTGTCCCATCTCTGGGTAACATCCATACACACTTATTCACACTCATACACCAAGGACAATTTAGCCTACCCAATTCACCTTTACTGCCTGTCTTTGGACTGTCCGGGGAAACCGGGGCACCCGGAGGAAACCCACGCGAACGCGGGGAGAACATGCAAACTCCACAGAGTCTACACAGAAACGCCAACTGACCCAGCCGAGGCTTGAACCAGAAACCTTCTTGCTGTGAGGCGACAGCATCACCCATTATAATTTTTTAAACCTTTAAAACATTTATCAATTTTTTTTTCTTTTAAGAAAGCCTATGTTAAAAAAATGCAGGTATACAACTAGCTTGCTTGTTTTGACACAATATTTTAATATTTTGCACAGAATTAACTAAAATATATATTTTTAATTATTAAATTATCATTGCATTATTACATTTATGAAATTATATTAAAAAGTTTGAAAGGGCAAATCAAAATCTTTCCCAACTTGGCAATTCGAAAAACGTCTTAGCGTTTAGCCCTGTATCAGTCTAAAGTTTGATTCATAATTGTCCTAGAAGTGTCTTAATAAGTTTTAAATTTACTGAATCATTGTGTTGTAGGTCTTAAATCTTTTGTAAAGGGGTCTAAAATTTTCCTTTATGTATAGCTACCCAATCTGGCCATTAACACCTATACAAACACCAACAATCCATCTCAATAAAACTTTTGATTTAAAAATGTAATTTTTCACTGTAATTTGTAAGATAAATTCTCTAATTTGCCATAACGGTTTAATTATTTTGCTTCAAAACAATAACATTTGTTTAAAAGTTCTACATGCATTGACTGCTGAGCAAGCTCACCCGTTGTGCATACATTGTTTATAATAGCTTTTTAAACCTTTTTTATTTTTAAGAAAGCTTCTGTTGAAAAGAATTGTATGTATGCAACTAGAGCTTGCTTGTTTTGACACAATATTTAAAATAGCTTGCTCAAAATAAACTAGATTTTTTTATTATTATTATTGTATTATTAAATTGATTAAATTCTATATAAAAAAAAGTTTGATAGGGCTAATAAAAATACTTTCAAACTGGGCCATTTGAACAACTCTTTAGCGTTTAGCCCTGTATGAATCTAAAATGTCATTCATAATGGTCTTAAAAATGTAATGTAATGTGTGTATTAATAAAACAGATTTATCATGTATGTCCATACACAAAAAGCACTTTTTGGGGGGTATGCGACAGCAGCCACAGGACAAGAGCACCAGTCTACTCACCACACAGCAGCTATAGGGCGAGTAGAGAGACAGTGATAGAGCCAATCCGGTGTATGGGGATGATTGGAAGGCCATGATGGGTAAGGGCCAATGGGGGCAATTTGGCCAGGACACCAGGGTTACACCCCTACTCTTTACAAAGAGTGGCCTGGGTTTTTTAATGACCACAGAGAGTCAGGACCTCGATTGAACATCTCACCTAATAGTGTTATATTCATCAGATGTGTATAATATTGTGGTAACCGAGAACGCATAAACACACAGAGCACACACACCAATACAGAAGTTTCTCATTTATTTATTTGCTCACTTTTACAAAGTCTTTTCCCTCTCCGTGTCTTGACTTTGCATGTAGCAGCCAAGGCAAATCTTATAGAGTACCACAATTCAAGACAATTAAAAAGGTGTATTTTATAATAACTAGACATGTAGTCATTTTATATAAACTGGTTAACACTTAAGTACTGTATAGTTTATTTACAGCATGTCCATGCTAGGAAATAAAATTACATAAAAGTACTGAGTACACAAGTAAACACCAATATGGTATAAAATATATAAATGTGATGGTAAACAACTAGTGATAAAATGGTTAAGGCTTAAAATGTGTAAAATTAACATGTTAGTCGTTAATATTTAAACATGATAATAAGTATAAACATGTATAATAAGCCAAGGAGGTATTCTAGACATCAATACAGCTACACAAATCTCATGGGCAACTCCACACTGTTATCCAGCTGTTTCTTTTCTTTTTTGTTTCGCCAAATTTTGTGCACATTTTTAAATGGCATAAGGCTGAAATTTCAGAAGAAAGTGTCTGAAATTATATTTTATTTAAACAATATTTTTTTAAAGACTATTTCAAACATTTTCCCAAACATCTCCTGAAACCACGATTGAATTACTTTTAAACTGAAATTAATTTGTCAAATAAATATTTTATAGTAGATGCATAAAATAATGTTAGTACATCAAATACTACAATGATGCATATGTACTCTCTAATTTAAGTACTAATGGGCAGCATGAAAATAACACATCTGTGCTTCAGAACAAAAACTTAATGCACTATAGAACCGAACATTTCTTGATCATTTTAAGTCAAACGTGTGCTGACATCTGTAACAGAAGGTGTTTGAGTCATTGCACATTTACACTTTTTGGAGAAAGTGTATATAAAAAAAGAAAGTGTTTTCATTTAGAAACCTCAATCTTTTGCCTTTTTCATATTTCACTTTTGGCACTAGACCAGAAAAATCTGATCTGTATGATCTAGGGCTGCACGATTAATCGAAAAAAAAGATCACAATCTCAATTCAACCCCCACACGATCTTTACTCCAGCATCTCTACGATTCAGCCAATAATACTTTCAAGTTTGGGAGAAGATTAAAGGCAGTCACCCTCACTTTGTTTTACTTATGTTGCTCAGCAATGTGGACACCTCCAAATGGTGTTGAAAGAGACACATACTCTATTTATTAGGTATAATTCACTCAAAAATGTCATTTCTGTCTTAGGGTGCTTTTTAACATAGGCTTTTGCCTTTAATGCAATGCTATTGCGTCCATTGCAGCTTTACGTTGTGCAGTTCTCCTCTTTCCAGACAAAACCAGCAGTTTTCGGCTGCAGTCAAATATAAAATAGTTATTAGCCTACCCTTTTTACAGCAGATTTATTCGCCTAATATAGATCATTTATAAAATTGCATTGCAGTCTTGGAGACAGAAAGTCAAAACATCAATGTATTATCGAAATATTTAAGGAAAGGAGGGTTAAAACAGGGTTTTAAAAATCATAAAAGCCCAGTCTCAATTGCCCAGTTAGCATGGTTTGTTTGGCATATGTGAATCCAGCAATCGCGCTCTGATCCGCGCCAAAACAATCGCTCCGAAATCGCCTGAATGAGGAGGTATTGGCTCGATTGAAACTAACTCAATTGTAGTGAGAAAGCAATACAATCCGAGCCTGGCTACATCACAGTGTTTTATGGATATGTAATAGGCATACGACTATATGAAGAGAGAATTTTGAGTAGGGCGGGAGACATCCCAAGTCTCTTGGAAGTAATGCACAGACTGCACAGACTCCCGGATGCCCGCAAACCAGTGATAATCTCCAGGACCTCCCGGTCCTCAAATACGTTGTGCACCCCTTCTCACCGCATCCTATTGCTGTTCAGACATGTCGCAGGCAATCCAAATACACATGCTGTGCCCCATATAGTCTGAAACCTGACAGGTGTACAAAAAAACCCCATACAGAATCGTGAGAAAATCGTGATCTTAATTTTAAGCAAAATAAATCGTGATTCTCATTTCAGCCAGAATCGTGCAGCCCTAGTATGATCTCTAAGGGAATAATCTTGCATCTAGATGTGCTGATTTGTCTATCAAGTCATATTTATAACAGTCCTCTTGAAAAGTTACCTTTAACGCTAAAGCTATTTCAGTACAATTTCTCTGTAAGCAAGGAACGTATTGATGTGAATGAAAACATTTTATGATTGACATTATCAAAACACAAGTCTCTAAACCAACTTTGAGTTGCCCAGAAGAAGGGGATTTGTTTCTCCCCCAAGACAGCATAGAAAAATATGAGAGGAGGTACTGGACTTGGTCCAAGCTTAAAACATACAACGTATGTCTTTCTGATTTCATAATGCATAATACCTACAGTCCCGAACGTTTAGCTGCCAAGAGCAATGCCTTTTATTGTCATAACAGACCGGAAACGTTTAAAGCCAAAACTGTGTGGCCTGAAAGTGCTGTGAAACCATCTTTGGATTTCCCGAATTTTCCCTCTCAACTCAACATTGAGCTGGAAAACGAATGTGTGTGTGATAGAAACACTAAATCACTGCTGTGTTTGAGCCTCTATCCACACACAGTCTAATACCTTTTGGAATGTTCTCAAAAAGTAAAACAAACTAACAAACACACTAAAAATAAAGTCAAACCACCGAACAGGCGATTTTTGCTTGCTTTTGCGGGAATGGGGGAAGAACGAGCGCTCAGATGAGGGAAATGCGGACTGGAACGCTGGGAGATTCGGCTCTCGGTGGCGACTGTTGACTGACCAGATGCTCCACCACTGTGTGCTTCGACATGTGTTTCATTAGGTACGTCTCCTGGAAAAGGACAGCGAATGAGCAGTTAAACATATTAGTCAATCAAGGAGAGGAAAAAATATATTGCGCAATTCTAAAAAGCTACAGACTGCGTGAATATTATCACTACTAAATCATAATATAATGCATTTAAGTAAGTCGAAGGGCACATGAGAAATTACACACTCCGGTGGTTCTCAAACTGTGGTACTATTCAGGGAAAAATTTGTAAATATAAATATGATTAAATTTTAATATAGCTAAAATGCTGTATTCTGTAAATCTGTAAAATAACAAAGTATTCAAAGCTAATTATCCATTTTTTGTACTGTAATAACTTTGTAATTCTGGTTGCATTTGAAAAATGTCTAAAATATTGAAATTTAAAAGAAATGCACCTCCTGGTGATTCTACACTGGAAATTAAAAAAAGTTATATCAAAATAAATAGGTACATTGTAAAAATGCTTTTTGTCTTGCTTCTAAATTTCTAAAAATTCAAAAAGTATTTTCTAGACAAGTAAAAAATATTGTCTTGTTTCCAAAAATGAGTCAAAATGTAATGAATTTATTTAAAAACAAACAAATGAATCTGCCTGCGGGGTAAAAAAATTATCTTGTTTTTTTTTTTGTGAAATAATATTTTACTTATTCCGTCAGATTATTTAGCTTGTTTTGAGGCTAAATATTACATATTTGGACTAGAAACAAGACAAAAACTCTAAGAAAACCAGTGTAACATTTTAAATATGAATACAGTTCTATTAACATTTTACATATACAGTTGAAGTCAGAACTATTAGCCCCCCTAAAGTATTAACCCCTGTTTATTTTTCCTCAATTTCTGTTTAACAGAGAAGATTTTTTTCAACACATTTCTAATCATAATCAGTTTTAATAACTCATTTCTAATAACTGATTTATTTTATCTTTGCCATGATGACAGTAAATAATATTTGACTAGATATTTTTCAAGACACTTCTATACAGCTTAAAGTGACATTTAAAGGCTTAACTAGGTTAATTAGGTTAACTAGGGAGGTTAAGGTAATAAGGCAAGTTATTGTATAACGATGGTTTGTTCTGTAGACTGTCGAAAAAAATAAAGCTTAAAGGGGCTAATAATTTTGAAATTAAATGTTTTTAAAAAATTAAAAACTGCTTTTATTTTAGTCAAAATAAAACAAATAAGACTTTCTCCAGAAAAAAAAAATCATCGGACACACTGAAAATGTCCTTGCTCTGTTAAACATTATTTGTAAAATATTTCAAATTAAATTATTGAAACTATTATCTTTAGACGTGTTGAAGAAATCTTCTCTATGATAAACAGAAATTGGGGTAAAAAATTAACAGGAGGGCTAATAATTCAGGGCGGCTAATAATTCTGACTTCAACTGTATTTTTAGTTGTCAGACAGCCACATGAAAATATACTATAGTAATTTATAGTAAATACTATAGTGCTTTTAACCATACTGACACTGACATCTGCTATAGAGATAGAGATGTTGCACAATCAGCTAAAATGTTGCTAGAATTGTTCGTTATGTATGGCCAATATATATATATAGCATCACCAAAAATGATTGAGATCATGTCCATGTGTTGTACGATAAGTCCATATATTGATTACTGTGAGAGGCCTACATTCCTTTTAATGACAGCTAAGCAGATTCTTTTTTAATTATTATAGTCTAGGCTACATCATTAATCAGAAATAACCTTATTTAGATTTTTGTGCATTGCTACATTAAAAAAACTACCAATCACACACATGCAAATATCTTAGCATGTACAGTTGAAGTCAAAATTATTGGCTCTCCTGTAGATTTCTTTTTATCCAAATATTTTCCAACTTATGTTTAACAGAGCAAGGAATTTCTCATAGTATTTCCTGTAATATTTTTTCTTCTGGAGAAAGTCATGATTGTTTTATTTTGGCTAGAATAAAAGTAGAATTTTTCTAAAACCATTTTAAGGTCAATATTATTAGCCCCCTTAAGCAATATTTATTTTCTATTGTCTACAGAACAAACCTTCATTATGTGTTGAAAAAAAGTATTCTGTCCATTAAACAGAAATTGGGGGAAAATACAGAGGGAAGCTTATAATTCTGACTGTAATGTCTCATCTGATAGAGCATATTGGACCCAGAAACTGATGGTTAAAGCATCACTCAAAACTCACTCAGACAGTTTATGGTCTGCAAGTTTGAGAAACGCTATATAAGCCATTTTCCAGTGAGCATAACAGAGATGGAGTGTGTACTCACTGAGGTATAGGCTCGTCCACACATGCTGCAGCAATAAGCCTTGGCGTTTTTGATGGCGTGAGCCGACAGGTGGATTTGCAGAGATGCTGAGTCGGAATATGCACGATAACAGTTGGAGCATTTATAAGGCTTGTCTTTATTATGTGATCTCTGATGAGACTGTGGTGAATATCAAAACACAAAAAGCTCTTGTTATGCATTTAGACACAATATAATGTAACTAATATTATACACAAAGTTATTCATACCCCTGGCAAATTCTGACATCCAAGTTTTTGTTTAAGTGTAAATAAAAGCTGAGATATATTTGTTTTCGTCTTAGAATCTTTTGGGAGAAGCCTGTGTTCTTTCTGGTCCAAAAAACAACTTTGTTGGTTGGATAAGAGAAACTTTAAGTCAGAATTTACCATATGAATAATTTCAGGCTTGACTGTATATGATATAGAACTGTTTTTGTAATTACTGCTATTTGTAAGTACAATTGAGCATGAAAAGCATGGTTATGTTTGAAATCTTCAGATGGGTAGATGGTATAATTAAATAAAAGGGACAGTAAAAACTAGATCCATGAACATCGTCATTACTTTAAATCAGGGGTCACCAATCTCTGCCCTGGAGGGCCGGTGTCCCTGTACGGTTTAGCTCCAACATGCCTCAACACACCTGTCTGGGTGTTTCGAGTATACCTAGACCTTGATTAGCTTGTTCGGGTGTATTGGATTAGGGTTAGAGCTAAAATCTACAGGACACCGGAGATCCAGGGACAAGTTTGGTGATGCCTGCTTTACATAAACTATCATATGGATAAAAGAAATCAGTCATAATGTGCATTATTACTCCATTTAACATATATACAATCAGGGCTTGACATTAACACCTACCAAATGCAGGTAGATTTCCGCTATGGCGGGTAAGACAGCCGCTCCCACTAGCCACTTTGGCTGGTTGAAAATAACTTTTAATTTGTAGTTTAAAAACAGATGGCCCAATATGTGCAAACAGGATCTCGGGAATCGAGAAGCCGCACGACTGACAAAATGAATTGTGTTTGAGCAAGCAAAAGAAAGCAGATGCATACCGAATGAGAGGATGATCACTCGCACACAAAGGTGAAGCGAGCGACTGTTAAAAAGCGTTTCCATTTACTTGTGCAAAGCAACCGTGCCTAAAAGAAGAACAACTGGTGAGATCTCGGTCAAATAGACTGGACAAAAAGTGATGATCGTGCACCCACGGTCCTGCTGCTTTTAAGAGCTCAAGATTTTAAAATATATATATCCTTTTGTAAGCAGCAGTGGTCAATGCTTTCATTTTAATTATACTTTAAACAGATTGCTAACAGACCTAACATTTACCTGCTTTCTTTTGCTTACAGGTGTTTTTGTTAATATGGTTTAATTATCGTTTTTTACAAAAACATTGCTTTAATATGAGATTAACTCCCCATTTATGTGTAGTTATCTGCTGATCTGGGACATTTAGCCAGGACAGACTGCTGTGCATAGATTAGATATACATGACATATTTTTAATTGTCAATTGTTTTTAAAGAAAAGTTTTGTTGAATTAAAATAATAATAATAATAATAATGGTCTCACTTTATATTAAGTGGCCATAACTAATATGTACCTACACAGGAATTGATAGTTTGTTACAATGTACTTATTGTGTAAATACATGTATTTACTGTGTACTTCTGCTTGATTCAATACATGTATATAATTACATCTGTAATTAACTTTTGTAATTACATTTGTAAATACACTGTTTACCATCCCATCCCTTACACCTTAACCTACGCTTAAACCTACCCATACCACCAAACCAGTCCATAACCCAACCTCTATCCCAACTCAAAAGCACCACAAGTGTTCTCAAATACATTATAAATACAGTAAGTACATTGTATTTATTTTTTGATGCAAGTACATAGTAGTTAAGGACACTTAATATAAAGTGGGACCATAATAATTCCTTACATTTATATAGCGTTTTTCTGATCACTCAAAGCGCTTTACACAATGGGGGGAATCACCTCATCCACCACCAGTGTGCAGCATCCACTTGGATGACGCGACGGCAGCCATTTTCCGCCAGACACACAACACACCAGCTGATTGGTAGAGTGGAGACCAAGTGATGATATGCCAATTATAATATGGGGAGAGTTAGGAGGCCATGATGGACAGATGCCAGTGGAAAGATTTGGCCAGGATGCCAGAGTTAAACCCCTACACTTTTCGAAGGACATCCTGGCATTTTTAACGACCACAAAGAGTCCGGACCTCGGTTTTAATGTTTCATCCGAAAGACAGCGGTCACTGTGCAGTATAGAGTCCCCGTCACTATACTGGGGCATTAGGACCCACACAGACCACAGGTTGAGCGCCCCCTGCTGGCCTCACTAACACCACTTCCGGCAGCAACCTAGCTTTCCCATGTGGTCTCCCATCCAGGTAATGACCGGGCGCAGCCCTGCTTAGCTTCAGGAGGAAAACAATGCAAGAGTTGCAGAGAGCTAGCTGCCAGCTAAAAAGTGCGTGTATACAGATATATTTAGCTTGTTTTGACACATTATTTAAAAATTGTGACCAAAAATGAATAATTTACTTATTTTTAGTGTTGTCAGAGATAAATTTGGTAAATCCTTAATTTTAAGCTCTGAAAAGTCATGTGAAATAAAAATTCATTAAATTTGCTCGTGCACATTGAGCAAGTTTCCACAAAAAAGTGAATAGAAACACACACAAAAACTGAAATGAAAGTGGAGGCATGTGGACATTACACAAAATCTAACTTAAGTAATTTTAGCATGCCAAAGTCAAATTTATGAATATAAAATATATTTTCCCAACAATAAAAGCGTGGCTAATGTAAATGGCGAGTGGCTAGTAATGTTGTAAATCTACTAGCCACAGTGGCTGGGGATCAAAAAAAGTTAATGTCAAGCCCTGTATACAATATACAAAAATAACCACAACTAAAACTGAAATGACTCTGAATAAATTATATAGACTTAAAACATATTTAAATATAATTAAAATGACAAAAACTAAAGCCAGAATTTTTTATGTGAGATATTAATATACGTTTAGCTTGTATTCAAGGCAGCATTTCTCATTTAGTATAAAATAACACATTAAAAATATTAAATATAATTATTACAATAAAAAACTATTCATTATAATATTAAAACTTAAATAAACAATTGTTGTTTTCAAAGTCCTTTAATTAATAAAAAACTATTAGTGTACACTGATGAATTACACTGGTTTAGTTAAGATGCACATGTCACCATACTTCCTTGGTAAAATATGAACAGTTAGAGTAGAAGCCATTTTTGGGTCTTACTTGCAGATTGGAAAGCTGTGTGAAAGCCTTTTCACAGCCTGGTTGGAGACATTTATACGGTCGATCACCTGTGTGGATCCTAAACACATGAGCACAATGTGACGAACAATAATACAATCAGAATTTCATAGATTGCTGACTTAAAATAAAAGCACAGAGACTACTATTACTCTTAAGCATTTGCATTATGAAATGCACAAATTTTGTTACAGTTTCACCTGGCGTAAACACTACATTAGAGCTTTAGACCCTCAAAAATTGCAATTTTGGAAACACTAAAATGTTTTTGTTTGAACACTCCAGACAGACCAAAATGCAAACTCTTTGGAGAACTATTTTTGAAAATAATTGAGCCCTTAGAATGAAACACAAGCACAAAGGTTATGTTTACTCTTAAGGGGGAAATTAAGCACTCAGTCAAGTTTATCTTGATGGCATTCATGTACATTCAACTTGTAAATGCAATTTTTCTGACATTAACCTATAAATTATACCTTATAGTTCCTGTGAAATTAAAAAGAATCAGTATGTTGATCTTAAAGATATCTATAATCTAGGGCCCTATCACACACCCGGCGTAATGTGGCGCAAGGCGCGGCGCAATGCTCTTTTGCTACTTTTAGCTCCGGTCATTTTGCGGTGTTGCGCCACGCTGTTTAAATAGCAAATGCATTTGCGCTCAAATGTGCGCCCATAGGCGTTCTAGTCTAAAAAAGCAGGCGTGTTTTGGCGCGTTGCTGTTTTGAGAAACTGTAAATAGTCTGATCTTTAGACCAGAACAAAGTCAGTCTATTGTCTGGCGCAAAAAGCACCTGGCTTACACACTACAAACAAGATACAGAGCAATACACAAATATCTTTACATATGGAAAATATATAATATCTTAAGGATATATATATATATATATATATATATATATATATATATATATATATATATATATATATATATATATATATATATTTATATAATAAGTATATATACAGGATATAAATATAAATGATTAAAATATTACAAAACATTAATTTCTAGCCTACATGAAGATTTAAAAACCACTGCCTTACTTTCTTCCTCTCGCGAGGCTTTTTCAGTTCATTCAATTTGCTTTTGTATAATGTTATTATTATCAGCAGTATTATTCATTATATCCATATTTATATTTGTTTTATTAAAAACAAGCTTAGATTTGTCCACCTGTCAAATTTTAGACCATATGGGGCATGGCAGGTGTATTTGGAAATAACTCAGTATTTTGAGCACACTTGGTTATTATTGTTCATTTATTCGTTTGCTAGAAATTAGAACTGAATTTAGAAATAGTTTTGAAACAAATCTTTGCGCTTAACAAACTAAATTAATTATTTATAGGCTAATTGGTGTCTGTGCGTAAAGGTTTTCCTATCCACGAGAGCAAAAGCGAAAGTGAACTTACTTTACGTCAAAATGCGCTTACGGCGCGACGCAACTGGCTCTTAAAGGGAATGGGAGATGAGGCACTGATTGGTTTATTCTCAAAACACACCTATAACTCATTAAGAAAATAAACTCAACCCTTTTAGACCATGCGCCATGGCGCAAAGCGGATTTTTCCGTCCGTAAATTAGCAAAAATGCGTTCTGACACGCCCTGAAAGCGTTTGCGCCCTGCGTTTTGCGCTCTGCGCATGGACCGTCAAAATAGAGCCCCTAATGTGCAAAACAGTGACAAAATTCACATATAGAAGATATGAACATTTAGCACTCGCAGTTTGTCACTACTAAATAACCTCATAATTTAATTTGTCATTAAACTTCTGACCAATCAAATGCTCTCTAGTATCTGACATGACGCTTCTCATTTGCTTTTTAGGGCCGTCTCACACTGTTCGATTTTTTCTTATAATCCTGAACGATTGTAGCATGTCAGACTGCATGAACATGACTCCCATTCCACACTGTAAGATCTCAGCTGTCATAAAGTCCGACTAATTGACAATGAGGATGCGCTAAACACAGAAGAAAACGCCCCCAGAGTTTGATGTCATCCACCCGTAACACTTTCACTATCTTGCGTTCTGAAATGATTCCTCACAGCAAACGTAAACAATCTGTAACGGCTATTTTGCACACGGCGTGTCTCACTAATAAAACCAAGACGAAAAAACAGTTTTGACATTTCCCCGTGCTCATTTGACTTGTCAAAAGGATTGCGTCATCAAATTCTGCACTCTTATTAGTTCTTGGATTGATGCTCTTCGCAGCTGTTGTCACACTGCAGGAAAGTGTCTGAAATCTTCTGACACTGCCAGAACTTTATCGGTGGAAAAATCTGATCACAACGGGCACTAAGCGGCTGTCTGTGAACATGTCCAACCATCTAAGATGACAAAATCGTGGTTGAAATCTCACAGTGTGAGCAGAGCTTTAGTTGATGCGCTTGAGCTCAACCACTTTCACCGGCAGAGCTGTTATAAAACAAAACACTATTGAGTGCCTCCACTATATGTCTGGCCCTGTCGTCATGTTTCAGTTGATATTATGTCAAAGATAATAAAAGCACATTTCAGAACACTTCACGGGACCTTTAAAGTAGTACCTGGTGTGCTGCTGTAGGTGTGAGAGCTGGCGGAAGGATTTCTCGCAGTAGGAGCAGTGATACGGCTTGACGCCCAGGTGGATGCGCAGGTGTTGCGCCAGGTACGAGGCATTGGCGAAGGTCTTGGTGCAGTGAGGGCACTTGTGTGGCTTTGCTTCTGTGTGGGACTTAGAGTGAATCTGCATGTCTGACTTGGAGAAGAACGTCAGCGGACACACTTTACATCTGCAGGAGGGAAAGCAAATTTAGAAACTATATAATAGCATTAATGGAATGATTATATAATGTTTATAAAAGCTAAATAAAAAAAGAGTGCTGTATGGCAGCAGTGAGAAGATTGTAAATAAAAAAGGGGTGTTGTAGGGATGTTGCCAGTAATGTAATGTAATGTAATGTATTTTTTATTTAGTGCCATGTCAGCAATCAAGGCTATCTTCATGGCAGGAATCTTTCAACAATAAATATACAATTTTAAAATCAACAAACAAAATAAAACATAAATTAAATAAGATTTTTTGTGTTAATACATGATAAAAATTCTAAAATCTTTTCTGGTTCCACTTTGTCAAAAATGTCCTTAAAAGAGTTAATTTCATAAAAAAGTCCTTCTGGAATCAGTAAAAGCAGGACAGTCCAGTAAAATATGTTTTACAGTAATAGGAGTTTTGCAGCACAAACACTGAGTGGGGTTTTTACCTTGGAGCAAAAAACCATGTGTAATTCTCGTATGCCCAATACGACATCTGGTAAAAACTACTTGATCAAATCGATTCTTAAAATGTCTTAAAATTCTGTGTGAAACTTCAGGTTGGATTTCATGTAGTTTATTGTTTTCTAATGCATCCCATTCCTTTTGCCACTTGTTTAAAATGTAAGCGTTGATAAAAGGTTTCAGGGATGTTGCCAGAGTGGCTTTTTGGTTTCTTTTCTTGTGCATCCCAGCCACAAGTAGTAGTCATCGAACTTCACAATTTGTAATGTTGCAGTGTGTATTTGAACAATGATAGTTGGTTTCTTTACTGGAAAGCTCAGATTTGATCATAATTTGTTTTGTTTACAGAGTTTGAGGTTTACTGTATCGTTATTATTCACACCTTAAAGTTTGCTTCGATTGTTTACACTGTATCATTGCACACACTTTGTAACATTTTGGCTGTGTCCGAAACCACCTACTATTCAGTAGTACTTGGCCATTAGTAAAGTACGTTCTATACTGTATAAATATGAGCAGTATGAATGGAATTCGGACGTACTACATCCGCCATTGTGTCATGGTCAGTTGTGTTGCTTTACTCCCGTTCATAAATTAACTCATGGGGCATCATGGGATAGCGCAGCTTGCATGGGATGTGCACTCCAGAATCTCGGAAGAAGTAGTTGGTCATACTGAATTTTGAATTCTAACTGATTTTAGCGTCCTATATAGTTGGGAAGTATGCAGTTTCGCATGCAGCCAGTATTTATCAAGATTAAAAGTCTCTTAATACTTATGTTTATTTTATTATAAGAGATCAGATATTTTGTTTAAATATTTAGTTTTTTGAATATTAAAACTACATGCACTATAAGTAATGTTGGTAAATTAAAATTAAGTGGTTAAAAATCTGATATACCTAAATGGATTATGAGCCTGTGTGAATTGTAGCCTCAGTTTCCTGTTGTTAGTTGACAGGAGTGGCATCCAGGATGGTCGTCTGCTGCTGTAGCCCATCTCCCTCAAGGTTTAACATGTTGTGCATTCAGAGATGCTCTTCTGCAGACCTCGGTTGTAACGAGTGCTTATTTGAGTTACTGTTGCCTTTCTATGAGCTGGAACTAGTCTGGCCATTCTCCTCTGACCTCTGGCATCAACAAGGCATTTGCACCACAGAACTGCCGCTCACTGGATATTTTCTCTTTTTCAGACCATTCTCTGTAAACCCTAGCGATGGTTGTGCATGAAAATCCCAGTAGATCAGCATTTTCTGAAATACTCAGACCAGCCTGTTTGGCACCACAACCATGACACATTCCAAGTCACCTAAATCTCCTTTCTTCCTCATTGTGATGCTTGGTTTGAACTGAAGCAGATCGTCCTGACCATGGCTGTTTCTCAATTCCAAGAATGCAGAGACCGGACTTGTGTTCTTGTGGAGAGCGGTCTTGCCAGGAGTCCTCGGAAGAACGAACTCAGGAGACCACAAGGACAGAGAACGCGTCCTTTGAGAAATGGGATGCTGCGTTCTTCCTGATGGTCATGTGACCTTCACGCGTTTTAAATGGAAATTATTTAAACATTACAGCACTCAAACAATGATTTATTGTTTCCCCCCTCTTCAAAATATATACTTTGCATAAAAGCATTAGAAATATACTCTGCACAATATAAATAAAACAGATTTTAATACGAATTTCAGCAAACAAACAACTCTTAATGAGTTTATTCCTTTATTAAGATGTTCATGTTAATGTTTACTTTCACCGTTTCATTTAGGGAAACTCCTGAGGTAAATAAGTGATATCTCTGAACTTTAATAATAAATCTAAATAAAATGCTGCGCTTCCCACCTCCAGTCGCAATGACTTCTGGGACTTCCAGAGCGAGTTCGGTGCTCAAGGCTGCATCGGTGCGTCCTCGATATCAAGATCACATCCGGGAAGTTTCTTGCGTCCTCCGTACTTGCGGTCTTGAGTATTGGAACTGAACTTAGGCAGCTGATGATGACGTTGCACGAGAACACAAGGATGCAAGACCGCTGAAGTAGCATATTGAGAAACAGCCCATGTCTACATTCCTTAATGCACTGATTTGCTGCCATATGATTGGCTGATTAGAAATTTGAGTTAATGAGCACTTGGACAAGTGTACCTAATAAAGTAGCCAGTGAGTGTATATTGCAATATGGCAGCTAAACTGGAGGAGAGAATCTTTACACCAGTATTTAAACACCAATCATCATGTTGTAATTTCCTTAACTTACCTGTAGGTTTTGCCCTCTTTGGCAGTGATAACAGCTGACTGTTCAGCTCCAGAGGCCAGTATTGGATAAGGAACTACTAATAGTGGTCCAGATGTGTTTTCTGCCTTGATCTTTTTGCGTCCTCGTCCTATGCTCTTCATTGGTGGCCCCATCAGAGCTCCACTGTTTTTCAGAGCCTCCATCCCCGGGCCTCCGGTCAGTCCTGAGAGGAGGTTTGCAGTGGGAATGCCCTGACGGGACTGACCACCGATTGTCGGAGAGGTCGGGGTGCTCGGCGTCACACTCTCCGATGTGTTGTGATTGGCATTTCGTGAAGATGCTAGTGACAGGCCTGAAAATAACAGATAGTAGCTGTGATTGGCAAGAAAGTTTTAGAAGCCGTTCACACAGAAAGTGTTTTTCCTTTGCAATCAATGCACAACTTTTCTATCGTTTTTCAATGTAAACCATACCCGTCAAGATTGGGATGTAAAAATCCCCCAACCCCCCTCCCCAAATTACTATTCCCCAAATTATAGTTCGCCTGGTGATTTCCAAAAATCTATTTATCTTTATTAAACAATAAGAATTACCATATTTTATCCATAACCTACTTTAGAGGAAAAATATACATTATAGTTACTATATACTTTATAGTCACTATAGTAGCTTTTACTGTTGTTACTAGTTCCATTGGATTGCAACCCCTGGGGTAATTACATTATATTAAAGACACAGCAATACTGTCAGATGCAGCAGACTGATTTTATAACACCAGGTTAAACTTTCTGGCCCATTTACAGCACTGACATACATTAAAAAAATTAAACAAAGAAAAGACTGGGGTCTATTGGTGTGCGCGCGCCATTGCATGCAAGGTTTCTGTATTTATAACCACCTCAGAAAATATTGAGGGTCGCGAGTCACTGGCATTGTCATTTTGGGGGTCGCAGGCTGGAAAGGTTTGGAACTTGGTGTCACTTTAAAAATGCACAGATCCACAATCAAAGATTTCGACTGCTTTCCTAACTGTTTATGCTCATTTAAGACAAAATTTGTTGTGTTTAAAAGAACCCACTGAGATCGCCATGTTTACATATTATTTTTATTATTTTGTGTCCCATTTCCCTCCGCTTTTAATCATGTGTACAGAATCCATTTGTCAAACAGTGTCTATTTATCACAATGGAGCATGTTTGACACGCACCGTTATATGAACTGACTGTTATGAGGATTGCATAGGAGGGGCAACGGCACCTGTAATGTAAAGGAAGGGAATCCCGCCGTTTTTATATATATTTCAAAGTGTTTTTATGTCTAAGTAAAATAAAAGCACAGAACAGATTAATTTTTAAGACCAAGGAGCATGCCCTGGTGGTTCAGTAGTGTGGGTTGCGTATAGGGAGGATTGGCTCGTAAATGTGTATTGCCACCCTTCATAGAACGATAAAAAAAACAGGAGAAATACTGGAAAATACCTTTACGAGTGCCACTCTGTGCCAGAGTGAGTCTTATTACGTCTTACAGTGTGATGCATTAATGCATGAGTAAGGCTTGGTTCAAACCAATCAGCGCGCTTTATTGTGCAACTTCATTAATATTCATTACTGTCACCATGTTTACACGACAGAGACGCCACGTTGTGTTGGCAAAACAAGCATGAAGTGTTGCTTTTGTCGTTTGCTGCAGTGAAGTTTTGTTTTCATTTTCTCTCTGTGAGAGCTCTTCTGGAGTCACGTGTGTATTAACAGTGTACGCGGCGCTCGACAACAATAACTTACGTGTCTAAGGAGGATTATTGTTTACCTGAGAGCTGTTCTCATCTGCAAATGCAAAGATCCAGATTCGCTTGTAGTCTCCTCTTAATAAAGACGCGGCTCTAGTTGCTGGTGATTGTCCTGTCTCTACAGATTTGGTAAGTGAGCGACCAGTGCTCTTTGTTCAGTCAGTTTGTTCGTATCCAACTAAGTTAACTATTGCACCGAGTGTAAACATGTTAGCATCACAACCAAACTTTAACCTCGTGTAGGGTTTTTACCGCATTTTGTGACCGGAATAACACACACGGCTTTCTGACGCTACCTGCTGTGTGCATCTAAGTTTCCGGGAAATGCTGAGGTTTTTTTTCTCTCATTCGCCATGCGGTATTAAACATTGCATGAAAAATACACGCTTAAAGCAGTTCCTCGAATCAAATATCTCGTTTGTCACGAGAGGCATGAATGAATTCCCTGAATGAAAGAGCCAAACTGCAGTTAAAGTCCAACATTTATTAATTTGCCAAATAATTCGACTACAGATGCCCATGTAGGTTAAACACCATCACTTTCTCCTGTGTGTGTATTTTGACTCTGAAACTCGCGCGTGCCCAAATAGACACTGCCACACCCTCCCACTTTAGTTCCTCCGACACTCCCCCCTAAACAGAGCTGGACACGCCCACTTTTCTGACTTTTTCCAAAGTAGAGGTGTGAAAACACCCTGCTGAAACGAGGGGGTTTCATGGCCCTTTAAAGTGACGTTTTTTGACGTATCAATTTAAAAGATCTTCAACTTTTACACGCAGGTCAGCTCATCACTGTTACTTCCATAGGAGTCGACCAATCAGAAGAGCTTGAAGATGGGGCAATCATCTTTTCAATCACCTTTTCAAAAGATTTGGATTAAACCATTAGTTCATATGAAATCTTTAAGATCTACTACGTTTTATCTACTTGGAAATTCAGTATGCATATCATCAAATATCTTTACGTGTGTGTGAGATTAACTAAACTCAACTGTCCCTTTAATAGCACAAAAGCAAAAACCAAACAAAAGCATAACAATAATTTACATGCAAGACACAAACCTGATAGATGATTCGCTCTTGATGGCTGGTCGATGATTTGCCGCAAATGCCAGTCTTCCCACAATCCTCTTGCTTTAATGGCAGTCTTGTCGTCTAGATTTAAGTTGACATCTCCCAGAATCCGACCTTTGCACAGTAGACATATTTCAATATTTAATAATACAGTACACTGTGATAATGACCATGCATGATATTGTTATCATGGGCAGTTTAAATTCTGACAATAATTTTTATTTAAACTTTTAGAAACAAATGTGAAGACTTCAGATTGTTGTTCTTTACATGCACAAAGACTTTATAGGCAATTTATTTCCACATACAACATGCCCAAGATTTTGACTCAAAATATTCAGATAGTTTATTTTGTATATTTATTTACATTTTGCAGTTTTGTTCGATGTCTGAGGAAATTTAAGACCTCATTCACACTACGAGTGACACGCAGCAACACATTGTCAACCACTGTCCACATGTCTGGATGCGTCTATCAACATGATAAAGTTTAGAACCTTTTAACTTTATGCAAATGAAGAGTGAATTTTGCAAACGACAGCCAATAGGAGCATTAGTAAAGCTCACCTGACCTTCTCTCAGCCCCGGTCGGTTAATAAACAGCCACATTGACAGAGGACTTGTGTTTTTTTTTTTCCATCTATGCAATTAAGCATTTTATGTATTGAAAAAACATAATAATGCTTATTTTGGTCATAATTGTAATTAATCACAAATATATAAAATTATTATCAGTAGGCCATATGTCCAACAAGTTATTTATATTACATTTACATAGTTTTTCCCATGTAAATACACTGAAAAAGTGTTGCATGCAGAACTGTTGCAAACAATTTGTGTTGAATTTAAAGAAACAAATTAAATTTAATAATGTTTTTAGTTTGAACTTAATTTGTTTGTTTAAATTCAGCCCAAATAAATTGTTTACAACCACTTAACCTAAAAAAATTGAGTAAATCCAAAGAATCATCTTTGAATATTTTTTTTCAGTGTAAGGCTGATAGTACACCTGTACATTTCAAAGATCATAGCGCAAGCTCTGTGATTGGCTGGCTTGGTGGCGCAACAACGCGTAGCGCAAGCTCTGTGATTGGTCGGCTTGGTAGCGCTTACAAGTCTGGGCGGGACCGAGAGCCGCGTGACTGGTGCGAGCCTGATGGAGCGATTGTTTACAAGTGTGGAGTCCCGTGAAGGAGCTCCGGATGGAAAGTTTTGTTTTGTGTTTACCTCATAGTTAAAGTTGCTGCACGTCCGCCGGTTCCTGCCTCAAAATGAGCGAGTTTGAGCCACTTGTACATCCAGGAAGTGTTCAGGAAAACAAAACAGCAACGAAGAAACTCGACACAGAGGAACATTTACACCTCACTGCCAACTAGCGTTTCGGAAGTGTTAATGCAGACCAACAGAGACAGCTCGCAGAAGTATAAATGCAAAGCTACGCGCGTTGCATGCGCCGTGGGTTACGCCGGTCACTTGACGCAGAAGTATAAACCTGGCTTAAGGGCTAAGGGGTAGAATTGGGATTGGGCCAAAAGGTGAAATGAATGAGGAGGCATGTGGAGATAATGCAGAATCTAAATCAAGTAACTTTAGCATGTCAAAGTCATATTTATGCATATAAAATATATTTTCCCAACAATAAAAGTGTGGCTAGAGAAAATGGCGAGTGGCTAGTAATGTTGGAAAACTACCAGCCACAGTGGCTGGTGATCAAAAAAGTTGTCAAGCCCTGCTTATAGCCCATTAGCAGAACAATAAAAACTGCTTGTATGTGTAGTGCACAGTCAGTGATGATGTGTGATTGATGTAGTGGAGGACTGACCTGTGACGCTGCTGGAAGCTGGCCGTGCGTGCAGGGCGATGTCAGGCTGGGATGTCCCGTGAGCATGAAGCCCTGGCATCTGCTGTAGTTTGGGTGTTGATATATTGTGCTGCCCACCTTCTGTGCCCGCTGATGGAACCAGCAAGGGCTGCTGGGAAGGGACTGAAGTGGGCTGCAGGTGTGGAGGTCTGATTTTCTCCGCCATGAGCTGCTCCTTGATCTTGTTGATCAGCACAAGGTTGTCCAACTGGGAGAAACAACAGGAGGAATATGAGAATCCTTCTGTTTCTAGTGACATGACGAGCCTATGGAGTCTGCTGTACACTGATAAAAAGATTCACTGGATTTACCAACCTCATAACCAGCCAATTTTTTTTAACATTTTCCTAAAAACACCATGCCCAAATAAAAATGCATGTAGCTTTTTAACCCTAAGGTCTATTTTCACAAATGTGGTCTTGTTTGAAACTAGACACTTAAATGTTTGTTACTTAAGAGTTAAATGACTCAAAAGTTGTATAGCAATATAGTAAATTATGGTTAAATATAGAAAAATATTACTTGCGACTTTGTGTAGTAGATTACACTCATGAAAAAATAGATGTTAATTGAATGGTAATGGTTCAAGGTAAGTGTTTGCAAACAATTAATATGGACTGAATTTAACCACTTAAACTCTGCTGCTATTTGGGGATTTCCACCTGGATTTTGCCTACCTAAATTTAAAAGCTTCCCAAATCCACATGCAGAGGAGTAAATGCAAAAAATTTGGTATCATTTTAAAGAAAACCCTTTGAATTTTCATAAAACACTATTGAAAGTGTTTAAAATAACTGTATATGTCGTCTGTGTTATAATAAACACCTAAAAAAAGAGGCGCTTTTTGTATTTTTTTTTTATAAACTCAAATTTGAAAGTGCACCTTTTAGGCTCTGTGTGGTCTAGCGTGCTGTAATTAATTTTGGTGGTTCCTGCACATGTCTGTAATCATAGGAAAATAGAAAAATGTCTCTACCATAATCTATGCAGAAGTTATTGTATTCCAACTGATGAGAGGTGCTGTACAAGCCACAGAAACCGATCCTTGTTTACACATTTCAGTATTCTTTTGTTTGATCATACATAATTCACTGTGTTTGGACCATATCAGACATATAAAAGGATTACTTATGCACATCACCTCAAAAATAGAGGAGAATGGCCCTGAAGCGCACAGCATAAGGTAAGAGATGGCAGCTGTCTGTGCTTTCTGGGGCTGCTTATTGATCATGAATGTATTGTTTACATTTCTGTGCCATGGAAACAACGCGATTCATTCAGCAACTGTTTGGCATATGAATATAATTCAGTAAAAAGAATGCTAGAACCGTATGAGCACCGGCAAGAGCTTTCATTTGAGCTATAACTTGTACATGTGTCATATAAAAAATATGAAAATGAACCAATGTAAAATACCCAGCAAGGGTATCCAAAATGCTGTGTATTTAAGTGTAAATAACTTTTATAGAATAGTTATTATTTTATAGTAGAATAAAAACCAAAGTGATGCATATGTGCATAAAATATAGATTCTACACTTTCAAACGAAACCACTTACGGGGGTCTGGTGCAGCGCTAGCCCTTTAAATCTGAAAGCGAAAGTCGATGATGTCACGGACCCGGTACCGGGTCCGCAGACAAATAAAGTTGAATATTACTCTATTTAATTTGTTTGTTTAAATTCAGCTGATATAAATTGTTTGCAAACACTTACCTTAAAATATAGTAAATCCAGTGAATCATTTTCTTTCAGCGTACCGTATTTCATTCATTCATTTTCCTTTGGTTTAGCTCCTTATTCATCAGGTGTTGCCACATTGGAATGAACCACCAACTATTCCAATATATGTTTTACACAGTGGATGCCCTTCCAGCTGTAACCCAGAACTGGGAAACACCCATACACTCTCACATTCACACACATACACTACGGTCAATTTTTGTTTATGCATTTTACCAATAGCGCATGTGTTTGGACTGTGGGAGAAACTGGAACACCCGGAGGAAACCCACGCCAACATGGGGAGAACATGCAAACTCCACACAGAAATGCCAACTGACCCAGCCGGGACTCAAACCAGTGAACTTCTTGCTGTGGTGACACGGTGGCTCAGTGGTTAGCACTGTGGCCTCACAGCAAGAAGGTCGCTGGTTCCAGCCTCGGCTGGGTCAGTTGGCATTTAGTTAGTTCGTTTCAGTTAGTTTTGTATGAACACAATACAGTTTCAGCTAGTTCTAGTTTTTTATAAACTCTCGTTTTATTTTTATTTCAGTTAACGACAAATATTTTACATTTTAGTTTTCGTTTTTTCTTACGTTTTCATTACCTATAATTACCTTGGTGCTAACCCTTGTATGATCAGAATAATTGACCGATCCATTGAATTATTGGAAAAATACTGCACATCCAAGGTCCACTGGTACTGTAACTACCGCTGTGTGCATTATTTTTCAAATAATATAGTCTAATAATTACTTATAAATCAGCCCGTCACCAGTTATTCCTTACATAAACCATATGCATAAGTACAACAGATATAATACACATAAGCTAATATTTTTGGTCCCACTTTATATTAAGTGGCCTTAACTAATATGTATATACATAGGAACTAATAGTTTGTTACAATGTACTTATTGTGTAAATACATGTATTTACTGTACTTATGCTTGATTAAATACATGTATGTAATTACATCTGTAATTAACTTTTGTAATCACATTTGTAAATACACTGTTGACCATCCCTTACACCTTAACCCACCCTTAAACCTACCCATGCCACCAAACCCGTCCATAACCCAACCTCTATTCCAACTCAAAAGCACCACAAGTGTTCTCAAATACATTATAAACACAGTAAGTACATTGGATTTATTTTTTTGATGTAAGTACATAGTAGTTAGGGACACTTAATATAAAGTGGGACTATATTTTTTTCATGTCAGTCTTTACAGACTAGAGGAAGATCTAACAAAGTGTCTGAAAGATAAGATGCTTTAAACTCTAGACTTTAGAGCTTAAGTTGCTTTATCTGTCGCAACTAGTAAACAAGCGTCATTGATTGTGAGAACTGGTCGTCTAGACAAAGATTACAGCTACTCCTGAACTATTGATTATGTTACTATGCAAATTATTTTCAGATAACAGGTGGGAATTAATTATTTAAAGCACATGAGCTTGTCTTACCTGACCAGGAATGGACGGTGGAGGAGGCCAGAAGTATGGATTGTTAAATCGAGGTTCTGCCATTCTGAAACACAAACACAGTCACTCTTGATTAATGATGCTTTATTTTAATAGTCATACATTAAAAGTGATTTTTAGGATGGCAACTGATGCAAATAGATCTTTTCAGTACAGCATATTTATTTTGTATGTTATGACTCTGAGATGAAGACAAAAGGAAAGCAAACTAGGATATTTCGATTTGTTTTTAAATGATGATGATGATGAAGAAGGATGCAATCAAAGACGGATCTGAAGGTCACAGTGTTTATAGGCAAAAACCACATTATAGTCATGCTGGAGGCTTTCGGCTCATATGTGAATGAACGAGAGGAAGGAGATGATAATAAATGAGGGGAAAACACACCGCATAGATCCAGTCTGACCTTCCCTGATTATTTATTGATCACAAATGCAGATCTAATCTAAAGAGAGGACTTAAAGTAAGTAGCTCAGTGCAATATAGTAGGTGATAAATGACATTCATCACCCATTTATAGTAAAAAAGCAATATATTTGAGAATAAAACAGGACATTTAAGGTATTACTGGAAAAACTGTGTTGAGAGACTTAAGATTTCTGTAAAAATTGTATACACAAACAAGAATTCTGTACACCTTGTTACGAGAAATAGGTTGTTTATTTTGAGAAAAATGTAATAAAAGAATTGCTTGCACCAAATTATGTATTTGTAAAGTAGTTCACATCCCAAAATTAAAATTTGCTGGTATTTTACTCACCCGTGGTCCCTGACAATACATTGAGTTGTACTGAAAGCAATTCTGTTGCCTGTATGCTTTTTAAAATGTACTTTTTCATTGAGTCTCAAAGTGCCGATAACAGTCAACTCGCAATTAAAAAAAATAATAATAAGGACAGTTTTCACCTAAATTTTGCATGGCCTGAGGGTGAGTAAATTATAGCACATTTTAAGTTTTGCTTCCTATCGAAGACTGTTAAAATTGCACATTATGTCTTTGTAACATATATAAAATATAAATAGTTTTGCATTAGGACTGCAAGATATTGTAAAAAAAATCAGACATTGCGATATATACTGTGATATACTGTGTCTATTAGGGATGTAACAATATTGTAAATACCGTCATACCGCAATTGTAATTTTTTTCAATATTACCGTAGGCACATGACTCAATAAAACTATATTTCTGAGAAAAGTTTGCTCAGGCGAATGAAGCGAACGGGAGGTAGCGGGAACTACAATTCCCATCAGCCTAGGCGTGGGCATCATCCTTTGCGGTCTGTTGTCACTACAGATCCAGTAATGCGGAAATGGAGTGTGTTGCTAGTAGCGGGGAAGAAAAAGAGCTGGAAATGATCGAACCTAAAGTGGGTCTTAAATCGGATGTGTGGAAGCATTTCGGTTTCTTTCTAAAAAGATACGAAAAAGGAGAAAAGGTGACAGACAACGAAAAAAACAGTATGCAGGCACTGCCAGACTGTGATGAAATATAAGTCGGGGAATACGACTAAAAACAGTCATGGGGACTGCAGAACACAGCACACTTCTTAGATTGATGCAGACATTGACTTGTACCGCAAAGAGACCTCCATCTCACTCATGGCTTGTCCTCTCAAGTGGTGGAAAGACAATGCACAACGTTACTGACTGCTGTCAACCTTGGCTAAATCATATCTCTCTGTCCCAGAAACCTCAGTCCCAAATGAGAGGGGTTTTTTTCGGTTGCAGGGGACATGCCCAGAGATCCCAGCTTTTACCAGATCATAGTTATATGATAATTTTCCTTAAAAAAACCCATCTCTATCTAAGTGAGTGAGTGATTAAATGTTGAATGTGAAGAGTTTTCAACAATACTAAATTGAAACTTTATTTTTTTATATAGTTTAATAGTTTTTTGTTATAAAAATTGAAATATTAAAGTTCCTGTTTCGAAACTTACAGATAGATGGCTAATTTGTATGTCATTGATATGTTCAGTGCTAAGGTAAATAAACACTTTAGGCACTTTTTTCGAGTCTTTTCATTAGTTTTGTTTTTCCTGTAAATGATTTAATAAATACCATACCGTGCCATTCATACCGAGGTATTATCGTACCGTGAAATTCTGATACCGTTACATCCCTAGTATCTATACAATTTCACCAAATAATTGAACAGCACTATTTGGAAATAATTTATATAGTCACATTTTTATTTAAAGTTTCATTCTTGCTATTAGCAAACAATTAAGTACGACTTTTGCTTTAATAAACTCCTTATTTGCTTCTTCTTAGTAGTTTAGGTATTGGTCTGGGGATGTAGAATAAGAGCATGCAGAATATATAGATTTTAAGCACTAATAAGCAGCCAATATCTCAATAACATGCACGCTAATAAGTAGGGCTGAACAGTATATCATTTTAGCATCGATATCGCAATGTATGTATCTGCTATAGTCACATTGCAGGATTATATTATTTAATAAACATTAAAAAATACAGATATTACTAAATATTATTTTTACAATTATTTATACAATGATGATAATGTTATTTACAATTGATTGTTCAATTTCAGTACTTAAATACTGTTAAGAGTCTGAAGAAAACCATTAATCACTGTTTATTTATTTATGTTTGCTTGTACTTGAATATATTTTATGCAAATGCACTGCATAGAACAAGACTTGATCGTCCAAATCGATTTAAATTAATGAAATCTTTCTAAATAGGTGATCAAGTCATATGATCAAACTGAATTCATATCGCAACAAAACAAAATATCACAATGTAATATTTTTCCAATATAATATATGCAGCCCTACTAATAAGCAAATAGTTAATAGTGAGAATTGGTCCCTAAATTGTTATCAAATGTATTCATTTTGATTGATTGGGATGATTCAGGAGTGAATGACGCATAAAATGTAATAAGCAAACTACAAGCATAAATGAACGCAATAAAGCAGAGATAAAAGTGAGATAAACAGTGCATGCTTAATGCTTTTGTATATTTAAATGTAAAAACATACACCGCAAAGTCTACTCAACAACATTGATATCTTATGTGAATATTGCGGATGCACACATTGCGATATTAATGCTGAAACGATATTTTGTGCAGCCCTAATTGGCATATTATTTTCATGACACAGTTATATGTATACGATACAACCAAAAGCAAACTCACACTGTTCACACACCTACAGATTATACTTAATGCCAAATTCAACATGTAGCCTGCTGAAAAAAATCGAACAATTGCTCATTGCATTGCTTCTACAGTTACAGCAGGAGTACAAAATGCATTAAAAGAGTGCATTTTATTGGCTGTATACAGATTATTAAACAAAATTTATTGCAAAATCAGAAATGGCAATGGCAGTATATGACTATTTTATCTAACGTTCAAACCTAAAAATGTACAGATTTATGTGGAAAAGTGCAAACGTTACCCCACGGTTTGAGCAGGAAGTGAAACAGACACCCTTTCAGCATCATTAAAGAAATATTCAGCAAGGTCTGGGCTCATATATTTGGACATATCGCTTTTATTATTTTTGGCTTGGCTAAATGAATTTCTCCGCAAGGCCCCTTAGTCAAACACTCTCAAGACTGCCAAAACATTCATAGCGCAGTGTCATGGACATAATATATGAAAACGATACGCCTTAAGTAATCACACCGTATGGAAACATTTCCAAACGTCTAAAGCTCCCAATGGGCAAAACCGAGCAGGTAAAGATTAGAGGAGCGGAAGGATGAACGTCACTGTTCCTGTTTGTGCATTACAACCACTTCAAAAACAAACCAAAAACCTTTCCTTACAGAAATAATGCAGTGAAAACAGACCTGCAGAATTGTGGGAAAGAATCAAAAGTAGTCATGGGCAAAGATTAAACGGGAATAATCACTTGTTTTGACATAATATGTGTGTATTATATATATACACACTCACCGGCCACTTTATTAGGTACTCCTTACTAGTACCGGGTTGGACCCCCTTTTGCCTTCAGAACTGCCTTAATCTTTCATGGCATAAATTCAGTAAGGTGCTGGAAATATTCATCAGAGATTTTGCTCCATTTTGACATGATAGCATCAAGCAGTTGTTGCAGATTAGTCAGCTGCACATCCATGATGTGAATCTACCACAAGGGTGCTTTATTGGATTGAGATATGGTAACTGTGGAGGCCATTTGAGTACAGTGAATCAGAAGATGGGTACACTGCAGTAATAAAGGGATGGACATGGTCAGCAACAATACTCAGGTTGGCTGTGGCGTTGACATGATGTTTAATTGGTACTTATGGGCCTAAAGTGTGCCAAGAAAATATCCCCCACATCATTACACCACCCCCAGCCTAAACCGTTGATACAAGGCAGGATGGATCCATGCTTTCATGTTGTTGACGCCAATGTCTGACCCTACCATCCGAATGTCGAGACTCATCAGACTAGGCAACGTTTCTCCAGTCTTCTATTGTCCAATTGTGGTGAGCTGACAGGAGTGGCGCCTGGTGTGGTCTTCTGCTGCTGTAGCCCATCTGCCTCAAACTTGGATGTGTTGTGTGTTCAGAGATGCTCTTCTGCAGACCTCGGTTGTAACGAGTGCTTATTTAAGTTACTATTGTCTTTCTATCAGCTTGAACCAGTCTGGCCATTCTCCTCTGACCTCTGGCATCAACAAGGCATTTGCGCCCACAGAACTGCTGCTCACTGGATATTTTCTCTTTTCGCACCATTCTAGAGATGGTTGTACGTAAAAATACCAGTAAATCAGCAGTTTCTGAAATACTCAGACCAGCCCGTCTGATATCAACAACCAGCCACATTCAAAATGAATTAAATCCCCTTTCTTCCCCATTCTGATGCTCGGTTTTAACTGCAGCAGATCGTCTTGACCATGTCTGCATGTCGTAATGCATTGAGTTGATGCTATGTGATTGGCTGATACACAATTTGCGTTAACGAGCAGTTGAACAGGTGTACCTAATAAAGTGGCCGGTGAGTGTACACTCATACATAGAAACAAACCTATACAAAACATTTTTGTTACATAGATATTTATAATTGGCATCATATATATATATATATATACCTTACATCTTAATCTAAATAAACACTCAAATATATGCACGCATGCGTGTATTTATATATACATAACATATATACACAGCACACATACATATATTATGCCAAAACAAACTGTTTTTGTGTATGCAATTAATTTTGGCCCAGCGCTGATTAAAGTGCATTGCTTAAAAAGGTGAGTCTATAATATCCATGCTAAAAGACTGGAAATTATATCAGTTTATTATGAAGATTAACAAGTTGTAATTATTCTTCATAATAAACTGATATAATTAGAACTGAATTGTAATTGATAGTAATTATAAATAACAATTAATAGCAATTGCAATTAATCTAGGCAGGGGCGGATTTAACCAATAAGTGAGGTAAGCAGCCGCTTACCAGGAAACCTGGGGAGCCCCAATAAATATCTAGAAGTATAAAATATAACTTAACTATATATAACATCGTTTTCTACCATATTTTGTATGGTGAGAGTTAAACAAATACAAATGTAATGTAATTAAATATTATTTAATATACAATCAAATATCATATTATTATAATAATGTAAGGTTATGTAATAACAATATAACAAAATAAAATATCCATTATGAAGCAGTCCAGCCGTCAAATTTATAATATAGAGAGAAGATTTCTTCAACCCATTTCTAAACATAATAGTTTTAATAACTCATCTCTAATAACTGATTAATTTTATCTTTGCCATGATGACTGTAAATAATATTTGACTAGGTATTCTTCAAGACACTTCTATACAGCTTAAAGTGTCATTTAAAGCCTGAACTAGGTTAATTAGGTTAACTAGGCAGGTTAGGGGAATTAGGCAAGTTATTGTATAACAATGGTTTGTTCTGTAGACTATCGAGAAAAAACAAAGCTTAAAGGGGCTAAAAATTTTCTCCCTAAAATGGTGTTTAAAAAAAAAATCAAAAACTGCTTTTATTTTAGCTGAAATAAAACACACAAGACTTTCTCCAAAAGAAAAAATATTATCAGACATACTGTGAAAAATTCCTTGCTCTGTTAAACATCATTTGAAAAATATATAAATTAAAAAAAAAGATAATTTTTTTTGAAGGGGACTAATAATTCTGACTTCAACTATATATATATATATATATATATATATATATATATATATATATATATATATATATATTGTAGATGGAAAAACATTTTTAAAAAAGGAATCATTTACAATGTAACAATTGCATTAATTTAAAAAGTCGAAAAGAAGATTAAATTATATAAAAAAACAGCAATATAAATAAAAGTTAAAAGGATGCTTTCAGGACTTGGGCACTATGGCTGTAATTGCATTGTAATGCATCTTTAAAACAAATAAAAATAATTACAAACACACCGATTATAATGTAACGCATCATTTTATACCTTGCAAACTAGAAAGCTTCCTATTGACATTTAATGAAGTTAGATCAATTCTGTGAGTCACAGGATATCATTTAAAAAAACTGAAAGTGCAAATAAACATCGCAAAACAGCGTGAAAATATCAAATAAACATCAAACGAGAGATTGACACGTCTTGTGGTCTTCAAAATGAACTGATGAAAAACTTACTCAACTTTTTCTTTTATTCTGTCGGCATCCTCGAAAAGCTTCCCAAATAAAAGCGCGCTCTCTTTTGATCAAAGATTACATTAAAAAATCGCTCGCAAAATAACGCGAACGGACGCGTTTGGTGCCTTGCGAGAGCGCAGGTCTCCGGTGTCTGCCTCTCCCACATTCTCAGACAGTTTTATTAAAAATTTCAGACAAAAGGAAAACAAAAATGGCAGCCTGTCTTATTTTTATAAGGACAGGGCGCCATATTCTGCAGATCCCAAATTTTTTAGCGACCAAAAAATATAGCGCGTGCGTTCAGATCAAAGGCGCGACGCGTAAAACGCCGCATTATTTGCATTAAGTGCGCGAATGATTGTTTACTTAGATCTGCAGGTTTGAATAGCCCGGCTGGAGGAGGAAAAAAAGAGAGAGGGAGAAAAAAAAAACGAGACTTCCTACAACAATCATGCGATGCAAACAAATCACGCAGATGGAAACAGACGCGCATCAATGTTACATTTCCATCGCGACGCATCAATGCAAAAGCGTGCAATTGCGTTATTGTTGCAACGCAAGCGTGCTTTTAGATGGCTTTCTCTTTTATTTGAACTTTTTTTGCTCACTCGAAGGACTACAAGAACTAGCATCGTTTTCGCGCGTCGTGCAAATGTGCCCAAAAAATTAATATGCAGTGGTGAAGATGAGAAGAAAGCGACAGACATACCTAGCACACCTCGACGGAGGATTTATTAGATGTAATTATTGAAAGCTTGAGATGTTGTTTCGGCTTTGCCTTCAGAGGGAGTTTCAGACCTTCCGGGTCGCCTGGTGTTCACTTCTGGGTGCTGCAGCTCCACAGATCCATATATGAGCACATTTACAGCCATCAAATCACTAAAAAACATCTCTTGTGCACATTTCTCGTGTCGTTAGCTATCGTTTGCAGGATATGGAGCATACGTGAATGGAAACTGAGATGATGATTAACTCATATCAGATTTACAAACATATACTGTACATATACTCCTATTTATACGCCTCAGCATTAAATAATTTTGTCTATGGGGCTTTCAAGGGGGTCTGGAAATGTTTAGAGATTTTAATTAATAATAATAATAATAATAATAAATGAAAAACAAAAATATAATAGAAAAGTTATTTTGAAATATTTTATAAAACTAAAAATATTTGGAGATTTTTATATATAAAATAATAATAATAATAATAATAATAATGTAAAACAACAATTCACTAGAATAATAATTTAAAATATTTTATTAAACTAAATGTTTGGAGATTTTTATATATTAATTAATAATAATAAATAATAACAAATGTAAAACAAATATACAGAATATTAAATATTTTATGAAACTATAAATGTTTGGAGATTTTTAAAATATAAATTAATAAGAATAAATAATATTAATAAAAATAAATAAAATACAAAAAAATAATTATTTTAAAATATTTTATTAACTTAAAATGTTTGGAGAATTTTTAATTTAGATTAATAATAATAATAATAATAATTTAAAATATTTTATAAAACTATAAATGTTTGGAGATTTTTATATATTATTTAATAATAATAAATAATAACAAATGTAAAACAAATATACACTAGAATATTATATTTTTATGGGGATTTAATTTTTTTATATAAATTAATAATAATAAATAATATTAATAATAAATAAATAAATAAATAAATGTAAAACAAAAATGCCCAAAAAGTATTATTTTAGAACATTTTATTAACTGGAAATGTTTGGAGAATTTTTTTATGTAGATTAATAATAATAACGATAATGAGTAAAAAATGTAAAGTAAAAATTACACTAGAATAATTATTTTAAATAGTTTTTAAAACTAAAAATGTTTTGAGATTTGTAAATATAAATTAATATTAACAATAAATGTCAAACAATAGACTAGAATAATTTAAATATTTTATTAAACTGTAAAAATGTTTTGAGATTGTGTTTAATATAAATTCATGATCATAAAAATAAATAATAAATGTAAAACATAAATACACCAGAATAATTATTTTAGTGTATTTTTGGTTTTCATTTTTATTATTACTTATTTTTTAGTATAAATAATAAAAATTTTAATGTAAAAATATAAAAATGTTTTGAGATTTTTATAAATGAAAATTCATAATAATAAATAAATGTAAAACAAAAATACAATATAATAATTATTTTATTATTTTCATTTATTATATAATATTGAATAATAATAATACATGTAAAATCAATATACACTAGAATAATAAATATTTTATAAAACTATAAATGTTTTGAGATTTTTAATTATAAATTCATAATAATAAAAATAAATAAATGTAAAACAAGAATACAATAAAATAATATTGTAAAATATTGTATAAAACATTAAAATAATAATAAATTGTATAAATTAGCAAAAGCTGAAATGTGGATTAACTTTGATCACAAAGTCTAAAACCTATAATGTGCATTTTCTTTTATAAGCCTTTTAAAGTGGATTAATTGCTTTGCATCAGCATTAAAGAATTTTATGTGGATGTTTAGTGGGGGCTTTTAAGGGGGTCTGTAAAAATATTCTTCTTATTTTTTAATAAAAGTAAATAATAATAAATGTAAAACAAAAATACAATAAAATAATTATTTTGAAATATTTGATAAATCTAGAAATGTTTTGAGTTTCTGTAAAAATATGTGTATGTGTATGTATGTGTGTGTGTGTGTATGTGTGTGTGAGAGAGAGAGAGAGAGAATAAATGTAAAATATCAATACAATAGAATAATTATTTTGAAAGATTTATTAAAACTACAAATGTTTAGATATTTTATGCAAATATTCAATAATAATAATAATAATAATGATAATAACAACAACAACAATAAATGTAAAAGCTAATGATTACAGGTCCAACGTGAAAATAAAAGAAAATAATGCAAAATGTAAACATTGTTCTTTCAAGATTGCAACTTCCCCAGATTCTGTTCTTCACGTTTCTGTGTGCATCTGTGTATTATACTGCGCCCACCAAAGTGTAATATTAGTATTACCGTAAACAATGTATTTTGTGACACCACGAAATAAACGATTGAGCATAATAAGAAACGATAGATTTTTTTATCCATACGATATATTTATCGTCGTGTTGCACAGTCGTAGTTTAGGTCATTTTTGACACCTTTAGTTTGGTAAATTTGAGTTGTCATTGTGTGAGCTGAACAGCAGATGGCAGCACATGCGCGCTCCACTTCAGTCTGACCCGTGCAGCGTGCAGACCCTTCTGCATGTTTTATCCCTTTGCAGGCCTGTAGCCAGCCTGGTGAAAGGGGTGCTTCTTTTTTCTGAAAATGTGGACTTTTTGCAGTTATACACCTCACTTGCTATTTAATTATGATGTTTAAATACTCCAATAAGGGGCATTTTAAGCACTTTTAGCTGGATTAGCTTGTTGTATCCTCCAATTATGATGTACCAAACATATTTCCTAAAGATTTATAATAAACAAATATTTAAAAAAAAGAGGTTTACAATTTTCTTCTAGCCTCTCTTCAAAATTCATTTAACAACTACGAAGTCAGTCTAAGCCAAGGCACTCTATAAACATTAAATATATTTTTAATATTTAAAATATTAAATCTAAAAGATGTTAAAAAGCCTTTCCTGACACGGCTATTTCTTAAAACTGCGCCTACATGTTTTGATAACACTTGACTTCATCAGGGTAACCTGATGTAGCCGCAGTTTTAAGGAACAGCCACGTCAATAAAGGCTTTTTATTTTTTCCACATTTTTTGAGTGCCTTGGACTGATTTTGATGTTGATTCTGATGAATCCCTAACACAAAGAGCACCGACACATTATTTAAGCTACCCCTGAGGACTTTTTGTTTGATTTTGGATTTTTGTGCAGCCTGATTTGTATAACAATTAACTGTAATAGGCTGCTTTTGGTGCTTCAGACCTTTTCATTGGTCAGTTTTTCTCTAAGAATAAGGTTCAAGATTTAGACTAAAAGTTAGGCTACTTGTAAAATGTTTTTTTTTTTTTTTTTTTTTTTACAACAGTCATAGTGAAAGTTGATAATACTAATAATAATACATTTTATTTAAAGGCGCCTTTCTAGCAACTCAAGGACACCGTACAATCAACAAGAGCAATAAAACAACAAGAGAAATAATAAAATATACACAACAATAGTGCAGATAAAATTAAGTATTAAAAGCCATCTTAAATAAGCGAGTTTTGAGTCTTGATTTGAATAGTGTGAGGGAGTCAATGAAGAAATGTGATCCTGTTTGCATTAACACAGCCAAAAAAAAATCTTCATGAAAAGGAAAAACATAACGATGCGCAGGGTTAACGCAAACGCACTGATGCACAATCATCTGTTACTGTTCCTGCAGGAGCACAGCAATACAGCTCAGCATCTGAACACCTGTGGAGGAGGAGGAAGCAGATCAACAGGTTTCTCTATTCAAGATCCTGTCAAACAGACACTCCCACACACACACACACACACACACACACACACACACACACACACACACACACAAGCTGTAAGAGCAGGTGAGACAAAAACGCAGCGTTTAGACACATCCCACAGCAGGAGGGTGAACACACACTGAAACTCACAGACGGCAGAGGAGACGGTAATGCAGGAGTTTCTGAGGGTCTCCTGAGGGTCTGTGGAGCTGCAGATTCAGATTCTTCATCTCAGCTGGCGGTGAGTGAATGAATGAGGGCTTGATCTGGGCCTTGAAATCATCATCACATGACAATAAATGCATAAACAAGTGCTGCATGGGGAATGGAGATCTGTGCATGGATGCTCTTTCATATATGCATGGGGATTGTGCTTGTCGTTGGAATATACAGGTGAGTAATGGATGAAGAGTGAAGGCAGGCTGTGTTCAGATTGTTTCTCTGGATTTATCAGCTATGAGTTTGAGTAAAATGTGAAGTTTTGTTGCTCTATACACTCAAAAAATGATGTTTGCTGTTTGGTCAAACTACTATTCTAAAATGAGCTGAAACAACACAATTACTGAGGGGTTTTATTTTTTATTATTATTTTTTTTGCGACAACTTAATTGTTTAATCCACTTAAATTTATAAAAAGTAATAAATGAATTTGTGTCCCAACATATGGACTAACTGGGTAAAAAAGGTGTCATTTAAATTGGTAACACTTTACAATAATGTTCATTAGTTAATGCATTTACTAACATGAACTAATCATGAATAACACATGTACAGCATTTATTAATCATAATTGAACATTCACTAATGCATTATTAACATTTAAGTCTGTGCTTGTTAACATTAGTTAATGCAATATGAGTTAACATGAACTAACAATGAACTACTGTATTTTCATTAACTAACGATTATTAACATGAATGAATACTGTAGTAAATGTATTGTTCATTGTTTGTTCATGTTAGTAAATGCATTAATTAACATTAACTAATGAACCTTGTTGTAAGGTGTGACCTTTACATTTAACACAAATATTAAAAAAACAAAAAACTTTACTGTTAAAATGCTGAGTTCCACAAAATACCTTCAAGTTGTTTAATAACAAGTCATTCATTTTCTGTTCAACTTAGTCCCTTTAATAATCTGAGGTCGCCACAGCGGAATGAACCGCCAATTTATCCAGCAAATGTTTTACACAGCGAATGCCTTTCCAGCTGCAACTGGGAACTGCATCACTGAGAAGCACCCATATACACTCATTCACACACACACATTTACCTATACCACATGTCTTTTGGACTTGTGGGGGGGACATTAGTTTTTTTTTTTTTTTTTGCGACAACTTGATTGTTTAATCCACTTAAATTCATAAAAAGTAATAAATGAATTTGTGTCCCAACATAAATCGATTGTGTGTAAACCAGCATTCTTTACAGTGTACACTACACACTCCATACACAATGCTGGTTGTTTCAAACCAATGTTGGGTCAAATATGGACGAACTGAACTGTTGGGTAAAAAAGGTGTGATGTATATTTAACACAAACATTAAACAAACAAAAACTTTGCTGTAAAAATGCTGAGTTCCACACAATTCCTTCAAGTTGTTTCATAACAAGTCATTCATTTTCTTTTCAACTTAGTGCCTTTATTAAACTGGGGTCGCCCCAGTGGAATGAACCGCCAACTTATCCAGCATATGTTTTACACAGCGAATGCCTTTCCAGCTGCACCTGTGAACTGCATCACTGGGAAACACCCATACACACACATTTACCTATACCACATGTCTTTGGACTTGTGGGGGAAACCGGACCACACCAACGCAGGGAGAACATGCAAACTCCACACAGAAATGCCAACTGACCCAGTCGAGGCTCGAACCAGTGACCTTCTTGCTGTGAGGCCAACATGCTCATAGCTAATAAATCCAGAGAAACAGAATGATGAACTGATGATGAAATGTCAGCCATCTGAACACAGCCTGCCTTCATGACAAGCACAATCCCCATGCCTATATGAAAGAGCATCAAACATGTTAACAATTGTGTTTACAAATTTAAGTTGATTGAACATAAAACACCTAAGTTATCCCACAAAACCCCTCAGGAATTGTGTTAATTCAGCTCATTATAAATAAGTAGTTTGTGAACAAGCAGCAAAAATATTTGGTATCACTTTATTTTGATGGTCTCTTTAATGCATTTTGTTGAATTTAAGTTACATTGTCAACAATGCCAACTGATTCTCAATAGATTATAAGTAGACTGTAAGGTTGGGTTTGGAGTTAGTGTAAGTTGACATGCACAGTTAAAGTCAGAATTATAAGTATATAATTCCTCTTTTAATTTTTCTTCTTTAAATATTTCCCAAATGATGTTTAAAAGAGCAAGGAAATTTTCACAGTATGTCTGATAATATTTTTCCTTCTGGAGAAAGTCTTATTTGTTTTATTTTGGCTTGAATAAAAGCAGTGTTAAATTTTTTAAACACCATTTTAAGGTCAAA